ATAAAAGATTGCTCCAGCAACTTGAATTGATTCACCACTAAATCCCTTTGCCAAGACTTGGATAAAGAATGCACACTCAAGAGCACACAAGTTCTCTCAAATGGATAAACCAAATTTCAATATATTTCATGAGCTAAATGTTACAATGAAAATAGTTGTCTTCATATATGCAAGTACAAGGTAAATAAGTAATTGACAAATACATTAAAATGAAATAAAATTAACTAATATTACAAGCTATTCATTCAAAAAGCAATGTCATGCTTATTTAATGCAAAAGAAAAATGATTCCCTAATTCTAGGATCTATGTCTTTAACCACATCATTAGTTGCAATAAGCTCACTTTATTAGATTAAAACTTGATCAATGGCCCTAATTAAGTTTACTAATAATGGTGCAAGAGTTCAGGCCTTGAGAATCTTGCAAATGGATCCAATAAGAGTTCATGTGGATTTTCCCCTTTAGAATGAGACTTGGGCCGGATTGGACAACTTCAACACTTGGGCTTTTTCTTGATGAGCTTGAGCTTCCCTTATTGAGCTTGGGCTTGCAATGGTTTGGGCCAAAATGTTTAGATTCTCTCCTTCTTTGGAACTTGTTTGGGCCAAATTTCCTCTATTGCATTCCACAATCCAAGTGTTTTAGGACTTTGAGTGAAATTCTTCAATCCAACCAAATTAGCAAGTGTTTTAGAACTTGTAATTCCTTGTCCACTCATGTTTACAAGTGTTTTTGGACTTGTAAACGTATCAATATGTATAGGTAACTTTGCAGTGCTCTAATCCCTTTATTCATTCAACATTATTTTCGACCCTCCCCAAAATATTTTTTGGCTCCACCCCTAAAGGGGACTATTGTATTATTTTGATTTGATTGTGTAATGTTTTGAACTTTAAAAATGTATTTATATATATTTGTAACCAAAGTGTCCAGGCAATTTATGCGTAATTTGACTAATCCTCGAAAGAGATTAGCTAACAATCCACCGCTATGACCTCCCACTTAAATTGCAGATGCTCAGATGGGGAATCGAACCTGAGACCTTACGTCTATCCCCATTATCTCCAGTTTGTCCTAACCATCTGGGATACGGGATACCCACGTATGAGTCTTTAGCTAGATAATGACTCGATCACATTTTAGTGTGTGTGTGTATATAGTCTATATATATATAATATATATATATATATATATATATATATATATATATATATATATATATAGATTGTAGAGTTTATACATTTAAATTCATATTTTAAGCATTATCAATGGTTTACAGGTTTTGAAAAAAAACAAATATAATTATATCAAAAGGCGAATAATTTGAGTATGTTGTGACTAATTGTGCATGCATTAATAGAGTTTATTTCATTTATCATTATAATCCTTGACTAATTGTGCATGCATTAATAGAGGTTTATTGCATTTTCATTTATATCCTTTATATAAAATGTCCAATTATTAAAAAGAATAAAGGACATATCATTTATCAAGGTTTTTTTTTTTTTTTTTTTTTTAATTATAAATGCACCTCGCCACTAACAATTACAATAGACTTAAATCAGATATACTAGATAAAGAATCAAACCTTATTTGTCTAACCATCTCAGCTAGCCTGTATGGATGTGTTAAATTCTAATAACACTTACATGGGTTTGTAATAAGTCTTTGTTGTACTGCAATAGATCTAGTGGTAGATTATTCCTTCGCTCATATGGTGATGGGAAGCAGACTAGCAGACAAAGCCATCAAACAGTCAAGGTTTTACCAAGGTTCTGATCAGGTTGTCTCCCATGTTCTTTTTTTTTTTTATTCTATTTTATTATATTCCAAGAGTTCTGCCGTGGACACTCTAGTGTTACGACATTAATATTATCTGTTATGTAAAAAAAGAGCAGTGAGTTAGGATTATACCTGAAAGCAAGTAACAGTCTGAAAGCAACTGAAATGTTGGCTAAATCTGGCAATCCAATAGTGTGATGAAGGATTTTGTTGGTTCCATAATCATTTGTATTTGGCCCTCCAACCAACAAATTACTGGCAAATTTTCAGCGTAAGCTCCAGCAACCGCATTCAGCACGCTAAGTCCACCAACTGTGAGAAAAGCAGAGTGATGGTGCGTGAACAAATGCTTCCAGATATATAGTCAAAACCCCACAAATGGTACACGATAAGAGAGAAAGTCAAAATGTGGTGCCGACTGATGAATCATGAAAGTAAAGGTGTAGGGCATTGCTTTTTCAATGACATCACGTGTCAACCATGAGAGACCATATATTAGATTCTCTCTTATGTATAAATTATTTATATAATGTACAAGTTATTTCAAGTAAGGTGTAAGCATTGAAAAATATATATGCCTGTAAACCTATTAAGTAAATTAGAAACAGTAAAGTCTGTTCCTAAGTTAATTATTAATTATTGGGAGAAGACTTATACAACCCAAGATTTATCGTAACGACAAAGTTGGTACCAAAAGGTTTTGAAATGACAAATAGGTACTTTCGTCATGTTCTGTTAGTGATTTCTGTTTATACTGTTTATTAATAGTGAAAAGACTAAAATACCCTAAAAGTTTGAATTTTAGTTTTATAAATTAAAAATTTCAAAAAACCCCTAAGTTTACAAATTTTCACTAAATACCCCAATATATAAAAAGTTTATTAAAATAACAAAAACACCCCCCACCGGCAAGTGCCAGATTCCGGCCACCACCGCCGGAATCTGGCCGGAAAGTTGCGTTACGACACAGACCCGTCGGATCTGTGTCGTACGGTATCTGGCCTTTTCGGCCAGATCCGTGGCTGATCTGGCCGGAAAAGGCCAGATCTACGGCTAGATGGCCGTCGAGCCGCAAAACTCCCATCTGCAGCGTCGACGGCCAGATCTGGCAGTAGATCTGCCTTTTCCGGCCAGATCAGCACGGATCTGGCGGAAAAGGCCAGCATCTGGCTGCTGCTTCGACGGCCAGATCTGGCCTTTTCCGGCCAGATCCGTGGCGGATCTGGCCTGAAAAGGCCACATCGGCACTTTACGACACAGATCCGATGGGGATCTGTGTCGTAATACATTTTCCGACCAGATTCCGGCGATGGTGGCCGGAATCTGGCATTTGCCGGTGGGGGGTGTTTTTGTTATTTTATAAAACTTTTATATATTGGGGTATTTAGTAAAATTTGTAAACTTAGGGGGTTTTTTGAAATTTTTAAATTTATAAATTGAAACTTTGAAGGGCATTTTAGTCTTTTCACTATTAATAAACAAAAATCACTAACAGAATATGACGGAAGGTACCTATTTGTCGTTTCAAAACCTTTTGGATACCAACTTGTCATTACAGTAAACTTTAGGTATGTACAAGTCGTTCGCCCTTAATTATTTGACTAATCCTAGTTACGGCAAGGAGATAATGATCAATAATAGGTAAATTGCACATGGTTTTCTGGGCCTTTTGCAAAGGCGTTACTTACAAAGCAATTTCGTTGTTATTCTCTTCAAAACATTAGTAAACAAACTTATCATTTTTTTTATTTTTTGTTAATAAGGGATGTCTAAGCGGATCCTGATGTTAAAGGCCAAGTAAACAGGTAGGAGTATCTGCCCCTAGTTAGTAAATACGCGTTTTATACGCGAATTATACGGCTGACCGTATAATTCGCGTATAAAACACATTTTAACGTATGTTATAAAAATTGTCGAATTATACGTGTATAATATGAATACCCGTATAATTCGTGAATTATTCGCGTATAATTCGTGAATTATTCGCGTACTATTGCAAAAAAAAAAAAAAACCTATTGCTCACGGTATCTCTTCTCTTCTTCAGTTCTTCTCCTTCCTCAGTTCTGCGACGGATGACATTTTCAGCTTTTTTTCCTCAGATCTTCAACTTTTTCAGCTTTTCTGCCAATACTTCTCCTTCCTCAGCTCGGACGGCGAACTGGTTGAGATTTTAACGGGTTTGTGTTTGTGTTTGGGGGAGAAGAATAAGTTTAAAGAAAGGAAAGTATTGGCAGAAAAAATAACCTGTAAAGCAGATGCCATTGTTGGAACTCTGGAAGAAGCAGTTGGCTTTGTGGGTGAGAGTGTGAGACCGTGAGACACTGAGAGATGATTTGATTGAAGAAGAGAGAGGGAGGGGGGTTTTCAAGATGGGTCACGGGTGTTTAATTTGTGTTTGTGGTGGATTTCATTATTTCAACACTCAACACTGTAGATTGCGTTTTATAATTCTATTGCATAAACAAAACAAAAAAATATATATATATTTTCTATTGGTGGGATAGAACAAGACATGGGGTGGGATAGAACAAGACATGGGCCTGGGAATTTATTAAGGCAAAGAAAATATTAACGTTACCATAGGCAAAAGCAAAAGCAAAAGATTTAATTTAAGTCAATGCTGAGATACATTAATAATTAGTCCATAAAAATATCAAAACTAAGATTAATATTGTCGTATTTTTTAAAACGTATTATTGATAATATATCGTATTAAACCCGTATATATCCGTATCGTATTTTTTCTGTATCCGAATTTTATGACCGAATTTTTATAAACGTATTTTTCACTGTTTACCGTATTATACCCGTAAAATTCCCGTACCGTTTTTTTGCCATACCCGTATTTACTAACTAGGGTATCTGGTTATGATAGAACGTACATTGCAAGCATTGGAAATTTTGAAGAAATAAAAGATGACCAAAACGGTTTGTACTAATTTGGAGAACCAGTAGATTTCCTTCTAAAATTAGTTTATCTACAGCCGGAAAATGTATATTTTGGTGGTTAATGTCTAGCAAAAGAAAGGTCCAAGCATTTTTGGAACATATAGTTGAACATTTAAACCATAAAGAATGAAGTATTCATACACAAAAAAACTAGAGAAATCAAGTAAAAGGATCGGGTACATATCATCAGCACAAAATGTCCTTGTCGCTTGCCATTGTTATTTAAATGGAAGAAGGAAAACATCATTTAACTTCTAGTTTAAGGATTCAACCCCAAGAATATCGAGGGTTTGGTGGGCGGCTATTGACAAAAGAGAGCCTGGAGCCCAATTTCAGGAGCTCTTTACTGGTGTCATCCTTGTGAACAATTACCTCAATGAAGCAGAGGCAATCCTTCTTGCCTCCAGTAGCTTCCTCAATTGCTTCTATTAGCTCCTTCTCACAGTGAACCTGCAACTACATATTCCACAATTAGTTTCAGGATAGGCATTAATCTTCCATCTTAAATTAAATTAATAGATTAACCTTGGCAGTCCAGCACTTGCCCTCGCCGTTGTGGATTGCATCAACCAACCCAGTGTAGTTCCAGTTCTTTATCACATTGTAAGGTCCATCATGTATCGCAGCTTCAATGGTGTAACCACCATTGTTAAACAGGAAGATGATACTCCTCTGCTCACATCGCAGCATTGTTGATACATCTTGTGCGGTCATCTTAGAAAAAACAATCGCCAAGAATGTAACTTTTGATAAAAAAAAGTGAGACAATTGCCCAAAAAAAAAAAAAAAAAAATGAATTCAAATACCTGGAAGCTACCATCTCCAATACAAGCAATGACACGCTTATTGGGCACAGCCTGCGCATAACCAAGAGTTGCACCAACCGACCAACCAATCGACCCGTATTGCAATTGGAACTCAAACCTGCAAAACCAAACCATATTCATATTATTCCCAAAAATTTTATGTAACAGTTCGTGAATAAATTGCTCACCCGCATCCCTTTGGCAATTTAAGTTTCGGGGAGTCAAACCAAGAGTCTCCTGCGTCAGTAATCACAGCAGTTTCACTAGACAGCATCTTTTGTATATGTTGGAATGCAATATTCACCCTCAATGCCGCTTTGGGTTCACACTTCAGAGGTTGCCCCTCAGGAACATAAATCCTGTGGTAATTGTCATAAGCTGTAGTATTGCGCTGGAGCCGCTTTGAAAGTGCTTTTAGGAAGTCTTTCATCAAAACACATCCAAATGAAGGTCCATTCCCAATAACCACGCGATCAGGCTGGACAATAATCGCCTTCTCTCGCTTCAGAAGAAGAGAGTACCCAACACAGCTAAGGTCATTAAATATGGGTCCAGCGAACAAATAAGCATCGGCAGATTCCACAATTTCAGCGCAAAAAGCTGTGCTCACTGCACCCCAATAAGTTCCAATAAAATGAGGGTGGTCTTCTGGTACTAGCCCTTTTGCCGAGGGCATCACCGCAAGGGGGTAACCACAAGCATCAGAAACCTCCAGAAAGGCATCACATGCCTTGGCCACTCGCAGTTTAGGTCCACCAACCAACACTGGTTTTACTGTCTTGTTCAAGAACTCTGCTGCTGCATCAACTGCAGCCTCCAACCCCATTTGATTACTCAATCTGCTCACCCGAAAAATAAACAAATTAGTATAGACAAAGAAAAAGGAAAAGGAAACAGTCACATTAATCTATCATATGTTATGATGTTAAGATAAGATAGTTGAATAATGAGGAGAGAAATTACCCGGGGGGAAGTGAAAATGGAACTGGTTGACGGCTAAAAGTAGGATGTGGAATAGCAGGCAAATTACAACTGATGTTGATATAAACAGGCTTGCTTTCTTTCAAAGCAGTTGATATAGAAGTATCGATCAATTCATGCGCATCTTCCAAGTTATTCACCACAGCCTAATCAAAATATCACACACCAAAACCCCATAACCATTAACATAAGTCAAACGTTATTATAGTTACCTTAAATGTTTACCTCACTTATTGTGTTTTATAGCTACACTATAAGAAAAAAAATGAAATAAGAAAACAAAGATTTCGCATATTTTAAAATATGTGTGTTGCAAGTTATCAAGAAGTATTTCACAACTTTCATGATAGAGCCTTAATTTGCATAAGTTTGTCCACAAGTCAATATCACCAATTACCAAGTTTCTCTTAAGAAGATGGTTTTCCTAGAGCTCTCAAAAAACGTAATAAATTTTTGTCATGCGTCATGCCCCAAGTTTTCCCTTTTACCGGGTCCACCCATATGGGAATCGGAATCGGAACCAAAACCCCAGGTGCCTGCTGGTTCCGGTTCTACTCGGAAATTCTGCACACCCCTATTTAATTCCTTGTCATGTTAGTACAAAAAGCTTGATACGTTTTTTAAATTTCTCAGAAGATTGTTGTGGTAAAGACGAAAATGATCAGTGAGGTGTTGTTTGGATGTTTATGATTCGAAAAGTTTGGCTGAAGGGGACCAGTAACCCCACAAAAATTTTTAAATATAAAATTTTCACTTTGGAAACCTTAGATTTTGAATCTCACACTTTGGTCCGCATACATATGTATATATAACTTTGCATTTCTCTAATCCCTTTGTTCATTCAACCTTACTTTCGGCCCTCCCGAAAATATTTTCTGGCTCCACCCCTAAGGGGACTATTGTATTATTTTGATTTGATTGTGTAATGTCTTAAACTTTAAAAATGTCTTTTTTCTATTGGTTGGATAATTTTTTTTTTTTTTTTTTTTGGTAACCAAGGTATCCAGATCAACTTACGTGCACCTCGACTATCCTCGTGGAAGATTAGCACAACAACTTATCGTCATAACCCCCCACTTAAATCATGATACTCAAATAAAGAATCAAACCTAAGACCGACGCCTATCTACACTATACCCAGTTTGCCCTAACCATCTACGCTATCCACAGATATATATATTTAGTTGGTTAATGACCCGATGAGACTTCGGTGTTGACTAGTTGTACATGCCTTAATAGAGTTTATTTCATTTATCATTATATAATCGTTTAATATAAAATGTATCCATTACTATTGATTGAATATATATAAAATTCAGCCACTGTTATGAAAAGAATGAAGTGTGTATCATTAATCAAGTGATGATATTATTATTATTTTTTACTTTTATAGTGGGGTTCTTAATAGTTTAGTTGAATTTTTTCTTTTCGTAATTCTAAAAACGAGGTACCATTGGTAGATGATTAGACAAAGAATCGAACTGAAACCATATATCTATTTATATTATGTTTAATTCGCTTTAACTATCTAAGCTGTCTACCAATGACGGGGCAATGAGTGTCTTCTAATAACACTTAACATGATTTGCCATAAGTCTATTTTGTTGTAATGCAATAGATCTAGTAAGAGATTATTCTCCTTCACTCATATCTATCTGAAAAGTTGGGTGACGGGAAACAGACTAACAGACAAAGCCATCGACGTCAAGCAGTCAAGGTTTTTACTAAGGCTCTGATCAGGTTGTCTCCCATGATTTTTTAGTTTTCCTTTTATGCTATTATATTCCAAGAGTTCTGCCGTGGATATTCTAGTATTACGACATTAATCCTGTTATTTAAGAAAAGAGCAGTGATATAGGATTATACCTGAAAGCAAGTAACAGCCTGAAAGCACCTGAACTCTTGGCTAAAATCAGGCAATCCAATAGTGTGATGAAGGATTTTGTTGGTTCCATAATCATTTGTATTTGGCCCTCCAACTATACAAATTACTGGCAAATTTTCAGAGTAAGCTCCAGCAACCGCATTCAGCACGCTAAGTCCACCAACTGTGAAAGTCACAACGCAGGCGCCAACACCACGCGACCTGGCGTATCCGTCGGCAGCGTAGCCAGCATTCAGCTCATTACAGCAGCCGATCACGTTAAGCCTAGGCTCGGCAATTAAATGATCGAGAAGAGTCAAGTTAAAGTCACCGGGTACAGAGAAAACGTCAGTGACACCAGCTTGGAGGAGTCGCCGTGCGAGGTGACCACCAAGAGTTGACCGCGGGGGTTTGACGAGTGACATAAGTGAGACGGAAGTTTGAATGGCTGACACGACGCCTGTTGGTGGGGTGCAGGTTAAGTTGTTGCTGAAGGATTTGTGGTGGATGTGTTTACTCAAATATGTATATTGAAACATTTGCACAGCACTCAAAAACACCATACTTGATCAAAAAATCGAAAAGCTTAATGCATTCCTTGTTTTTCCTCTTGTTTTTCCTTTTGTTTTTCTATAGCTCAAAAGCCTTATCCGAATGAAGAGGGGAGATGATTCTAGTTCTAAAAAATACAACCGATCACCACAAAATAAAAAGTGGAGAAATCAAATAATCGGTGCCACACATTTTTACTATTCCCAGCAGCGGCTACAGTATTTAAAAAAAAAAAAAAAAAGAATCTTCTTTACCCATTTAAGAAAAGTTCCATTGTCTTGGGTTAAGGTAAAATGGACCAGACTTTCATTTTCTTTGGGCTGCTAATCTAGACTTTGTAATGGGCTGGGATTGATCTTTGACAGGATGTGAAGAAATCCATTGATAATGTTGGCATGCATGGAGCATGGTTTTGCAGTAAAATGTGAAAAGATTTTTGAGGAAAATAGAAATGAGAGAAGATGAAATGCATGGAAATAGTTATAGAGTTGGGCGGACAGGTTGAAATTATGAGGTTTTACTGGGATAGGCTGAAAGTAATGGCAAATTGGAAACACATCTACCAAAACAGGAAAGCATCGGTCAATTCCCGATGGTTTCTTTCTGGTACCACAATAACACGTGTCATTTTTTATTACTTCCTAAAGTAATTCTTTCTAGTAAGTTGTATTCTTTTTAAAAGTTTCTATATCAAGAAAAAATGTCAAATTGAAATAATAATAATAAAAGAAAAGAAAACATCCACAAACGTGGTGGTATTAGGTAGTGTTGATGCATTTTATTTTTTTGATGAAACCTGCCTAAGAATTTATAGTAAACCAATATTATAATGCACAAATAATATGAAAATAGCAAATAAATACAAATAACAGAGAGTTTTTAAAGTGGTTTGGATGCAAAACTCAAATCCTACATCTATTGTTATTTTATTATTCTTTTTGTATATTTTTCACGTACAAGTGAGCTTAGCTCTTAGTACAGATGAGGCAGTTTTGAATAGTAGAAAAAAAGGTCCAACAAGATCCCCCCAATTAGGGTGAGAAATCAGTATATATACTGTTATATTAGTGGACTTACACATGAAGTAATCTTTTTATAAAGTGACACGGGCTTAGCTAACAGAACAGCCTTGAGATTTACCAATGAAGTAATCATTGATACACCTACAAATGAAACAACCCTCTCATAGAGTGACATATGACTTGAATGACAACACAACCTTGGGACGCGTGACGTTAACGTGAATCCATGCTGTATAGATTTACCACATAACAAGAAGCTACATGTAGAGAGCCAAAACTCAAAAATTTTGGTAGCGGATAGATAAGAGTAAAGTTGTAGGGCAACTATGAGCAAACTAATGAGAGACGGGCGTTAGATTCTCCAAATTCAATGTGTATAAATTATTTGTATAATGTACAAGTTATTTCATTAATGAATAGACAAATATAATTGTACGGGTATTAAATAAATTACTGACTCCTAACTTAGGGTCCGTTTGGTTCACTTTTGGGAATACTATTATTAGTATTCCAATAAGGTTAAACAGTAAAAATGACTTATTCTCAAAATATTATTCTATATTATTCAATTTATTTTAAACCCCTTAAATTTGTTGATTTAACTAAATACCCCCAAATATTTTTTTTTAGAAATTGCAAAAACACTAAGGCCATCCTCCGGCGGTGGTGGCCGACTGTCTGTATTTAATGGGTGGATTGGGAATGTTTTTGTTAACTTTTAATATTTTATTATAGGGGTGTTTAGTGAATAAACAAACATAGGAGATATTTTTTTTAATATCCAAATCTTCCATCGTAATACCGCCCAATTTAATTTTTTTTTTAAATATTATTCTAAAAACTATCCGAATAATGAATCAAACAGACTCTTAATGATTAATTATTTGACTAATACAAGCATTTTTGGAACACATATTCATACATAATAAGACTAGAAAAAAGGATCGAGAATCACTTCTAAAAGACTAATATTAGAAAACCGTGGAACTAGGCTGATTCAGCAAGCCAAAATCCTTGTGCTAGTCCTTGCAATTTAAATAGGAGAGAAGGATAATACATCATTTAATTTCTGGTTTAATGCTTCAAGCCCAAGAACATTGAGGTTTTGGCTGGCGGCTATTGGCAAAAGAGAGCCTTGACCCCAATTCCAATAGTTCTTTGCTGGTATCATCCTTGTGAACAATTACCTCAATGAAGCACAAGCAAGCCTTCTTTGGTCCAGTTGAATCCTCAATTGCTTCAATCAGCTCCTTCTCACAGCGGACCTGCAACAACAGATTCAACAACCGGTTTTACAATCATTGAATTGATTATGTGTTGGCACTGATGAACGAAAGCCAATGCAGGAATATTAACCAACTAACCTTGGCTGTCCAGCACTTGCCTTCGCCGTTGTGGATTGCATCAACAAACCCCGTGTAGTTCCAGTTCCTTATCACATTATAAGGTCCATCATGGATCTCAGCTTCAATGGTGTAACCACCATTGTTAATCAGGAAGATGATACTCCTCTGCCCGCATCGCAGCATTGTCGATACATCTTGTGCAGACATCTAAGAAAAACAATCGCAAAAATAGTTATATTTTGATAAAAACATGAGAGAATTGCAGAAAACAAATAATGAACTCAAATACCTGAAAGCTACCATCACCAATACAAGCAATGACACGCTTATTGGGCACAGCCTGCGCATAACCAAGAGTTGCACCAACCGACCATCCAATTGATCCATATTGCATTTGGAACTCACACCTTCAAAGCAAAACCATATTCCAAATTATTCCCTTAAATATATAAACGCCACAAGTAGCCAAAATATTATCAATTAATAATTGCTGTCATAATTGCTCACCCGCATCCCCGTGGCAATTTCAGTTTCTGGCAGTTAAACCAAGAGTCCCCTGTATCAGCAATTACAGCAGTTTCACCAGATAGCATCTTTTGTATATGTTGAAACAGAATATTCACCCTCAATAACGCTTTAGGTTCACACTTAAGAGGTTGCCCCGCAGGAACATAAATCCTCTGGTAATTGTCATAAGCTGTAGTATTGCGCTTGAGCCGCTTTGAAAGTGCTTTCAGAAAGTCTTTCATCAAAACACATCCAAATGAAGGTCCATTCCCAATAACCACACGATCAGGCTGGACAATAATCGCGCTCTCTCGCTTCAGAAGAAGAGAGTACCCTACACAGCTAAGGTCATTAAATATGGGTCCAGCGAACAAATAAGCATCGGTAGATTCCACAATTTCAGCACAAAAGGCAGTGCTCAATGCTCCCCAATAAGTTCCAATAAAATGAAGGTGGTCTTCTGGTACTAGCCCTTTGGCTGATGGCATCACCGCAAATGGGTAACCACAAGCATCAGAAAGCTCCACAAAGGCATTACATGCTTTGGCCACTCGCAGTTTAGGTCCACCAACCAATACTGGTTTCACAGCCTTGTTCAAGAACTCTGCTGCTGCCTCAACTGCAGCCTCCAACCCCAATTGATTTCTTGATCTGCTCACCCGAAAAATAAACAAATTAATACAGATTTAAAAAAAAAAAAAAAAAAAGGAACATTCATCATATGTTATGATGTTGAAAGAAGATTGTTAAATAATGAGCAGAGAAATTACCTGGGGGAAAGTGAAAATGGAACTGGCTCACGACTAAAAGGAGGACAAGGAATAGCAGGCAAGTTACAACTGATGCTGATATAAACTGGCTTGCTTTCTTTCAAAGCAGTTGATATAGCAGTATCGATCAATTCATGCGCATCTTCTAAGTTATTCACAACAGCCTATCAAAAAATCAAACACCAAAACTCCATAACCATTACGATAAGATGCTGCATGTTATTATGTTTTTGGTTAGAAGCTGTCAAGCTGATGATGTATTTTGTTTCTAAATAAGAATATGCTTTTTAATTTTCTAATTCTTTGTCATGTTTGTACATGAGGCTTTTGATTTTGTTGTATCCATGCTATACAAAAGACGTTGATATGTCCGTTAAGTTAGTTCCCAATAATATTGTTATGAAAAAGAAGTTGATGAACAATTAGATTTTGCTATGGAATCTATACCTGAAAGCATGTAACAGTCTGAAAGCACCTAAATTCTTGGTTGAAATCAGGCAATCCAATAGTGTGATCAAGTATTCTGTTGGTTCGATAATTTTTATTTGGCCCTCCGACTATACAAATTACTGGTAGATTTTCACTATAAGCTCCAGCAATTGCATTCAGCAAGCTAAGACCACCAACCGTGAAAGTCACAACACAAGCGCCGACACCACGCCACCTCGCGTATCCATCGGCGGCATAACCGGCATTCAGCTCATTACAGCATCCAATCACGTTAAGCCTAGGCTCGGCCCTTAAATGATCGAGAAGAGTAAAGTTAAAGTCATCGGGTACAGAGAAAACGTCAGTGATACCAACTTGGACGAGTCGCCGGGCTAGGTGGCCACCGAGAGTTGACTGCGAAGGGATGACGAGCGACATAGGAGAGACGGAGGTTTGAATGGTTGACACAACGCCGTTTGGTGAGCTGGCTAAGTTGTTACATACGGGTCTGTGGCTGTGGGAGTCAAGTAGTGTGATCCATTAATCTGGGTGTCCATGATTTTGCAATGAAATGTACAGAGAATTCTGATGAAAAATTTAACGAGAAAAAAAAGTATAAAAATCAGAGGTTGTGTGTTTTAGTTAGTGAGAGAAATGAAATGCATGGAGATATTTATAGAGTTCGGAGAAGACTTTTGAGTGGTTATCATTAGGAAGTTTTACTTGTACAGGCTAAGAGTAATATATTGCAATTTGCAAAATTGATCTTACCAAAAGAGACAAAGTATTAGTTGTGTATTGCACATGGTTTCTGTTATTGGTATAATAAGAAAAATTAAAATAGTAAATACCGTCTACTTTGTAAAGCCATTAAAGGCGTTTCTAACAATGAGAGGCGTCCGTAACAAGGACCTCCATTGCAATAGCAATTTGATATATGTTATTGTATAATTGAGCAAACGACATGTTCCCACCCAAGGTTTAGCGAAATGGTAAGTTTCCAACTCTGGTTTCATAAATTCAAGATTTTCACTCTTAAATTAATAGAAAATTATTTAATGTAACGATTAAAAAGTAAAATCGTCATTCCAAATCTCACGTGAACAGTTGCTAGCTGCCCACAAACTTGGCCGGTTTGTGTTGTTTTCCCTGTCTCACCGCTTGCAGTGCCGTTGCCATTTTCCAACCAATCTGGCCTACTTTTAGCACTGTGGGACTACTCCAACGCCACCATCATCTTCCCCTTAACCTCCTCTTCAAACCCCTACCTATCCCCTCTTGCCAACACTCACTAATCAACGACCATTGCCCTTGATCGATTCGCATGCTTCAAGCAAAATTCCAGTGGCTTTCGGTGTCGAAAATTGACCTCATCACCACCAATAGCTTCATCGGCATCCCACCTCAAAGACCCCCAACAGCCCCATCCTAGTTGCTCGTCGTTCATCGTCTGTCACTTCCTTTAGGGTTTTGCGATTTTGGTGAAAATTGGGTTTAACTAGAGCTCAATTTAGGGTTTTACAAGGAGTTTAAGGGTTTGTGATTGAATGGAGGTTAATTGTGCTTGATTCTTACATGTTTTAGTGTTATTTTTTGGGTTGGATTGATTTCCAGTGGGTTTGGAATAGCGTGGTTTGGAATGGGGTGGTTTGGTCAGCTATGGTGGTGGTTTGGCCGGAATGGGAGGGTATGAAGACGAGAGGAGGAGGGGCTGATGAAGGAGAATAAAATGGTATGACAGTTTGGTAATAGCACCCTCTGCATCTGTGTCAGAACCCAACAGTTATTAACGGAGTTAATTTAATGATGGGAAATTAGAATATATGAAACCAAGGGTGGAAACTTACAGTTTCGCTAAACCTTGGGTGGGAACACGTCGTTTGCTCCATATAATTTAAGACATCAACTAGGTTGCTAGCAATTTGTATGAGTAAGTGGTATTATAATTGGGATAAAACAAGCCTAAGCATTTTTGGAACATCTGATTGAAGATTACAAAAAAGAGCCTTTGTAATAATCCATCTACAACCAATGAAGAGGGAATGATCTTGAAATTTTTTTAATATAAGACTAGAGAAATCAAGTAGACGGATCGGATTTGGATATATATCATTATTGAAAAGACCCATAATGGAAAACAGCTGAAATTCTCTGATTGGTCAAGCCGTTCGAGAAACCGGAATTTATTTTCTCTTTCTAAAGGGTTCAAGCCCAAGTGATCTACTGAGGGTTTGGAGGGCGGCTGTTGGCAGAAGAGACCCTGGAGCCCCATTCCAGCAGCTCTATGCTGGTATCGTCCTTGTGAACAGTTACCTCAATGAAGCACAAGCAATCCTTCTTGACTCCCAATGCCTCCTCAATTGCTTCGATCAGCTCTTCCTCACACCGAACCTGCTACAACATATTCAACCAATACTTCCAGGATTAGCATTAACCTTCTGGATAATGGATTAAAGCAATATTAATTATTTGAGACTTAAAAATTGATATAATCATTACATAATTAGTATTATTTATAATAAATTAATTAGCTGATAATTGACCTTGGCAGTCCAGCAATTGCCCTCGCCATTGTGGATTGCATCAATCAAGCCAGTGTAGTTCCAGTTCTTTATTACATTGTAAGGTCCATCATGTATCTCAACTTCAATGGTGTAACCGCCATTGTTAATCAGGAAGATGATAGTCTTCTGCCCGCATCGCAACATTGTTGATACATCTTGTGCAGTCATCTGAGAAAAACAATCGCTGAGAAAGGTGATCTTTCCATTTAAAACACGGTGTTTTTTTTTTTTTTTCACCAACCGGGTTTCTCATTGTTGGCAAAACATGAGAGAATTGTTAAAAATAAATGATAAATTCAAATACCTGAAAGCTACCATCACCAATACAAGCAATGACACGCTTATTGGGCACAGCCTGCGCATAACCAAGAGTTGCACCAACAGACCATCCAATTGATCCATATTGCATTTGGAACTCATACCTGCAAAACCAAAAGAATATTCAAAATTATTCACTCAAATATAAATGTCACAATGGGCCAAACTATCATCAATTAATAATTTCTGTATTAATTGCTCACCCGCAACCTCTTGGCAATTTCAGTTTCTGACAGTTAAACCAAGAGTCCCCTGTCTCAGCAATTACAGCAGTTTCACTAGACAGCATATTTTGTATATGTTTGAAAAGAACATTCACCCTCAATGCCTCTTTTGCTTCACACTTTAGAGGTTGCCCCACAGGAACATAAATCCTGTGGTAATTGTCATAAGCTTTTGTGTTGTGCTGTAGCCGCTTTGAAAGTGCTTTCAGGAAGTCTTTCATCAAAACACATCCAAATGAAGGTCCATTCCCAATAACCACGCGATCAGGCTGGACAATAATTGACTTCTCTTGCTTCAGAAGAAGAGAGTACCCAACAGAACTATAGTCATTGAATATAGGTCCTGCGAACAAATAAGCATCGGCCGATTCCACAATTTCAGCACAAAAGGCAGTGCTCACGGCACCCCAGTAAGTTCCAATAAAATGAGGGTGGTCTTCTGGTACTAGCCCTTTTCCTGATGGCATTACCGCAAGTGGGTACCCACAAGCATCAGAAAGCTCGACAAAGGCATCAGATGCCTTGGCCACTCTCAGTTTAGGCCCACCAACCAACACTGGCTTCACTGCCTTGTTGAAGAACTCTGCCGCTGCCTCAACTGCAGCCTCCAACCCCATTTGATTACTCAATCTGCTCACCCGAACAATAAACAAATTAATAAAGACAAAAAAAAGAAAAAAAAAAAAAAAGGTTAAATAATGAGCAGAGAAATTACCTAGGGGAGAGTGAAAATGGAACTGGCTCACGGCAAAAAGTAGGATGAGGAATAGCAGGCAAGTTACAACTGATGCTGATATAAACAGGCTTGCTTTCTTTTAAAGCGGTTGATATCGCAGTATCGATCAGTTCATGCGCATCTTCCAAGTGATTCACCACAGCCTATCAAACACCAAAACCCCTTAACCATTATGAGAAATCACATGTTGTTAGTGATCTACATATCAATGTCATTCATTCAAACCTGAACAATTAATGGATTATGTTGAATTTATATGTATACAATGGTACCATTATATAAGTTGCTTTGAGTTTTATATAATATATTACAAAAGCAGATATCCACATCTCATGCTGCAGCATTCTTCAACGACACAAGTCAACTTCACAAATTAAAAGTCATTAAATATACAGTCTGAATCATGATTTTACCTGAAAGCAAGTAACAGTCTGAAAGCACCTGAATTCTTGAGTAAAATCAGGCAATCCAATAGTGTGATGAAGTATCCTGTTCGTTCCATAATCGTTTGTGTTTGGTCCTCCAACTATACAAATAAGTGGCAGATTTTCACTATAAGCTCCAGCAATCGCGTTCAGCACGCTAAGTCCACCAACAGTGAAAGTCACCACACACGCACCAACACCACGCGATCTGGCGTATCCATCAGCAGCGTAGCCGGCATTCAGCTCATTACAGCAGCCGATCACGTTCAACCTAGGCTCGGCTATCAAATGATCGAGAAGAGTCAAGTTAAAGTCACCCGGTACAGAGAAAACGTCAGTGACACCAACTTGGACGAGTCGCCGCGCGAGGTGGCTACCGAGAGTTGACTGCGAAGGGTTGACGACTGACATGGGTGAGACGGAGGCCGTTTGAATGGTTGACACCACGCCGTTTCCTGGGCCGGCTAAGTTGTTGCTTACGGGTTTGTGAGAGTACTGAAGTGATCCATCATTAATATTGGTGTCCATGCTTCGCTTTTGCAATGAGATGTGAAGAGAGTTCTGATAAAACAAATGAGAGAGACGTTGAGTTGTTTCCGTGAGTGAGAGAGATGAAATGCATGGAGAGGGATAAAGATAATGGGTGAGTTTCTCACATGTGAAACTTGCAGCTGTTAAGTTTTGTTTAAATTAAATGAACAAGACGACAATGGGGTGGTTTGCATGAGCATGAGGAAAAAGCTGATGCAATATGATAGATTATTTGAATGAATCCAATTTGCAATAACAATGAAGATCTCGAAGATGGGTCATAATCTTATTTATTTTACATAAATTTATAAACTATTAGATTAATGGGTGTTGTTCATGATAAAATTGAATCTAACCAATAAAATTAACTAATTAAACCTCCATAGTTGGCTTTGTTTTTGCTTTGACGAGTGAATCATACACAAATAATGTAGCCATTATTAATTGATTAATTGGTACAAGAACATGCTAATTGCACTTAAACAACAGAAAAATATTTGATGTTGTGGTTGGTGAAGGGGGTGCTCTTGTTTAATCTTTATCCTTCAAGAATTAATTATGGGTAAAGTATGTGACTTATAACCAATAATTAATCAACTCCCCTAAGGAAAATAATATAATTTTTTTTGTTACCCCATAGTGTCCAAATCAGCTCGCATAATTAATCCTCCGAACCCTAAAATTAAAGACCGAATAAACCCTCCAATACTCACCTTTATTAATAACCTAGATAAATCAAACTCGAAAACCTCTCAAATAATACACCCAAAAGTCTCTATCCTTCACCCAATCACGCATACAAAATTACCCACATAATTGCCCTTTTATTCCACTCGTTACCAACATATTTAGTTCGTTTTAATTTATAAAATTTTTTTCTAATGTAGAATTAACTTAACAAGTTAAAAATGATCAATTTACAAAATTCTTGCACCCATTAATATATGTTGAAACAACAGAAACCTCATTTGTTTGGTCAAAAATTCTTCCACCCTCCTGCCTCTGTGCTAAAGATGCTCTTCCAGTCCACTCTTTATGTGCAAATAATAAGCATCACCCGTTACCTTGTATCATTGCTGTTGTTAGATAATCAAAATTTTCGTGACACTATTACTCTCCGATCACGCTGTCTACAGTATGAAATTCTGATACTATGTTCTGTTACCACTATTACTTGATAACAGGCTTCTGTCGTGTCTTGGCAAATTGTACGTCCCCATTAAGAACAGAACCGATAAATCTCTCGACTTCTTCTGTGCTTATTTCACCAGTAAATGCTGCAAACTTCCCCCTTTTAGGTTTGTAGGCCACCAAGAACTTCTCAGATGACTTGAATCCCGATTTATCAAATGCACTTAAGAATGATGACTGCTTTGTAGCATCTAAGAGGGCATAAGATATGGCGTTTCTTGAGCTGAAGGCTGAATTCTGTTGCCTGGATAATGATTTCTGTGAGACCTGAAAGCAAAACACAGACAGCAAATGTAAGACCAAAATCATAAATCAAATTGCAGGCAGGCAAAGAGAGGCAAAGACGACACCTTCTATGAACATCTATCCATTAAAAAAAAAAAAGGGACAACATTTGTGACCTTAAGTCAATGTTAAATGCTCGTAGACTAAATGCTTAATTGAATAGAATTGAAACAGTAACCAAGTATGAGGATGTGAGACAAGGCTTTTAACTAAAGCTTAAAAACTACAGCATCTTCCTATTTCTTTTAGCATATTAGAATATGTTGTAATCCTTTCTTATTTCCAACCAGTAAACCAACTTATTCAAGACAAGAAAATATTACTCACATCTAACAAAATGGAGTGCAGTTTCTCTTTTCCTTTGGATGATCTGAAAGCACCTATAATACAAACGGGAGTTGCCCCCCCACACACAGCATCAAAATTTGATACTGTCAGCAGAGGTATCTTCTTCTCCACTGAATCAGTTTGTGCAGTGCTAGCCTGATAGGAAGCTGCCTTTTTGTTTTTTTTCTCAAAACCATCAAGTAATATACTAAGTTCATGAATTGCAGATTTCAGATCTTTGACAGAAATCCCTGTTTTAAGGACGTGCTTCTCTCCATTTGATAACCAACCAACTATAGCTGGAAGGGCATCAACTCCCAACTTCTTCACTGCCGGATCAGAAACATCATGAACCTACACAAACGTGAAAGAAAGAAAAAAACAATTTTACGTCAATCTCAGAGAAAAACAATAAGCTATTTTAAGCAAGAAATGGGAATCTAATACTGTCAAGTCAGAGTGTCAAACCAAATATGCACCCAAGAAGAGAGAGAGAGAGAATTTGCGTGTCAACAAGCAAACAAACAGTTCTATCTTTCCAACATCCATCCCCACCCCAGCCCCCTCTCACAAAAGACTGCCATAAAGAAATAGAATAGACTAAGCCAGTGAACACCATAACATACCTCCACATCATAGAAAATTAATCGTTCACGATACAAGCCACTGAGAACTCGCCAAATTACAGGTGTATCTCTTTTTGTGGAAAGAAGTACCACCCTTGGCAATTTTTCAGCAGTTAATTCAAAACGAGTCAGGTCAATCCTCTTAGAATATCTGGGCAAGTAGTCTTGACAAAAAGATTTTAGATTCTTTGCTGTCAAATCACCATTGTACTCCACCAAAGAACCCTTATCACCTGTTTTGTATGAATAAACAAATATCCTGGGAGCCCTACGGGGATGTATGCCAAGTTCCTTACAGAAAGATAATTCAGTTTCACAATTTATGCTTCCAACCTGTAAAAGAAAAAGAACAACAATCATTTGCAAAGATCTTAACAGACAATCAAATAGAACGAACACATGGAAAAATATACAAGCAATCAAGTACCTTTAAAGCTCCTTCCAGTGAACTGGCAACTTCCCCAATAATGGATTCATAATACTGGTCCCCCTTCAAAGAGGGTGTGTAAGATAACAAAAGCCAAGTCATCCCTTGGTCAGATATTTCTTTCTTGAAAACCTGAGAATTTACGGCTCTGAGGCTCTTAGGGGGATTCCTAGATCGAGATTGAGAACCACCAGAACCACTAAAACCACCGAATTGACGCCCACCTTTGACATTACCCCCAAAAAAGCCGGAGAAAATATCATCCAGGCCAAAACCAAATGAGTTCCCTCCACTTGGACCACCAAAGGAAAATGAAAAAGTTTGGGAACTTCCCTGCCCACCCATATTCTGCCATTCACCAGACCTAGAAGTAAACCGACTTTGCCCTGGTCCACCACTTGTGAAGTAAGTGTAACCACCGTGATCCCCAGGTTGGCCAGCATTAAATCCAGGATTGCCCTTCTCATCCCCATACAAATCATAATTTTTTCTCTTCTCTTCATCAGATAAAATATCATACGCTGATGAAAACAAGCAGGAACAAAACAAAATTTTATCATAATAAAGAATTACAAAAGAGGATGAACGATAAGGAAAAAGTAAAAAAAACCACTCATTTTTCTTCATTAGATAATTAATTATTTTGGGGACAATAGTCATTTCAGCTCAGGAAATTAAGAAAACTGCACCAAAATACAAACAAAAAAGAGTGTGCCATACCATTGTTAATCTCAGCGAATTTCTCTTGAGCACCTTTATTTTTATTCTTGTCTGGGTGATATTGAAGAGAAAGCCTACAAGAAGTACATTAGAAAAGGAAAAATGAGCAAGAGGAGACCTTAAACAATGTTTTAAGTGTGTGAGCATTCATCATCATGTATATATCTATTTGTGAATCTATACAAATAACTATGTATCTGGGAAGACCAATTACAGTTGAGTATACCATCAACTCTCTAATGGACCTATATGGCCTTTAATGAACTGGCAATTCAAAAACATATAGATTACAAAATACTTAATCAACAGCAAATTATAGATATTCAAATTAACTAGAACATTCGAACTAGAACAAAATTCAGAAGACCCCACTTTACTTGAAACTTATGTCAGATTGCAATAAATTCAATTTAAAACGGAATTTTACGTATATTAGCTTAACAATAACAATGAACTATTGAACAGAGCTAAGTAAATAATACATATAACTCCAAAGATATACGTTAGTATGCATAAACAAACGCAGCGCTCGTCTACTAACGAAAACCACTATAGCAACGCCACATGCACCATCAGAATTGGTATCATCAAAAGGGTGACCTGATTTAGCAGAGCAAAACAAAGCCACTCTCTGAAACCAGGGCCAAACCTTTCTAACAATTACACTCTTAATCTAGACTGAGGCCAAGCCAAGAAAAAAAAAACAATGATGTCATCATACGCCTTTCCCATGGCTACTTCTAACCAAGATTGCAATCACGCTTTAACTATCAATTAAACTCATGTCTCAGCCATGATATAATTTGTAGTAAGAAGAAACTAAATCCGTAAAATTTAATTTAAAAGAAAAAGGCAAAAAGAAACTATATCATGATCATTATAACAATAAATGGGATAAAAGAGGGACATACTTGTGGAAAGCTTTCTGAATTTCACGTTGGCTTGCGTTTTTGTCAACCCCAAGAACCTGCCAGGGAAATCTGATTCATAAGTAACCTTTCCACTGAATGCAAACTTGATTCTTAAACAACGCAAGCTACATGGGCAAATAACTCCCAGAAAAATAAAATCATCATTCTATACAAAAATTTGAAAGTTATTTCCTAATGCTATAAATTATATATAGTATTATTTTCTAATGCTATAAATTATATATAGCAATCCAAAAGAATTCAACAATTGCCAGTAAATTACTGCAACATTGAACAATATCTTATCTACAAAAGAGTAAATTCTACAGTTACGCACAATCGAGAGCTGAAAGGAAAGCTAATGCAAACAAGCAAGAGAATTCAGAAATTAAAAAAAATTACCTTGTAAGGGTCGATGGTTTTGGCTTCCGGGTTTAAGATCAATATAGCTGCAAATACGAAAATCAAAATTGCAAAACGGATATTCATCTTCGAACCTGAGATTTTTTCAGTGCTTTGTAAAAGGACGAGCCGTGCGGTGTTTTGGAGCGAGAAAGTTTTAACGAGGGAGAAGAAATTGAAGGATGAAGAATAAATAGGTTCCCGGGCGAGAGAAATTCCAGATGCTTCGGGGTTCTTGCAACCTTCGGTGACGTGGCGCTTGATGGTGATCCCACGCACATTAACCAATAGGATTTTAGAATAACAGATTTGCTGTATAATTACATTCGTGTAGGTGTAGCCAAAGCGCACCGCTCACGCGCCCTTTTTGGCACGCTCTACTAGCGCTAACCATTTTGGGCTGCAAAATTGGACCTAGAGTAGCCCAAAAAATTCCCGGCAACTACGAAACGGGCCTTGCTAATGTACTAAATACACGTAGTACTTTTCTAAATACACCTTGATAAAATTCCCGGCAACTATGAACGTATTGGAATCATAAATTAAAATTGAGCGTAGGCTTAATAGTTAATGGCTAAGGTTCAAGGACCGGACAGCCTACTAGTTACAAGTTTGGTCTTGATCCCTGGGTTTAGTCTCGATCAACACTCCAAGTCAAAATATCATATCATAATAGGACAAGATTTTCTGTGGAAAGTTGACAGTTGCGATGGCGTGCTTACTTAAAAGAAGATACATCCCGCCGCATTGAATAGAATCCTCGAACACTCAAGCTCGTATATGAGCACCACCATATATAAATATTGACAAGCTAACCAAAACGACGAGACGACCGTCTTCTTCCATTTCATTTTATATTTTCACCTGGAAAAAGTAAAATCACAACAATCACAAAGGTCTCACACAAGCAAAACCTTTCACACTTAAATCTCTCGTCGTAGTAAAGTTTCTGTTTCTTTAGGTCTCAATACTCACCGATCCAACTCACTAACTCGGTCCGCTCAGTTCGCTTAACAACTCACTCAGTGAGAGAGATTGTTTGCTGTAGCTATGGCACTTTCAGCTTCTGATTTACCGATGATGTACACGCTGCTTTCTAATTCAATGAGTGGCGATGAGAGCATTCGCAAACCGGCCGAGGCGGCGCTGTCTCAGTCCGAGAGTAGGCCTGGTTTCTGCTCTTGTCTCATGGTACTACCATCGATTTTTCATTTCGAGGGTTTTAGTTTTGCTTCAGATTTTGAATTTATCTACAATGCGATTAATTTTGTTCGTGCAGGAAGTGATTACTGCAAAGGATTTAGCTTCTCAGGTTGATGTTCGATTGATGGCTTCTGTCTACTTCAAAAATAGTATCAATCGCTATTGGAGGAATAGGCGCGATTCTTCGTAAGAAATTAATCTATATAATACTTCCTAGAAAGTTCTTTTTGAAAGCACTGGAGTTCATTGCGAAGTGTTTAGCTTGTTTTATTTATTTATTTTGGTAGAAATGTAACTTGAGCATTTGTTCAGGGGAATAAGCAGCGAGGAGAAAGTGCATTTGAGGAAGAAATTGTTGTCGCACTTGAGAGAAGAGAATTATCAGGTATTATATAAATTATATTATTCTTTAATCGAGCAATCATTTGTTGGCTTTTTCACAAGCCTATATTTCTTTTATCACAAGTTTTATTTCTAAGTATAGTACTATAGTTGGTCTCTGCGCATTTATCATTTGATCAAATTATTGAGTTTAGCAGTTAGGTTTGCTGATTTTGTTATTTTGCGTTTTGTTTCTTCACAGATAGCTCAAATGCTTGCTGTTCTTATTTCCAAAATTGCTCGCTTTGATTATCCTAGAGAATGGTATACATTTCACTCCGTATTTTCTTTATTTATATTGTATTATCACAATTTTAACATGACTTACTAACTTCTTTTTTATTTTTCAGATAATAATTGTTATGTCATAGTAAGCAAAAAAATGTGAATATATAAATAAATGACTCTAGACCATGTATATATTAAAAAAAAAAAAAAAAAAAAAAAAAAGACTTTAGAACGTATTGAAAACGATTTAGGAGCTTAGCGACATTATAGCTATTATCTTTCATTAATTGTTATAATACAATTGCCGGAGCCACCCTCTATTGCTCATAGCTTTTCTTTGAAGATTATGAAGGGTGAAAAGAGGGAAGTGCCATAATTAATAATTAAATAGATGTATGATATATACATATATATTAGCAATTAATAGACTTACCAAATTCTGCTTACATTACACTTATGTTACATTAAAGCCTACTTTAAACATCTAAGGATACTTGTTGCTAATGCACGTGTGATCTTTGCACCATAGACATTAGATTTTCGGCTGCTATGTCGTTTGACCTTTATTTGTATTAGTGGTTGCATGTGGTGCTTGTGTATATACATAAAAATCAAAATTTTGTCAATTTGACTTATGCTTATATGTGAAACAATGAGCAAATTACCAATTTTTCTTCCCCGTTCGCATAGAACTTCTCAATCTTTTGAATCAACCGAGAATATATGGATATACCTACAATTCCTTCCACATCTGAATTTCACTTGGAATTTCATTTATGATGTACCTAGAACAGCATCTATTAAGTTTATGATACTTCAAAGAAGGACATAATTTCAAGGTAGTAAAAACAGATTTCACATTTATGGAGGAAACATTATGAAATGCGATAGCGAATAGAATGGTTTGACTGGGGCTGAGTTCATACATATTTTCAAATGTGTACTCTCTGTGCGGAAAATAAATGCATTGCCGTTAAAGTTTAAACTTTTTTCCTTAAGAGCACTAAATTGTTCCTTTTTATTAATTCTTGTTATGTAGAGCTACAGTGTTCCGTTTATTTCCCCTTGTGCACTGAACTTGAGTATATACTCTAAAATTTCTGTTGCACTGCAGTAACTGATTTTTCTTTGTTGTCATACAAAGGGACTCTTATTTTGTTGTTCATTTCTCGGGTGTCCATTAAGCTAACTTTATGTATTGATCTATATTGTATAGGCCAGAGCTCTTTTCTGTTTTAGCACAACAGCTTCAAGTGGCAGATGTTCTTACATCCCATAGGATTTTTATGATCCTATTCCGGACCTTGAAGGAATTGTCTACTAAGCGTCTTACTGCTGACCAGAGAAATTTTGCCGAGGTAATGGTTGCTCTACCATCTATTTTTTCTTTTTCCTGCCAACCTAAGATTCATTTAGTTTTCATAGATACTTCTAATCCTAGTGAATGTTCTTTCGCAGATTTCTTCTCATCTCTTTGATTACAGCTGGCACCTTTGGCAAAGTGATGTGCAGACAATATTACGTGGTTTATCAACAATTTCCCCTAGCTATAATTCAAATGCTTTGGAGCAGCATAATGATGAACTTTATCTAACATGTGAGAGATGGTTGTTGTGTTCCAAGATAATACGTCAATTGATAATCTCAGGGTTTCAAAGTGATGCAAAATGCATACAGGTGGTTATCTATCTTTGTTTTGTTTTCTCTGAGTTTTAGAGTTGGACATGCTTTTTTTTTTTTTTCTCTGTGTGTGTGTTCTGCTTTTGTTAACTTGGCATAAGGAGTGTTTGACTTTATCCTTCAGGAAATACGACCAGTAAAGGAGGTCTCTCCTGTGCTCTTGAATGCCATCCAGTCATTTCTACCTTACTGTGAGATGTCTCTCTTTTTCTCTGGTGTTACTATACATACATTCATGGACATATGGATTTTTTTACATGAGATTATTCTCAAAATTTGTTCTAGAAGTTCAATTTTTAAATGTCTCTTTCATAATTATGTCATCTTTTGGCTTTTAAAATAGTTAAAAAACTAAATTGGAGTTCATACTGTAGTTACGTGCGGTTATCCCATTTTTGGCCATTTAATCTTCATATATCTAATTTTATTGTAAAGAAGCTGAAGCCAGTTTAAATACATTTAATTCTTGAAAATTTAGTGGTAATAACTTGCTCATGTGAGTTACTTTCTTTTGCAGATTCAGCTTTTCAGAAGGGAAATGATAAATTTTGGGACTTCATCAAGAGGGCATGTACCAAATTGATGAAAGTTTTGATTGCGATTCAGGGGAGACATCCTTATACATTTGGTGATAAGTGTGTCCTTCCACCAGTCATGGATTTCTGTTTAAACAAGATAACAGACCCTGAGGTGGATATACTGTCATTTGAACAATTCCTGATTCAGTGTATGGTAATGGTGAAATCTTTGTTGGAATGTAAAGAATACAAACCAAGTCTTACTGGCCGGGTGATGGATGAAAATGGGGTTACACTAGAGCAGATGAAGAAAAATATTTCCAATGTTGTTGGTGGTGTCTTGACTTCCCTTCTGCCTAGTGAACGAATAGTTCTTCTGTGTAATGTATTGATAAGAAGGTATGATTATCTGGTCTATGGTTGTTGCTTATTAATTGTGTTTGTTATGCAAAATTTTAGTAACTTTGCTGTGTGTTAGTTTGACATAACGATGTCAATTATGTGCATTAAAATTATGTATAGTTATCATATTTCCACTACTCAGATGTATGATTAGGTGAAGTATTATAGTTGTGTACTTGAAATTTATCTATTGAATTTGTTTTTGGAAACAGAGGTTAATGGTTGAAACCACAGATTATAGAAAATTGTGTTATTTATTGTAATTTTGCTTCTCTTAAACCAGTATATTGATGTTTCAACAGGTATTTTGTTCTAACAGCAACTGACTTGGAGGACTGGTACCAAAACCCCGAATCTTTTCACCATGAGCAGGATATGGTTCAATGGACAGAAAAATTAAGGCCTTGTGCTGAAGCATTATACATCGTATTGTTTGAAAACCATAGCCAGGTAGGTAGCAGTGACATTCAAATTTTTATGTATTATTTTATTTAATTTTGTGTTGTGACGCCAATTTTTGTTGGTTGTAAATAAATGTGTTATTTATTTTTCAATGTCTTTTTTCAGCTGCTAGCTCCTGTTGTTGTGTCTATCCTTCAAGAGGCAATGAATGGTTGCCCAGCTTCAGTAACTGAAATCACTCCAGGGTTGCTTCTCAAGGATGCTGCTTATGGTGCTGCAGCATATGTTTATTATGAGCTTTCAAATTATCTGAGCTTCAAAGATTGGTGTGTGCATTTTCCTTTGTTTTATCTATGGTATTTTGTTGCAACTAAGAATGGGATTGTTTGCAAGAATTATATGTAACTCGAAACTGGTATCCTATGTTATCTGGGTGTTTTTGTTGATATCTGCCCACATACTAACACAAATTCCAAATATTGTTGATAACATATGTTTGTGCTCTTTTGTTTAACTTTTGCTAAAGACCGCTTACTCTCCCAATTTTGTTGATGACATATGTTTGAACATCAGGCTAGATTTAAATTTTAATAAATACATTTTCAATGAGGGAAACCAGTTTTTGTACAAAATGATGCTGTTTCAACTTTAATCCTGCCCAACATTGAATGAGAAAAGGTAAAAAAGAACAAAAAAATAAAGGTTCCACGGTGAGGAAAAAAAAGAGTGCTTATTCTCATCTCAAAATGCCTATTTCTTTTTCTTCTTTATAGGGTAGATGTCAGTTCCCTTTGATTAACATTGATGCGAAACCGAATTATACTGCAAGGAAGTAGGAGTGGTATTTGGTTACTGCCTTTTGATTTAGCTAATGTTTCAGATCATTCTATTGTTAAAGTTGCTGTTTGTACTGCAATTTGATTGTAGTTTGTTGAGCATTCTTATGCCTTCCTGTTGATTGCTGGAGTAGTGAGCTGACTTTTATCTCTGAAACTATCCATTACAGGTTTAATGGTGCTTTATCCCTTGAACTCTCAAATGATCATCCAAATATGCACATCATCCATCGGAAAGTTGCACTAATATTGGGACAATGGGTGTCTGAGGTAACACAAATTTGTTAGTTACATAATAGTTTGGCATATGATAAAATGTTAGATTTTTCTCTCTCTAAAGAGTACTTCACTGGTTGTTGCTGATGGCTATATGGCCCTCTACACATTCAATGGCTAGTTTTGTTTTATTCTAAATTTTTAAAGTCTATGTGAACATTAATTGATTGTGCATGTTATCCTAAAAAATACTTTGAGCACATTTCTCCGCAATTGAAGAAACAGGGCACTAGTACCGCAGTTGAAGGTAGAGCTTTGATGAGTCAACATTTTAAAATGTTCTTTAGAAGTATGCTAGAGTTCTTTGACAGTTCTTTTGAGAGCCATTTCTATAAATTGAGAGCCTGGTACGAGTCAATAATCATTGTACTTTGTAAAATGTTTGTCCAAGGGGGTATATTTGAAATCCTATGACCCACAGTGATGTTTCTTTAATTTCTGATTTTCAAGTCTGTTTTGATGTATTCTAGTCACAATAGAAGTTGTGTTTCTAATTTTTGATATTTTGGCAGATTAAAGATGACACAAAAAGAGCAGTATATTGTGCTTTGATCAAATTGCTACTGAATAAAGACCTATCTGTCAGGGTATGATCCATAAGTTCACTTTTCTTTTGCACATCACCTATTTTGCTCTTTCTGTTAGCAATTGTTTGATAAGCTTCTCCCTCATAAATTTTCATGATATTATGTTCAACTAAAGAATTTGTGCATTTGTTGTTTTAGTTGGCAGCCTGTCGGTCTTTGTGCTTACATATTGAAGATGCCAATTTCTCAGAACAAGATTTTAGTGATCTACTTCCTATTTGTTGGGATTCATGCTTTAAGTTGGTTGAGGAAGTTCAGGAGTTTGACTCAAAGGTACATGGAATTTTATTTGGCGTGTGTGTTAGAGTTGCGGAAGAGTGAAATTCCCCATGATATGTAGGTTTCTTGAAAATATATCTTTCGCCAAGTTTACAAGCCCTGAGATGAGTGCATTAATAAAAAAAATAGGTTAATGGTTTCTATTAAAAGAAAAAGTAGAATGAGCTAGGATTTTGAACAAATCCTACTTTTATATTATATAACATATGAATTGAATTTGAATCTAATTTTTTGTCCATTCTTTAATTAATTTCAGGTTCAGGTTTTAAATTTGATATCCATTCTCATTGGACATGTCAATGAAGTCATTCCATATGCAGACAAGTTGGTGCATTTCTTCCAAAAGGTGTATGAATGACTTAAATGTGCATATTATTATTGATTTCTTAATCCTCTAGAAATTAATTGCCAAACTTGGAGTCAAGCTTGAATCCTTCTACTGTAATATTATATTTCAGAACTAATAAAACTATAATATTGCTGACTGGTCAATATTTATTTTTACCCTCCAAAATAAATTTGAAAAAAGAACAGAAACGGCCCTTGTTATAGCAGGTCAGATATCATGAAACATGAATAGTCTGGGAAATTAAACGTCTCGACCATATTCTCCTATTTACTAATCATGGGAAACCTTCAAGAATTATAAATTGTCAGTCTGACCTATATTATCTGTAGTTATCTTCTGTTGGTAGTGTGGTAATGCATTAAAATAGTCGTAAACTACACTAATTAAAAGTATTGCTTCCCTGACTGTTCGTTTTCTCTTTTTAATTTTTTTTATCTAATTTGGGAAGGTTTGGGAGGAATCTTCTGGTGAAAGCCTTCTACAGATGCAGCTTCTTATTGCTCTTCGAAACTTTGTGGTTGCTCTTGGATATCAATCACCCAAATGCTACAACATGCTACTTCCAATTTTGCAAAGGGGAATCGATATTAATAGTCCTGATGAGCTAAACCTTCTGGAGGACAGCATGCTGGTTTGTTTAACTGTTTTATTGATGTTATTAGCTGACTTCTTTTATCCTTGAACATATAATGCTAAATGCTATCATCATAATTGTGCAGTTGTGGGAAGCCACACTTTCTCATGCTCCTGCAATGGTACCTCAACTATTGGCATACTTTCCATGTCTAGTTGAAATTATGGAAAGAAGTTTTGATCACTTGCAGGTCAGACTTACTTAAAAAGTGACCATATGACATTTTCTACCGTGAGTCTGTTGTTGCTAATAGGAGCATAATATTTTGAAGATTTGTGATTGAATTGTGTCTACAATGAGAATTATATCTTTAAATATTGGATTGAAAACTGTATAAATGCTTTTTAAAAGTTAAAAGCCAGAAGAGAAACCACTTGAGTAGTACCTACAGAAAAAGAAGTTGCCAATTTATCTAGCCAAACCTTTTTGAGAATGGAAAAATGAAGTATCAAGGGTTTCTTTATTTGTAATTGCCTTTGCTGAATACCTTTGGGAGCTCAAGTTTGAATAGATGAATTTTAGATTTTGAATATATATTTAGTGTCCTGAACCGTGGACCAGAAGATTATCTTCTTCCCCTAGTGGTGTTCAATAGAGAGAGAAGATAATTACAGGAACCTTTGAACTATAATTCTATAACTTTCCTTTTGTTTCATAGCTAGTTTGCTTCAGTCAGCATATAAGTGTGGTTGTACATGGTTGATTTTCTTAATCTGCATCTATCTTCAGGTTTTGCATGTTATTTTTACTTTGAAATATAATTGCAGGTTGCTGTGAACATCATCGAGGGTTACATTATTCTGGGTGGATCTGACTTTTTAAGAATGCACGCCTCCAATGTTGCTAAACTTCTTGATCTGGTTGTTGGAAATGTTAATGATAGAGGGCTGCTCGCAACGCTTCCAGTCATTGATGTTCTAATACAGGTGCTTTAAACTTGAAAGAGTGGTTTTTGAGGGAAAAGATTATGAAAAATATTTTATTTTAGATGTTTGAATTGTGTGGAACCAGACAGTGTTTGTCTAACATTAAGAATTTACTCTCAGTTCCAGTGGATGTTCAATTTAAAAAATGATTCAGATTTCAATTATGATGTTGCGCTTTCTACTTCTGATGCAGTGTGCCTCAGTTTCTGAATTTTTCAAATGTTGAATGTCTTTATACCGTAAGGTAGCCTTCAAATTTATGTTTTTATTCCTGATCCCATGTTTTCTGTTGGCTCCATTTTTGTAGTTTATGCCTTCAGTTACTAATGAAACCGAATAAAGCCATTTGATTCCCCTTGGTCTTTAGATGTGTTTATGATAGTCAATGATGAGTCAATCCAAACTGACTGATTCTTCCTATTTTGGCAGTGTTTTCCTGTGGAAGTGCCCCCGTTCATCACCAGTACACTACAAGTAAGTGTTGTTCTATGCCTGTGAGAATCTGTTATGATTTTTTTTGAGTAATTGGAATCAACTACGCATTTTGGAAGCTTTTTAACATACTAGTTTATCTGGTTCAATGTTTTTAGAAATTGATTGTTATATGTCTGAGTGGAGGAGATGACCATGATCCTTGTAAGACAGCGATTAAAGCCACTTCAGCTGCTATTCTAGCCAGGATTTTGGTGATGAATACCAATTACCTTGCTCAATTAACATCTGAACCATCAGTTTCATTACTACTCCAGCAGGCGGGTATTCCAATCGAAGAAAATATACTACTTTGTCTAGTTGACATATGGCTTGACAAGGTCAGTAGTAGGGCATCATTTTTATGAAGGATACTTTGGGAGATTGTAAAAGTTCTTGTTCTTTTTTATGTTTTAAATTATTTTTACTTGTATGCATATGTTATGGCCCTTGGAGAGCTGCATTCTGTTACATACATGTAGGGAATTTAGAGTTCATATCTTTACTTGTGGATATTGTTATTCAGAAATCATTCTTTCTCAAGACTCCATGAGTTTACTTGACTTGGAAAGTTATGATTTTTATACTGATATACGCTTTAAAATTCCTACAAGTAGCTCACTTGACAATGCAGATAGTAAATTATCCTTGTTAATTAGGTAAATTTATGTTCTTAGTTTAATTGTAATTATCATAATTTGATGTCTATATACAGGTAGACAATGTATCTTCTGTCCAGAAAAAGATATTTGGCTTAGCCCTTTCTATAATTTTGACAATGAGACTACCTCAAGTTCTTGACAAACTTGAGCAGATCCTAAGGTATGACTTCCCCCTGAAATTGATGCATCAGTTACAATTCGAGTATTGGATCTCCTTTTATGCTAATAATGATGATTCTAACTTATCATGCAGCGTATGTACAAGCGTAATTTTGAGTGGAAATGATGCCTTAACAGAGGAAGAGTCCAGGTTAGATTCCTTATGATTCTAATTGGACATGTTTTACTTAGATTAGTGATTTTGAAAAAAAAAAAAAAAAAAAAAAAAAGATTAATGACTGAAAAATTATCTTTATGCATGATCTTTATGATGAATGCCAGTGGCGACAATATGAGCTCTAGCAGGTATCACAGTGAAGGCACAATCCCGAGTAAAGAGTTAAGAAGGAGACAGGTGAACATTCTTGAATATACCTAAGAAGGCTAAATACTGGTGATAGACTAAGTAGACAACAGTTACTTTCTAATGGATTTTTTTTTCCTTTTCTAGATCAAGTTTTCGGACCCTGTTAACCAGCTGTCATTAGAAACGTCAGTGAGAGACAATCTTCAAACATGTGCTGCCCTTCATGGAAAATCCTTTGATTCAGCCATGAGTAGAATGGATGGTTCTACAGTTATTCAATTGAAGCATGCATTGAAGATGCCGTAGCCATGGTGGTGATTAATGTCAACCTTATGAATTAGTAAAATGGTGAGAGCGTTTCAAATTTCCTATTAGTTTCATATATTGAAAAGGTAAACCTTCTCTCCATACACAGACACGCAAGATTGAATCATTCAATTGGTTTACACATCTAATTAAGCATATTATAATTGTTTGCACAGGTGGTGTTGAAGGTTTTTTGACTTTGGATTGGTTTCTACATTCTTTGTACTAATAATTTATAGGTGCGTGGGCCGGGTGTTGATTTCATCATTCATATTAAATTTAATTTGTAAATGCCCCTCTGGCAACAGGAAACTCTGTAAATAGATTGCTGCTCCTTTCATATCTGCTTATTGAAGGCATGGAGGATCAGGCATTGAGTTTATAAGAATTGTCAATACTTGTGAAAATGAAATGAGGGAAGAAAGGAATGTATACGGAGTTTTCTTAGAATGATCTTTCTGGAAATTGCTTTTCGGATTCTGTTTTTTAGATTGAAGATTTGAGTATCATCACTTCAGTGCAACAATTTACTATGCAGAGTTCTCCTTTGTTTCGATTCGACTCTTCATGTTCTTTCTCTGCTTCACCGAATCCAGCAGCAGCTTTGGCATCTCTTTTGTTCTCTGTTTTCGTCCCCTCTTTCCACAACCTCCTTCAACCATCTAGACCCAACTTTCTATCTGGTTAAAACGAAAGCACTTGGGCACAACACAACCAATTCTGAATTCAAAAGAATGTGAACTAACCCAAAAGAACATGAAAAGAGATAAATTGACAGTTCTTTAATCTGATTTACACTTTCAGCATGTTCTCCTGTTGACAGTTGTTTGAGCCTTTCTGATGAAAGATGATATTATAAAAATTAGGAATTTTTAACATATGTAAATGACCATAACGAACACAGTCATCATTGCTGAAGTTGCAGATTTTGAATTCATACAGTAACTGCCGCGGAGTCTGAGCCACTTTTTTTTTTTTTTTTTTCTTTTTAACTAAAGAGTTTGAGTCAGTTTACTCACACCTTAACTAATCATTGAGGGAGACTAACGCATCAATCTATCATTACGGTCTTTTACTTAAATTATGGATGCTCATATGGGGAATCAAACTTGAGGTCGTGTGCCTATTCATACTATTCCCAATTTGCTCTATCCATCAAGACTACTCATGGATGGGTGAGTGTCTTTTCATAATTGCATAATTTTGCAATTGTTTGATCCGGTTTATACAGTCCCCATATTTTCAACTCACCATGCTCACTGAACGCCTATTTTTATCCTGGCCAGACAAACAATCAAATAGGTAATATACTTGGAAAACGATAAAAAGATTCATCAAAAACTAAACACGCTAAAATGGCCATGATTCATATATTTCTAAAAAGTAAAGCTTAAAAGTATAACGTCTACAACCATAACCCAAAAAACAAAGAGGGGTGAACTACATTCAGATTGATTCAGAAGTTGCCCTTCTAATGATTCAAATATAGGGTGTATTGGAAATTTATGGGTTGTAACCAATGTCAAATCTATGGTAGCAGATAAGAGCAGTGTGCCGGAGCCCACACTTTCCACAAATTTGACAAGTTGGTTGTGAATAGTTTCTTCCTCCACTGCTTTGGTCAAGGGTAACACCTGCAATCAACTGAGTAAGTCTACTCTCATATAACGGCAAAATCTCAAACACCCTTTGGAGACTAAGAGAGCCTATCATGGCAGTGATAGTGCCGGCTGCAGTTTCATATTCTCTCCCCAGTCCCTCAAGAAGTTGCATTATCTGATCCTCAGAAATTTTATACTCAGCAGCTCTTAGATGATCAAATATGTTTTTCATTTTTGTGTAATAATCAGCCATGCTCATATGACTCTTCTTTGTGTTAATCAGCTCCATCCTGAGTGGTAAGATCATAGCCCATGATGAGAAAAACTTCTGCCAATGCAACCCAGCGGTCATAAGTGGTGGTGCAATCCTTGACGATGCTCAGAATAGTTGGAGTCAGGGTGGAGCATAGCCATTTAAGCAGTGTTTGATCTTGGCTTTTCCAGGTTAAGTACTCTGGATTGGCTGTAGTAGTTGTATAGCACCACCTTGTGTGCTGATTAATACTGGATTTGTTGAGTTTTTTGATCCATCAATCATTCCCTCAAGATTGTCAGCTCTGATCCAAGGCATGATCTTAGTTTTCCAAGTTGAATAATTTCTCGTGTGGAGCTTGATGGGCATAGCAAAGTTGTAAAGAGTTAGCTGGGTAATGGTGGGATCTGATTGATTTGAACTGTTTGAGCAGAGAGCAATCCTCTATTTATAAAAAAGAAAGAACGCCCTAGAATTTAGATAATTTTGAAAATAAAATAAATAAAATTCCTACTTCGCCATGTTACAGTGGGGTGCTGCTCTAGTTTGTTGTAGGTAATTGCTTTCAGGAGAGAGCGCAAATTAGAGGGATTCTGCATTAGCGGGCATTAATTGTAATTTAAAATTTGTAAAGGTGATTTGGTTACACCTCAATTTAAAATGCTTTAGAAATGTTTCTTTTATATATTGATTAACCACCAAATTAGGGATCAAGAATACATGGTATCATCGCATCTCTTATTGGAGATTGGCAGGAATTCCCCTGGGACCAATGGGGCATTACAAGTTTACGTCATAATTGGCCTTGTTTTAATTAAGCACACATTGAATGTATCTTACAACATTCCCAGGAGGCTTATGACGCTCAACTTCTCCATTAAATGTCAAAAGAAAAGCATTTAAAAGTTAAAACAAAACAAAACAAAACAAAAAAAAGGTTACGATGATGAGGTATCATAAAGATGCCATATAAAGGTGAAAAAGCCAATTAGAATCATTGTCTAAACACTATATTAATAAACTGAGACAAGCAGATACAAATGAACAAAGTGCCAAAATTGGAAAAAGAAAAAGGGATGGAGAAACAAATTAGAGGGGACTCATTCTTGAGCTGGTGCACCATTTGTTGCATCCATAGGCTCAGCTTCTGCTGACTCCTCAACTTTGTCACCCTTCTTACCTACACAATCATCCCACACAACACAGAAATAAATTAACATTCTAAAATTAATTCAACCACAAAAATATGTTAAGCAATAATGTGTCTTAAACTGCTAATGACACCACTCATTCACACTTTCAGAATACCTTTCTTCTTCTTCCCACCACCTTTCTTCTTAGTTTTAGTGCCTAAGGCCAACCAGGCCTTTATTTCAGGATCATCTATTGTCTTGGTGGGCTGCAACTCCTGCAGAGGGTGAGATGTGATCCGGTCTGAACCATTTGGCATTAGCAAGACCGTGAATTTGATATGAGCAACATAATCACCTGCAAAACCCTTGTCCATTAAAATTTCATTGAAGAATAGTAACCACAATGACCACAAATCCAAACATATTGGTTCTACCAAGAAAATACTACAACAATCAGCAAAATCTTACCAGGCTTCTCATGAAGAACAGGATATGGCTGCAGGAGGTCATGATTCACACATTCCACTAATCCCAATCGAGCCCTTTTTTCTTCCAAAGCCCTGAGGTGAATAAACCACAAAGCATGAGGGGCCACAAAAGAGACTACAAAAAACCAATTAAGAAAACTTCTGGTTCTAAGCAAATATGTTAAAAACACAACAAACCTTGCAGAGAATGGCATGATAGGAAATTTCTGGCTTATTTCACTAAAGATAAATCTAGAAGCTTTCATCTTTAAGTGATAGTTCTTGTCTACAGCTCTCTTATAAATAGTCGTCTGCTTCTCATCCAACAACCTAGGCTGCAAATATAATAACCAGAGACTTCAGGGCACAAATAATAAAACAACTCACAAGAATAACTTCTGATTTAATTTCAGGGTTTACAATTACCTTGCCATCCCCTGTGCTTGTAACTATATCTATTGCATAAATTTCGTTCTCCTCAAATTCTGCATCATCAACCCTTGTTTCTGGATTGGAGACACTGAGTACAACTTTATTTCCATCGATCACAAACTGCTTCAGCTGGTGGCTAAGAACACCTTCAACAATCTTGCAATCGTATGCAGACGCAACCTTCTGAATTGCTTCTGTTACATCCTTGTTCTGCCATAAAAGGATAAATTATGAAAAAGTGACTTTAAAAAAAAAAATACAGCTATAATTAAAAAGAAACAACCATGGCAATCAGGCATAACATATAAGCATATATGTAAAAGGCCAGAAATATTTTTAGCTCGATATGAATCACTTTGCAATGACAAACAAATGCATCGCTGCTTATATAACCAAATCCAGCCAATTTCAATATAGGCAACAGGGAAAGGAGGAAACCAATAAGAAATTGGGGTCCTCGGCAAAGTTGCCTTTCTCTCCATCAAGGAGCATCCGCTAATATCATTTTTTGTCTACACCTAAAAACCACTAATCAGAATTGTCTTACTCACCAGAGAGCCAAGTAAATTAAATGTACTAACCTAATATGACATGATATCACCCCATCAGAGTAACTATGACAAGAGCCTCATATGGGTGTTATCCCATAGCTTCAAATAGTGTTCATCATATAGGGACACAGATGGCTGAGACATACAGAAATCACTCTTCTGAATGCACGCTTTACACAAAGTTTTAAACCGGAAACAAGCACCCTGAAAACATGATGATCTATTAAAGCAACAAGCAAGATAAAAACTAATTTGGGTGTGCCATAGAGATTGCTAGGCTGAATCCATGAATAAAAATACCAGAGGAAAAAGCCAGGTGGAAGAAAAAGAAAATTTTTACCAGACAACCTAAGAAAATTCTTAGTAGAATTGAAACATGTGGAGATGGAGTTTGGAAAGGCGACACAACTGATTACAGACAATACCCTATCAGTGTAACTATGACTAAAAAAGGTTTCATTGGAGATTCATCCATCACCTTTGAAGTCCTCATCATGTAGAGTATACACCAAACACAAACGATGGCAGAACAGAGTTAAATGTCCCCACAAGAGGGGGAAAAATAACTACTGAAATGCAAACCTAGAAATGTGAGCAGTCAAAAAGGTAACCAATCAATAGCATACAAGCTTATGCAATGGACAGAATTTTGGCCCATATGGCAATAGGAATCAATAAAACAGAGATGTATCAACCCAAAGCAGGCCAAATAAGAGCGACAGATAATGTTGGCAACAGGGAAAAGAGGAAATCAGCAAGCAATTGATCACCTCGGCAAAGTTGCCTTACAAACAGTATCAGATGTACAATTATCAAAATAAATTTCACAAGCTCAGAAAATCCTTTCACAACTCCATAAAAGAAGCAATCTCAATTTGTTAATAGTAGTAAGGCAATCAATCATAATACTGAGCCATCGCCTCCTCCACCCAGAAGAAACAAATAATGCGAGTAAAAAAGTGGCCTAGAATATAAACGGAATTTAATATATTAGGTTGTAAGAAATGATATGCCCCTATCAGAGTAACTATGACAGAAGCTTCATTTGGATGTTAGTCCATGGCTTATCACACAGATTCCTCATTTAGGGATGCAAGGATAAAGCAAACACAATCTTTAACGCTCGAAAATTTTACCATGAAGGGACCAACACACCATAAGGTTGACAATTCAAACTTTTAGAAGAAAAATAAAGCTATCACATGACCACCAGAAAAGAAGAGGTGCAGAAATCAGTAAAAACTGCTAGGTGTGATAAAGGAAAAAATGTAAGTCAGCCTCGTAATCAACAACAAAAGAATGCAACACTAAAAACTCATAGACAGAGCCCTGAGTATTCCCAAAACCATTGAACCCATTGAAACTTAGCAAAATACTAAAATAAAACAGCTAACCAGCATAAATTTGATAAAAACAATACACTAACAGACTGAAAATAATTCAAACTCTCACAGGAGAAGGTAACTAGATTAACTCAAAACGAACAAATTACCTTCTTTCCTGGCCTTACAAGCCTTAAGGCAACTTCAGCAGCAGTATTTGCTGCAGCAATGACATCAGCTGCCCTGCCTGTAACAGGCCCTTCCTGGACAACGTGAGTATGTGCAACTACAGCAATAAACCCATCTATGTGACATCCCATATCACTGCATCCCCAAAAAACTGAGTCATTTGACTGTCCAAACATTAGTCAAATGATTAAACAAATAAGGATACTCAGAGAAAAGGCTCACATCTTCACCATATCGCCTTCTTGCAACACTGACTCGTCACTGGCAAGCGGTGAAAAATGGCACACTGTGTTGTTTACAGAAACGCAAGTTGGGAAGGCAACACCTCTCTCAATCTTCTTCTTAACATTCTTGTACATGTTCCCAGTTTGCCTTTTGCACAAAACGGAAGAAAAACATAAAACCATTGAATCAAAACAGACTAAAACAACCAAATCACAATCAAATGACATTCAACATTAGCTTACTCTCTGATAAATGAATCTCCTTTCTCACAAATGTCAACAATCTTAACTCCAGGTTTACATGCTGGTACTACCAATTGCAACGCCTCTGGAACCAAAAAACAACGACGATTCAAACAATTAATATCAAACCGCTAAATTAAACAAACATTGAAAAATTTATAGGGAGAGTGAGAATATTAACTATTGACAATTTCAGCAGCGTTCTTATATTTGGTGACGACCTCAGGAGAGCTGAGATCCAACTCCTTCTCCTCCCTCTCGTCGTCCGACATGGTTTTGATTGAGCTTCAAAAATCTAGTTCCTAAAAGCAGATAGACAGATAATCGAGTGGAGTAAGAGGAATTAAAATGAAGAAATTGATAAAGAAAGAAGAGAATAGAGGACCTACCGGTATAAATAGACGGCGGTGGAGCTAGGGTTTAGTGACAGCTGAGACAAAGAATAAGAAGTGAACAGTGGCTCAATAGAGAGAAACTAGGGTTACGGTTCTTATGCAGCCTTTGCTTATATAGAATTTTCTACATACTCTAACTAGGGTTTTGTTTGGTTTATATATATTTATTTATTTATTTATCTTCCGGTGCAGAAATTTCTATTGGGTTAAAGGGTAAAGGCCTATTTTGTAAGGGTGGAACTGGTATTAATATTAAAAAAAATTACTTTATTATAAAAAAAATCAAAGGCTTTATATTAAGGTTTTCATTATGAATTTTTCTATTTATATAAAATAAATTATTATAATTTTTATCAATTAAGACTGAAACAGCCATTAATATAGTTGTTTCCAACATTGTTGAGACATAAATATAATATATTTGACAATTAATACAACATAAAACGACAAGAAATATCTTATATTTATTATGAGAAAACAGAATCTTAAAAATGATTAATGACGTAAAACAGTTATCTAACTATACATTAATGATTATATAATGATTATTGGACAATGCTTAAAAACTACAACAATGCTCAAAAGTGTCGGATGTTATGTTAACCGTTGAATTATAATTTATCAATGATTATAATTAAGTGTCTTAAATTAAGTAAACATTTTAAATTATTATAGCTTGATCCTTTTTTTTTTAATATATAGAAATTCATAGAAACATAATTATTTTTAATCATAAACTTTTATCATGAGAATTACATAATCAAGTAAGTTAATTTCATAATATTGTTAAGTATCCCAATTTCGCATAGTAACTAGGGATAATATCAATTAGGGTACAAACCTTTTAAACTTTTGCAATAATAGAAAAGATTATTTTTATTTAAAAACATAAGAAAATAAATACAAAATTTTTCAATTTGTTATTTTCTCAATTTTCCTTTAATGCAAAAGCAGTACATTTATCTATGAATTACAGAAGGGGCCACGGCGGTGGATCGCTATGAGATAGACTCCCTTAAAGATTAGTCGAGATGTGTGTAAACTGATATGAACACCTCAGTTAACAAAAAAAAAAAAAAAAAGATTAATTTTCCGTCTGTTTTTTAGTTTTTTCAAATTAATTTAAGAAGTAAATTTAGTTAAAATTTTGAATAAAAAATCAATAGCATCTAAATATTTGATCATTTTTCAGAAAATTAATTGCAAATCACGTTAGATACCTCTTAATTGAATTATTTGAAACTTTTATTTTTACATAACAAAAGTCGCGAAAAAGTTTGTACCCTAAATAATATCCTTCAAAATTATCAATTATTTACTTACATAATATCAAATTATATTATTTTAATTCATCAACAAAATTATAATTTAAATTATTTGAGGAAAATTAATTTAATTTAATTATAAACATTTAATCCTTCTAAGATTAACTCCTACTAAACTCATTAAACTTTTTAATTTTTATTTTTTTATTAAAAAAAAAAAAGACAATTTGAAACATTAAAGTAATATAAAAGAAAAAAGAAAAAAAAAATGATAAAAGCCAACCTTAACCCTAACCTAAGCGACTCTCTCAGCCTCTGTGACTCTTTTTAATCCCTGAGTTTCTGCCTCTCTCTCTCTCAATCTCCGTCTTCGCTGCCGACAAAGGTTTGATGTCCTTTTTTCATTCATAAGATTTATGTTATTCTGATTCGTTTTTCATCCCTAACTGGAAATTTTAGTGTTCTTTCATTCGTTAAAGAAAACTCGAATATGATCTCGTTTTATTAATTCATTTGTTTCAGTTGTTGTACAGACAATTCGAGGAAATTCTATCAACCGTCTTAGCTTCAATTTTGTTTATTTGTAAGTTTTTTTTCTAGCCCACTCTCTTAGTTTGCGTTATTTGATATGAAGTTTAGCTAGACGTGATCGTGAACCAAGTTTATGATTTTTTGTTTCAGTTTTATTTTATCGCTATCAAATTTAGTGTAATATTGTTATACAAAATGGATGATCGTTAAATATTAGCTGATTTTATTGAGTGTTTGACCTGATTGTATTGCAATATGGGGGTTTTTTTATGATGATGATAATATTGTGAAATTTTACATATAAGTGGCAATATACAAATTGTTGTTTTAAACTTTTGTATTTTGTGCTATTTTTGTTCTGGTTTCTGAATTAGAAGAAGCCTGTATTTTTGAGACTTCTAGGAGGCAGTGTCTCAAGAGGGTGATATAAATTTAGTGTAATATTATTAGGAAGAAAATTGATTTCTATTTTAGCTAGTATTGTGTTTGGAATGATTGGGTTTTCCTTGAAATTTCGTTATGAGTTTATGCTATTTGTCAGTTTGTTGAAAGTGTGTTTGCCTCTTTTTGCAACTCGTTGATTGTTTGTCGAACAGTCATAGAAACTATTTTAAATATGCCACGTGAAACACTTGCATATATGGAAGTTTTGTACAGAAGTGCTGCAAACTCCTTGTTTATGTTTTTATTTTATTTTATTGTTTTTGTTCTATGATCCTGTTAACAGCTTAGGCTATTGAATTGGTCGGTCAACTGTAGTGATAGTTGCCTTTATTATCCTGTATTATTATTGTGATATTTTAGCTGTGAACACCTGTTGTTTCTTCTGATATTAATTTGACATCGACTTACTGGTTAATGTTTGGTTGTTAGTGCAGCTTTGACGGCCATAAGGTTCATATGTAAAGAAGGATTTTGAAGCAGCATAAAACTATTTAGGATACTGGTGCCAGCATAGTCCTTGTTTCTTTTCTTTGAAGGTTTTGAAGCATTATGGTAATCCATGCAGGCTATCGTCTAATTTCCTACTCGAAAGAGATTGTAGATGGACAGCCGATTTTTGTTTCTTCAAATTGTCTTCCTGTAAAGGCTTCAAAATATGAACCTGCTGGTCATTCTTTTCATTCTGCTGCACTTAAACTCCTCGGATGTGAGGAAGATACTGATGTTGATGATCAGAAAGTCTCCAATGATAAGGAACAGACATCTTTGCCACAATATGAGTCTTATAGTAGCAAAGGTAAAAAGAAGTCAGGTACAGGAAGCAATCAACAAGATCATTATGCATTGCTGGGATTGAGTCATTTGAGATACCTTGCCACAGAGGATCAGATAAGAAAATCTTACCGTGAGACTGCTTTGAAATACCATCCTGACAAGCAGGCTGCACTTCTTCTTGCCGAGGAAACTGAAGCTGCAAAACAAGCAAAGAAGGACGAAATAGAAAGCCACTTTAAGGCCGTCCAAGAAGCGTATGAAGTTTTGATTGACCCTGTGAAGAGGAGGATATATGACTCCACAGATGAGTTTGATGATGAAATCCCATCTGACTGTTCCCCACAAGATTTTTACAAGGTCTTTGGTCCAGCTTTTATGAGGAATGGAAGGTGGTCAGTTAGTCAACCAATACCATCTCTAGGTGATGAGAGTACTCCATTGAAGGAAGTCGATAATTTTTACAATTTTTGGTATAGCTTTAAAAGCTGGAGAGAGTTCCCACATGCAGACGAGTTTGATCTTGAACAGGCCGAGTCTCGTGATCATAAGAGATGGATGGAGAGGCAGAACGCTAAACTTTCAGAAAAAGCTAGGAAGGAAGAATATGCACGAGTCCGTACTCTTGTCGACAATGCTTACAAAAGAGACCCTAGAATTCTAAAGAGAAAGGAGGAGGAGAAAGCTGAGAAGCAAAGGAAAAAGGAAGCTAAATTTCTGGCAAAGAAGTTGCAGGAGGAAGAAGCTGCTAGGGCTGCTGAAGAGGAGAAACGCCGAAAAGAGGAGGAGGAAAAACGAGCTGCTGAAGCTGCATTACAACAGAAGAAGCTGAAGGAAAAAGAGAAGAAGCTCTTGCGCAAAGAGCGGACTCGTCTTAGAACACTTTCAGCATCCATTGTATCCCAGCATTTGCTTGATCTCTCTGAGGAGGATGTGGAAAGTCTGTGTATGTCACTGGATATTGAGAAGCTGAGAAGTTTGTGTGATAAGATGGAAAACAAGGAAGTCCTGGAACAAGCAAAAGCTATCAGGAATGCACTTGGACATGTTGATGAATGTGAGGGAAAGAAACAAGATGAGAAAAAGAATTTACAGCAGAATGGTTCTGCGGAGGCAAATGGAAGTACCCCTTTAAAAAGCTTTGAGAAGAAGGAGAAGCCTTGGGGAAAGGAAGAGATTGAACTTTTGAGAAAAGGAATGCAGAAATATCCAAAAGGAACATCTAGAAGGTGGGAGGTTATTTCGGAGTACATTGGTACAGGAAGAACTGTGGAAGAAATTCTGAAGGCAACCAAAACAGTCCTCCTTCAGAAGCCTGATGGTGCAAAAGCTTTCGATTCTTTTCTTGAGAAGAGGAAACCTGCAGTGTCCATTTCTTCTCCCCTTACAACTAGGGACGATGTGGAAGGGGCATCGACCCCTCAGGGACCTCAAAAAACAGCTGCAAAGGTGGATATACCAAATGAGTCTTCAAGTTCAAACAGTCCTGTGGATGTGTCTGCTGCTAATGGGGTTTCTTCAAGTTCCGAGCACGATGTGTGGTCTGCTGTACAAGAAAGGGCATTGGTTCAGGCTCTAAAAACCTTCCCCAAGGAAACCAGTCAGCGCTGGGAGCGAGTTGCAGCTGCTGTTCCTGGAAAGACTGTGAATCAGTGTAAGAAGAAGTTTGCACTGCTGAAGGAGAACTTTAGAAACAAGAAAAGTGCAGTTTAGTTTTTCTTTGGTTGGCTTCTTCCGCTGCTCAGAATGAGAACGTGATATACATGCGGGAGATTTTTCCTGTTATTTCATTTAAATTTAATTCTTATCTCGTTCAAGGCAGCGATCTCGTGAAGTATTATTATTTGCGAAAAGAGAGGAATTCTTATTCCTGGAGTCTGTTACCATCGGTCCGGTTTTTGGTTGTTTCCCGTACAGGTATTATAGCTGATACTTATTGGAAGGGAGAACCCTTTAGATATAGATATTAGAAAATCCAAAATTTCTCGATATATGGTTGAAGGTGCTTCATCTTTGACGGAGACTGAGATTAATTTTGTAACCTTTTATCCTTTTGTTACCAGTTAAGGCATTATATTATTGTATGGTTTAATTCTGTTTTTTATTGATAGAGAAGAGGGGATCATGTTTTAAACTCAACTCATCCAAGAGTCGGGACAAAATAAAAAGCCATATAATTTAAGACACTTTCAATATGGTGATTAGTGCCACAATAATTCTTGAAATTAATTATAATTTGCTTGAATGGAAAAAGCTCTAAAACTTAATTACTATTGTTAAGAAAGGAACTTGAATCCCCTTGAAATCTATTCGTTTACATGACATCCTGAGATATATTCAGACCGTTTAATATTCCTATGCAATGCCTTTTCGAATTTGAGAATTCTGAATTCAGGTGGAAGGGAACCAAGATGAAGCTTACAGAATTTCTCACCTTAATGAAAAGTGCCATGGCCAGAAGATTTCCCTAATATCTGAAGTCTACAAGCGGGCATATGGGATCATGTTTAAGAATTAGACAGATAAAATTGCATTAACAAAGAAAATTATAAAATGCATTCAAAGCCCGCTTTAAAATCAAATTACCAATGGATGCTTTTACAATACATACTAGATAGGAAATAGCAAACATCTGATCAGCCGATATCCAATAATAAAAAATTGCGATGCTAATACCGCAAACAGAAATAGCTGGGTAAAGATCATATGCCTGGACTGATTTCTATTTTCAGGTGTTACAGGGAACTGCTGCAAGTATTGTGCCCATACAAGCAGGTTATGATTCCTATTTCCTAATACAAAAACAAATGCAACTTGTAACAAAGAAATCTCCATCAAAATGACTGTCTACGTTAAATCCTGTGAAAAACAAGAAGTTTATAGGAACTTTCTCTCGCCTTGCTGTCTAAAATTGGCATTAAGGTTGAGGGAATCTTGCGATTGAAACTACCCACATTTCCCTTGTCCACGAACACAAAATATTGAGTTGGTTATTAAAAGTAGTGTTCAATTGGAGAAACCTAAGAACTATATGAAGAAATATTGAAGTAATCTATTGCTTTATGCTTGCATTGGCACAATGAACCAAAACAAGCAAAACAATGTAAACAATACCTACAAGGGTGCATTGTGAATATATCTTCTCTCATAAAAACCAGTCACTTGGTCAGCCACAGCCCACATGATGGCCTGGCCAGGGGGGATCCTCATGAGCCGAGGCAGCAGTCCTTTCCACAAGGCACGAAGCCCCTCCTCAGCATATATTGTTCTGATAGCATGGATCATGCCCTTGTACTTCAACTCACCCCCAGCCCGACTCTGTGCCATTAACCTTGTTTTGACAACATCAAAGGGACCAGTGCATACTGGACCAACTGTTCCTGCAAGGAATCCCGATATCATAGATTGCCATGGTTGAAGGGCTTTCCCATCACCTTCATGTTTCTTCCACAAAAATACATCAAAAGCATTTTTAGCTGTGAACATGGCAGCCTGGTTTGTCCCATTGCGCATAACAGTTGGGGCAGCCCCTGCCCAGAGTCCAAGGAGCCCTTCTTCACGGATGATCAAACGAGCACAGTGTATTGGACCCTTATACTTTAGAAGCTCAGGACTCAGCCCTCTCTGTTGCTGCAGTCTAATTTTCACCACCTGCACCAGTCCATAAGCAGTCACAACTTATAAGCAATCCCATTTTACTAAAAAAACATATGGAAAGTGGAAACATTGTGGATGCTTATACATTGAAACAATAAAGCAGTTAAATGGCATAACTATGACTTGAGGTTAATAACTAACCAACTAATTAAAAAAAAATCATCATTAGTTGGATATCAATGTTGTAATGCCTTCTTACTCAAATCATCACAAGTAGAGCTACTTGTTTTCAATCTTACTCGGTGACTTTCAGTAAGCATGAGCTTTTAGCATAGAATACATACGTGTTGGGAGTTTGAGCTAGATATGTACGTGTGCACTATGAAATTCTCATGTTATTTTATTTTTCTCTCAACTCTTCCAAATGTATGGCAAGTTGACTTATTTAATATCTCATACATGAAGAATTTACAAATCTACTTTTCTTTAATGTACACATAGTGGCTGTCATTTATTATTACAAGAGCTTGACATTCCATTTTCTAACCTAGTGCACTTGTTGATTGACTATAGAATACTATCCATCATTATCCTCATATCAGCAACAACATATGTGCTATGAATATCACATCACAAAATAAAAGAAAGAAGTTAATTAAAATATGCACTTCACAACAGTATTTATCAAGTGGTCTTAAAATACACGGCAGCACGGGTAATCAAGAATGAGCAATGAATAAACTAAATCTTTCTCGAAGGTTGCTCTGTAAATTCACCAAAATCAACCAATACTCACTCAAGTATTCATCAAAAGGTAAGATAAGCAGACGATGTTGATATCACCACCAACTCAATAAATTTAAAAAAGATTATATAATCAACATATCATAATTCCAAACTCAATTAAGAGCTAGAGAAGAATTTTCTGACATTTACTATATTATGTCTATGAAAATGAAATGACCAGTGTAACTCCAGCGTCGTATGCCACTCCCTTAAATTTAAATTTTGAACCACTGCAACGCGGGAAATTCTATCTCTCTCTATCTCTATCTCACACACACAAGACAGATTGACAACAGAGACCCATGAACCTATGGCCTAACATCTCTATAAAATTAATTGAACAGCATTCTGAAGCTTCAATCAGCAATGCTTTCAAAATTAGATCCTTTCTACCAGAGATAATGCTATTGAAACTACATACACACACACACACACCTTTTAATCGCTTTCCACGCTCACCCACCAGGGCAAAGCACTTCCGCTCCAAACAAAGAATTGCATTTATTTCCCTTCATTTTCATAAGCACCACCACCACCAAAAAGCGAAGTCAATGAAGCGGTCAAGGAACTTGGATAAATTGATACATCTAATAAAGCACACTCTCCCCGTAAACTAAAACAAAGTAAACTAGTAAACTAATACATCTAATCTCCTACAAACTTAAACAAAGTTTTACCTTTTCACCTAATAAAAGATGCCTCACTAAAATAATAACATTAAAACTTAACACAACTGTTTTCTAAGAATTCAGATCTCATTATGAACTAGACTGCAAAATGAAACTTGTTTTCATATAAACACCCAAATCACCAAAATAAAAAATCTCCCCAATAAATTTCGCGTTTTCATCAACAAATTTTAAAAACTGTAAAACGAACCTCGAAAGGAGTAACAATAGCGAGTGCTTCAAGAACACCAGCACCGAACCCAGAAAGAATTCGACCGTGATTACTAATTTTCCCAGTTTGTGAGTCCTTAAAAGCAGATTGAAGCACCGCATTTGACCCCATTCGAAGCGTGTACTTCAATGTCAAGTGTGTAGCGAAGGGAGTCAAGCCCTTCCAGAGAGCCCGCACGCCTTCCGTACGCGATACGGTTGCGCCGCAGTGGATTATTCCCTTGTAAGTCCCCGTCCTATCCAGCTGTAACCTCGTCTTGATGACGTCGATGGGTTGCAAACAACATGCCTCCATGATCCCTCCCAATGAACCCGACACTGCCTTCATGTACGGCGGGATCGATTTCTTGGGATTCGAGGTGGGGTTCTGCAGTTCTTGCTCTTGTTTATTCATGGTTTAGATGGAAAATTGAATCAATCGAATTGAGACTGAGGAAGAAGAAGAAGAAGAAGAAATCGTTTTGGCTTCTCTTCTCCTCCTCCTTCGGGGTGTGAATGATTGTTTGTTTGAAGTCGTTGTTGTTCAATTTTAGAAGTTGTTTGCGATCCAGCCCACGTGAGCTGACAAGTTTTGGAACATGTACAAATACAGCTGAGACAGGGACGAATAGTGTGGCAGGAATCCTGCCGCAGAATTATTGCGACTGGTTCACGTAATCACGTTATAGAAGATTTTTTTGTCGCCTTCTTTTAAGAACTGGTATTAAATAATTAAATTTATATAAATTCTCATATGCACATTTTTAGAATTTATATGAGAATTCTTTGAATGCAAATCCTGTCACATGTTTTGTATTGTTTTTTATGTTTTTTCTATATACAAGTACGATTTACAAAATATAAATGAAAACATATTAAGTGAAAAATAAACTTTTATATATTATTATAATGACAAACTTATAAATAAAATTAACTTAAAAAAATAATATGTAACATGAATCTATGTCTTAAGGATTTGCTAGATAACAAATCTCATCTTCAAAATTGCGATTATAGGTTACCTATCAAAGAAATATATACAATGGATTGACCATTTCTAAGTGATCGTGTCTAAATTCAGAGGATGTCATATTTACTTACTTTCTTTTTATTTATTTATAAATAAATATATGAGTTAACAACTTTTTTCTACCCAAATAATAACTTAATGACATTTTTCTACCCACATACTTTAAATATCACCTTATTATCCAAATTCATATTCCAGTGGCGAATAAAGAACAAACTCGGTTCAGATTGTTGAGGATTTTGAAGAGGGGAGGCTGATGAGTCTTTTGGTGATGGAAAGTTGGATTTTGGTAGTTGAGATTGATCATAATTTGACTTGAGAATGGCGGTTGTGTAAACCCTAATCCCTTGATTGTCAACTATTGGCGGTGTTGATAGGAGTGGGGTTTTAAGAAGTGATGATCGGGGAAGAGAATAGTGGTGATGTGGGGTCGCAATGATACCCGAATAAAAAATGGAATATAAATTTGGGTGATAAAGTAGTATTTTAAAAGTTTGTAGGTAGGAAAGTGTCATTAAACTATTATTTGGGTGGGGAAAATAGCTTCCTCTAAATATATGGTAGATTTAATGTTTACCCTGCAAAAGAAGAGTCAACTATTTTGCCAACCCAAGGTTTGCCTTAATAACACTTTCCCACCCAAAATGTTTCAAAATACTATTTTCCCACCCAAACTTTACATTCCGTTAATATTCAAAATACACTTTACTTTTTCAGTCGGCATTGACAAGTTACTAGCAACTAAGGTGAGAGGGGTTTTATAAAGTAGAGGCCGATAGATCGAATGATGATGACCAATTGAATATCCGCTGTCGGAATTAGCCAAAAATTAGCTAAGAACAGGAAATTCTAACTTTGTGATGGTCGGTAATCGGTAAACAATCAAATGGCAGAGTGAGATAGGTTTTATAGAGAAGAGACCAGAGGTTCAAATGGTAATAACAGAGAGAATTTTTGCTATTAGAATTGACTGAAATTGACTTCAGGTATTAACGGAATATAAATTTTGGGTGGAAAAATGGTATTTTGAAAGGTTTTGGGTGGGAAATGTCATAGAGGCAAATCTTGGGTGGGAAAAAAATCGTTTACTCTAAAGGGAAGCCAAAAACTTTCCCATTTTCCTGATGTTGTCAAACCTAAGACACTGAGGCCTGCTTATTTTCAGCCCAGGAAGGTAGAGAAATGGGCTTATTTAATTCAAGTAGCTCTATTGTGATTACAGAAGCCCATGTATACAGTGAAGTTCACACTCTTATCTAATCTTTTTACTGCAGCAGTGCACCAGTGTCATTTTATCGCTTTTGAAGATCCCGTTTTACTGACTAAGCAACTGCGTGTCATTGCTAGATGGCTCCGTCTCTCCGATATCGCCACGTCGATCACCATACGTGTGTCTTCCTCCATAAGACTCACTTAGTCACCTATCACATCTCACAATTGTTCTCACTCATCATCTATATAAATCCGCCAAGTACCACTCTCCAAGCACGACATACTTTGGAGTGTCTGCAGAAGAATAGAAACAAGCTAAATTAAGTCTAAGGAAGAACATCGAAATGGCATCAGAGCAGGAAAGGAAAGAGCTTGACGCAACGGCAAAGCAGGGAGAGACAGTTGTTCCTGGTGGAACTGGTGGCAGGAGCCTGGAAGCTCAGGAACACCTTGCTGAGGGTAACCCCTATGAATACGAATTATGGTTGTTTAGTTTACTTTTGTTATGAATATGAACCAACTTTTTTTTCATATGGTGATGAAGGGCGTCACCGTGGAGGGGAGAGAAGGAAGGAGCAACTTGGAACAGAAGGGTATCAGGAGCTGGGTCACCGTGGAGGGGAGACAAAGAGGGAGCAAATTGGGACTGAAGGGTACAAGGAGATGGGGCGCAAAGGTGGGCTGAGCACCATGGACAAGTCTGGAGGAGAACGTGCTGCGGAGGAAGGAATCCCGATTGACGAGTCCAAGTACAAGACTTGTAGTTAGTTAACATAAAAATAAAAATAAAAAAATCTGGCTGTCTAGACTCGTTTAAGTCGTGTTAATGGCCAAAATAAATAAGGAAGTGGGGAGTCTAGATTGTCCAGAGCAGTGTAGGAAGTGTACTGTACTATACTGTTGTGTAAGTTTGAAGCTTTCTGTTTTTAAACTTTCTAGGTTTTGTATAGGGTGGCATTTTCTGTATATATAGTGTCTAGTAGGTCTCGGTCTTTTTTTGTGATGGTGCCAAATGCCTCTCCCGTTTCTGTACTTTGCTCTTTGAATCTAATGCAATGCTAGCTTCGGTTGAATAATATGCTTTCTTATATATACATATATGCATGCGCATAAATCTTTTTAAAATAGTTGTCACCTTCAGATAATAATCAGTTAATGCAAGGAGTATAAGGTTGCAACGTAGTATACAATTACCAATGGACAGAAGTAGTGGTTCCGAGCAACAGCTAGTTGATGAAGGAATTCTGAGAACTCAAAAGGCTTTCTGTGATCCTTTTCTTTTCCTTGGCGCTCAAATAATTAAAAGCTAGAAATCTTTGGATGCCATTGCCCTCAGTCATATATATTTGCTGTTTATCTAACTTAAAAAAGGAGGAAGCCGATCGATATTGAAAGTGATGAACTCACACGTACTTATAATTCAAGGCTTAAGCAGAAAATTAATGCTTATAAATTAATTTAATTGGAGAAACTTGTACTATGATATATAATCAGTGAAGAGATATACTGTATCTGAAAGTATTGTGAGATATATGGTAAACATATATATGAATGAAAGTAGTCACAGTGCAAGAATCCAATACATTCTGAGATATATTTTCCATGTTTACGTATACATTATTATTCTCTAAAATCGGATGCCCAGAAAATGAGGAGCAAGAGTACTGACTGTTCAGGCTAAGTGTGTTTATAAAAAGATTAATTTGGACGTCCAGATAAACTTAAAAAAGTTAACCCACACCAACTTCTGGGTGACATATATTCATCCCATAAATACTTTTAAGCCGATTCTTCAACGCAAAAAGACTTCATGTCAAGCTGATCATAATCAAGTAATATTAGATTTATAAAAGGTAATTTTGTGATCTAATAAACATAAGATTCTATTCTATAAGATTCAAAATACTGTATATAGATACTATAAAATCCTTATCTTATGATCAACTGACATGTGTGTGTGCATATATATATATGTTAACTTTCAGTCTCCCAATTGAAGTTCATGAAATTTTATTATCCAAAAAAAAAAAAAACAAAATTTTTGATACTTATATCAACATATAATATAAATATACTCTTGAATTAAATAGAAATATGGAGTTTAAGCAAGCTGTATTATTGTAAGCCTGCAAGCCTGCACCTCAAGTTATGTAAAGTTGAAAGAGGCCTACCGCCGGTGTGTTAATTAACCCTTTTGTTTGAAATAAATATGATGTATCAGAACTTTTATCAGTTGCCGCTTCAGTGGAGATTTACGGATAAGTGACTGACAGCCTCGAGAGTTGGAAAATTTCACCGTCTATAAAATTGATTTACCGCAACCGCAAGGCACTCGTGTCATTCTGCTTGCCTTCTCAAATACTGTTAGGATTGACTAAGCATCTGCTTGTCATTACATCTAGCATGGACACTGTTTGCCTCCTTACGTGTCGCGCCTTGCTTTGATGATCTCACACCCAGTTTTACGACATTCTGCTCCATATAAACACACTCAAAACTATTCTTCGTATCATTGGTGTATCGTCGATAGTTTGTTTACAGAAACACTCCTAAAATTTTGCTATAAAAAAGTAGTCTGAATCAAGAGAGATAAAAATGTCTTCAGAGCAGGAGATAAGTGAACTTGACGCCAGGGCCAGACAGGGAGAGACTATTGTTCCTGGTGGAAATCGTGGCAAGAGCCTTGAAGCTCAGGAGCGCCTTGCCGAGGGTATATACAAAACTCTCTATCTGTTTCAATATGTATATATGTTTTATATTGTTCTGAGTGTTTGTGTAGCTAAGTCTTGATTTGGTGTTTGTAGGACGGAGCCGTGGAGGGCAGACTAGGAAGGAGCAGATTGGACATGAAGGGTACCAGGAGATGGGCCGCAAAGGTGGACTTAATACCACGGACAAGTCTGGGGGAGAGCGAGCAGCCGAGGAAGGAATCCCCATTGACGAGTCCAAGTACAAAACTGGCAGTAACAATTAACATGTCGAGTACTCCAGGGATGTCGCTAGGCTTATGTTTGTGTATCAGTATGTATGTTTTCAGTCTCTTGTTTGCTGTAAATTAGTCTAGCCACCTAGACTTCTGTAGGTCCGTCGATGTTTTGTAGGTGAAGGTTGTGCCTTCACCATTTGTGTTTTTATTTACTGGGAATGGGAGGGGCATGTACCCCTCTCTTTTTGTGTACGCTTCATGTTTGATTATCTAATGGAAAGTTGTTTTTAAGTAATTGAAACGATCGGGAATTCGGGATGCTTAAAATCATTTTCCAATTAATTAAAAGGAAATGAATTAAGATGAAATATTATATGGAAAGGTACACCGAGTTGATGTATATATGCCTGCCAGAACGTCCATATATATGCTTGCCAGGTGTTTCACCATCAATGCAAGTATACTGGTCAAATAATAGAACTTGCTTTCCAACAAGCTTGCAATGCAGACCTGAATTCAAGAAAAAATGACATTTTATGCATGCTCGAGTAATCCAAGGTCAGGGATGAGAAACAAACACAGTAAACTCAAGAAAAAAGCGTTATTACGAGACTAAAAAATTAATGAACTTTGTTGTTCCTCAGAAGATGCACAACGTATTGTACACATCTATCGGCTCCACGGCCCACGCATAATCTGAAATATATATGATAACAGAAAGGAATTAAAGATCTATAAGTAGTACGACCTCGTATTAATGGTGAAAATATTATGGAACTGCACAAGAGCACCTCAGCTCATATGAGCTCCTCTTTATGTCCTGTGCTAATAATTCCTATGATATTATGAACTCTTTATCACAACGCTGGCTGTACATTATTTCGTGAATTGAATTTCCCAGTTCACTCTTACTATCAACTGCTCCTTTGCAAAAACTGAGAAAGATTAGAGCCGTAATGGCCCCTCAGAACAGGTGGAAGATGCAAAGAAACGCAACCGACTGAGCTCATTAAATGGACTCGTGTCAATTGATTGAGTTGGAGAAAATTGCCATGGTTGATATAGCAGCTGTGTCATTACCAAATAGCTACAGTGTTCCTTCTTCGTTACTTACGTGGCCCCTTCTCCCCTTTTTTCTCAACGATCTCTTATCTTCAGAAAATGACCTTTCCTCCATATATAAGAATAAGCCCTTTAATTATTTCATCTTAAAGTTCAATCGGTCGGTACCACAAATTCCTTAGTAGATTACTAGTTAATCCGAGTTTCCGTTTCAAGGTCAAGAACTAAAAAAATGGCTTCAGGACGGCAAAGAGAAGAACACGACGCCAGTGCAAGGCAGGGAGAGAGTGGTGGGACTGGGGACAACAACCTTCAACGTCTTGCCGATACTCTCTCTCTCTCTCTCTCTCTCTCTCTCTCTCTCTCTATATATATATATATATATATAGTCTTATGTTAACTGGGTTCAATTTCATGTTTGAAAATGACAACTGATATTTTTTTGTGGTTATATAGTGCACCGTGGAGGGCAAACAAAGGGAGAGCATCTTTGGGTACCAGGATACCAGGAATCAAGAGGCCATCAACATCAAGGACAGCAGAAAAAAGAGCAGCATGGAACTGAAAGCAACAAAGAGATGGGACATGGAGGGGCTGGAGAAGCAGGTGAAGTCAACCAAGGGATTGATATTGATGAATCTACTGGCTAGTAATAGTAATAGCCCCAAATGATCACAACTCTTCATAAACGGTATTCTCTGAGACCATGTAGCATCCTCAGCTTATGTTCTGTTCTGTTTGTTGCAATAACATGTTTGTGACTTTTGAGTATTTTCTAATTTGCGGTTTCACCCATTAAAATCTAGGACAAAAAATATAACTCCACTTCAATCTTCATGTCAAACAAACAACAAACAAATGGGGGTTCCTCATTTGTAATCCTAATACAGTTGCCAAATAAATCCAAATTCAGGCTCAAACCTAGAAAATGGAACTTTTGGTGCCTGGTAAGTTCTTAAAAGATGTTTCACTGAATAAGTTTTTGCAAGGCAACGTGGAAGAAAGGTGGGGGAAAAATGAACTTTAGCACAGTTTTATAGATACATGATAAGCCCAAAATGATGTTCGATTACTTTTCCTGTAATCAGAATTTTTCGTGTTTCCCCTTTTCTTCTATATCTCCCATTTCTTATTCCCCTTGCTGCCAACCTTCTGAGATTGCTTCATAAGATCAGTGACTTACTGCTAATGCGGTCACAAGCAAACCAAGCACAAGAAATGGCTGGGCACTAGCCTGAAACACAATTAAAGGAACAATGAACTTTAGCATCTAGTACCAATTTACGTCAGCAGAATGATATATCCTACAGTTTATATTCCACAAAATAAATTGAGGACTCAATTATGTAACCCAGGATGATAACGGAAAAAGTACCTGATATTTAACGTCATATTTTACAGGGTCTTTGAGAAAGTACTGAAACTGCAGCATCCAAAGTATTGAAATGAGCACAGTGTTCAGAAAGGTAAGAAGAACTCGAAATCAAACTATTGGCAGCATATCACCTGAGTGAACTCTATGCAATTTGAAAAATAAGCTCTAACATTTTAAATCTAAAGCAAATCTTTTATCAGGTTGAGAAACATGGTGCAACTTTCATGACCAGAAGAACATTTTCAGTCTTTAATGAAAATAATCGGAAAAGTGCTCTACCTGAAACACGACTTGGGGAATTATCAAAGCTAGCAATGCTAGGGCGTAATATGGTTTACCGGCCCCTAGTAGATAACCTGCAATCGTGAGTATGTACAGCCATGAGCCATCTTCATAAAGGAAAACACAATTCAAGTTCATTTTCCAAACCAATAAACAACAGGATCCCGTTTAACTGGTACTTAAATCAGTCTCACTTTCTTCCGTAATAATTCTTTGAACTTTTTGAATAAAAATTATGCAATTTTTATTAATTTCATTTTCTCCTCAACAGCCAATCCAGGTCACTACGTTGCAACCGGGTAACTGATGAATGGCACTTGATGATGAACAAGGTCCACCTTTTGTTTTACGCTTAAACTTTCTTAAAATCAGCCAGCAACTTGCTGACATAGTAAGTGATGGCTAATTAAACAAAGAGGTGATTAGCTTACTATATCTGGCAAGAAAAATATTAGTTTCTTGAAACATAATATTGAGGTGATTTAAGAATAATGTACCAGCCACAGATATCTGAGTTATGTCGATTGCACCAACACATATCCATTTAGCAGTTTCAGCACCAAAAGCTACTGGAAGTGACTGTTCAGCAACACAAAGAAGATTATAACAAATACTTGTAAGGATACAAACGAAAATTCATTTGAAGATTGCAAATTGTTTATATGACATGTAACAGAATGGACTAAGAAGAAAACCTGAAGTCCCATCGCTCTGTCTCCTTCGATACTCTTAAAGTCATTTACAATCGCAATACCTAACTGAACCATCGAATTATTAGTAAAACAAATCAGGTTCGGTTGGATTATTTCATGCACGCATACAATAAGATGTGAAAAACGTACCCCAGCTATACTGTACAAGAGAGTGAGAACTATTATATCAGGTGTAAGCGTCCCAAACAAAGCTTGGCCAGCCCACCTATTAAAGAAAGCGTAGCACAACACTTATTATTTAACAATACAAAGAAACATTTTACAACACAATAGCTATTATGCAACAAAGTGAACTCTATTTTAGAGCCTCTGCCACAAGATTACTAGAATATAGTTCTTCTACAGGTTAAAAGTGTCTATACAAGGCATACTAGCTAGCAAAATATTTAAGAGTATCCTGAAGATAAATCAACATACAATTGATAGTCCTTCCTAAAACAAATCTAACACCATGAAGATGCAATCATGATGACAATCATTTTATCAGATCACTTGGGTGCACTCTATGAACAATCATCAAAAGTAGTATACTTCAATTAAAATAAATAAATAAAAGAAATATGGATTGATTATGATAGAACTTGTCTCGGTCAAAAGTATTAAGTCACTCTCTAACTCATGTGTATCGTGGTTGGCAATGGTGACTAATTGACAAATGCACTTTTTCTTGAATGGTCAACTTAAAACATTTAGATGAATAATTTAGACATCAAGCTGCTGAAAACCTCAAGACAGAGTTCAATTCTGCCAACAAATTTAACAAAAGATAGATAGAGAGGGAAAATCACACCATGGCAAACTTATATAGCTTGCTCCCAATGCAAAATTTCCAATCCATCCATTTTGTTTCAGCTGCAACAATATAATATTTGGAGCATAGTCAGCGCTTTACCAGATTCACTTCTGTAACATGAGAGAAAGTAAAGTGGTTTGCCTTAATTAGAGGAAGAAAAAAATAAATGTAAAAATCTACCTTCAGAGGTGGGGCAGAGTATATGTATGACAGCAAGGATCCACCCAGAGCAAGGTAAAACATTATTGGGAAGTTATGACCAGCCTGTTAAGGAGAAGAATTCAGAAAACAACTTCTAAAACTTTAACTTTTGTTTAGTATGGCATACATACTGAATTTACCGAACAATGTGAATTACCTACCCACACATCTAACAAACCAGCTAAGCCAAGGCCTGCTAGAAGAAGCACCCAGATCTGGGTAATGACCTGAATGAAATTTTTTAGGAAAATTAGAAGGAAAAAGTTGTGAGTGTTGATGTGGAAATATTGTATAGGAAACAAAATCTAGTTTAATTACATACCTCATTCTCAGATATTGCACCAGAAGGAATTGGACGATAAGGTTCATTAATTGCATCAATCTCTCGGTCATACCAATCATTGATTGTCTACAATGTGAAATAGCAGGCAAATTTACATTATTGCAGTTTAAAGCTCTCATTTAGTCAAGCAAAACACAACTCTAAATCCATCAGAAAAAGTACCTGTGTATAGCCAGTGAGACAAGGGCCAGACATCATCATGCAAACAATTGATTTAGCAACATCATCCAAATTCCAATGAAAGTTTCCTACAACGTGAATCAAATCAGGTCAAATGTGACTTACAGGACGGGAGAATCAAATTTAGTTCAGTTTTATAAAAAGACATATGACTAATGAACTAAGAAAGATCAATGAAACCCACTAGTTAGAACATTGCCCATGCCTATATCTATGCCAAAACATAGCAGATATCCTCCACACCGATGTCAAAATGCAGAAGTTATATTGACTTTGAAAGCCAATAGATAGATGTGTCTCAGAATTTCATCCTATAGATTTTGAGGGAACTGGGTGGAGTTTAGAGACAAATTAAATAATAACAGTGAAGGTATTAGAACTTAGAAGAATATAATAATCACTGCCACCAGAAAGCATAAGAACTTATAGGCAATAGGAGAGAAAACCCGGAAAAGTTCTTAATATACATTCAATGGTGCCATGAGGTAAATATCTATAAGGCTCTAAGCACTCTCTAGAGGTACGTAACTTCTCTTCAGAATGTCTAAATTGAAACAATATCTATAGGTCAGAAGAGGTCTTTAAATTTCAGTACAAAATATTAAGCAAAGATAAGTACCAGAAGCAGCAGCTCCACAAACTACTCCCCATACTAACGGAGGCCAAGTAACAGGCTTTGTCAGTTGAAGACGAATCTTCCATTTATTCTGCAGAACAAAATTCAAATCCAGTTTAATCCCTTTCGAATGTTACCCAAAAGTACAAGCATTGTACAGATTATACATCAACCATATGTGCAGTTTCTCAAAACTTGCAATAAGTGTGGGCATTTGTCAGAATAATTGCTAAACAAATTCAATGTCGATATTCAATTCTTCTTTCTTTTAATCCTGAAGACTCCGTTTTTTCAGAAATCACACAGCAAGCCTTACAAACAAGACAGAAAACTACACAGATGTCGTATATGCAAGATGTTCCATTTCCACCTAATATTAACTCAGGCATGCTACACTTCAGATGTAGCACACAAATTAAACACCCTCTTAAGATAAATTGAAGCATGATTTTTGTCAAGCTCTCTACTATAAAGTGTTTTCCTTTCTTTTAGGCTTTTAGCACGAGGAAAAAAAAAATACAGCTTGGAATTAAGTGGAACCCAGCACTGAAGACTCACAGATTCTTGTGCAGCTCCTTTGATGCCAAGAAGTTGATTGAAGCTGGACCCACTTGCAGCTGGCGCTTTATCTGGTGCCTGTGATTTAACTACCATAAAACACAATAAAACCGCAGTCAAAAGCCAGTACAAATCACTCTTCAACAGTTGAACTAAACTTCTTCCTAATAACATAATCAACCAAAGATTGCTCACGAAACCTTCTTCTGCACTAGACTCCTGTGCCCTCACAGTCAGTCTCCGCGCTGAAAAATTAACAAATATTTCACACCATCACTACATAGAATCAAAATAGTAATTTTGGTAGCCGTAAAACGAAGCTCTTGAATTGCATCTTTTGATTGTTGTTATCATTACTGTTATTTATACTTCAGTTACGTAGCAACCAAACAAAGCATTAACAAGTGAACTCACTGGTGAAAGAAACAGAGCAAGGAGACAGCACAGGCCGAGTTCGAACTCGGCAGTTGGAGTTGACGTGGGATAATCTCGTTGACAGAACCGTATTCAGTACGGACGACATTGAAGTTCAGGTTGCGAGGGGAAGAGAAGTGAAACTGAGGAAGATAATTAAGTTTATCTGAACCTGCTGCGAAACGATACAATTGTTTGTAGTCTGTTGGGGTGTAGGAGAGAAGAGGAGGAACTTTACGGTGTGCGTCACAGTTATTTTAAATTGTTGTGATGGTTCGCGTGGTGAGATCTTATTGGTTGCTTTGTTGTTTTAGGGGACCCACATTTTGGATGATGTAAGATTCCGACCAAGGCCAACGTTAGAATTTGAACCGTTCGGTCTTTGGACTATGTTGTGTCATGTGTGAGTCAGCTCTTCAACAAGCAGTTTCCTATTTTCCTCTATTAATACTAAACAAACAGTTATTTACAATTGAAAAAATAATAGTTTCTTAACTAGTATATTTTTGTTAATTAAATTATTAATTCGTCATATAATTTAAGATCTACGTCTTTAATAACTTAGGTTTGAATATAAGAAACTGTATTTTGAAAGCATATAAAACAACTACTTACTTTAATCATGAAACGAAACTACATAAAATTTGCTTTCAAAATTCAAACCCAATTTCAAGACTGGGATTTCAAGCCAAGCATCAACAATTCCCAATTGCGATTTGAAATTTTTGGGCATTAAACTAGCCCAATAAGGCCCAGTTTTTTCCTTTCAAGCACATTCAGCCCACTAGACCTATCCAATGTTTACCCTTGATATATTGAGCGCCCAAATTCCACCTCCTTCTAAAATAATTGCAGACCCCCCTGGTTGATTGGATTAAAATCAATTGTGATGTAGCATTTAAAGGAGTACTCTCAAGTATGTTTCAGCTGCAACAATATAATATTTGGAGCATAGTCAGCGCTTTACCAGATTCACTTCTGTAACATGAGAGAAAGTAAAGTGGTTTGCCTTAATTAGAGGAAGAAAAAAATAAATGTAAAAATCTACCTTCAGAGGTGGGGCAGAGTATATGTATGACAGCAAGGATCCACCCAGAGCAAGGTAAAACATTATTGGGAAGATATGACCAGCCTGTTAAGGAGAAGAATTCAGAAAACAACTTCTAAAACTTTAACTTTTGTTTAGTATGGCATACATACTGAATTTACCGAACAATGTGAATTACCTACCCACACATCTAACAAACCAGCTAAGCCAAGGCCTGCTAGAAGAAGCACCCAGATCTGGGTAATGACCTGAATGAAATTTTTTAGGAAAATTAGAAGGAAAAAGTTGTGAGTGTTGATGTGGAAATATTGTATAGGAAACAAAATCTAGTTTACTTACATACCTCATTCTCAGATATTGCACCAGAAGGAATTGGACGATAAGGTTCATTAATTGCATCAATCTCTCGGTCATACCAATCATTGATTGTCTACAATGTGAAATAGCAGGCAAATTTACATTATTGCAGTTTAAAGCTCTCATTTAGTCAAGCAAAACACAACTCTAAATCCATCAGAAAAAGTACCTGTGTATAGCCAGTGAGACAAGGGCCAGACATCATCATGCAAACAATTGATTTAGCAACATCATCCAAATTCCAATGAAAGTTTCCTACAACGTGAATCAAATCAGGTCAAATGTGACTTACAGGACGGGAGAATCAAATTTAGTTCAGTTTTATAAAAAGACATATGACTAATGAACTAAGAAAGATCAATGAAACCCACTAGTTAGAACATTGCCCATGCCTATATCTATGCCAAAACATAGCAGATATCCTCCACACCGATGTCAAAATGCAGAAGTTATATTGACTTTGAAAGCCAATAGATAGATGTGTCTCAGAATTTCATCCTATAGATTTTGAGGGAACTGGGTGGAGTTTAGAGACAAATTAAATAATAACAGTGAAGGTATTAGAACTTAGAAGAATATAATAATCACCGCCACCAGAAAGCATAAGAACTTATAGGCAATAGGAGAGAAAACCCGGAAAAGTTCTTAATATACATTCAATGGTGCCATGAGGTAAATATCTGTAAGGCTCTAAGCACTCTCTAGAGGTACGTAACTTCTCTTCAGAATGTCTCAATTGAAACAATATCTATAGGTCAGAAGAGGTCTTTAAATTTCAGTACAAAATATTAAGCAAAGTAAAGTACCAGAAGCAGCAGCTCCACAAACTACTCCCCATACTAACGGAGGCCAAGTAACAGGCTTTGTCAGTTGAAGACGAATCTTCCATTTATTCTGCAGAACAAAATTCAAATCCAGTTTAATCCCTTTCGAATGTTACCCAAAAGTACAAGCATTGTACAGATTATACATCAACCATATGTGCAGTTTCTCAAAACTTGCAATAAGTGTGGGCATTTGTCAGAATAATTGCTAAACAAATTCAATGTCGATATTCAATTCTTCTTTCTTTTAATCCTGAAGACTCCGTTTTTTCAGAAATCACACAGCAAGCCTTACAAACAAGACAGAAAACTACACAGATGTCGTATATGCAAGATGTTCCATTTCCACCTAATATTAACTCAGGCATGCTACACTTCAGATGTAGCACACAAATTAAACACCCTCTTAAGATAAATTGAAGCATGATTTTTGTCAAGCTCTCTACTATAAAGTGTTTTCCTTTCTTTTAGGCTTTTAGCACGAGGAAAAAAAAAATACAGCTTGGAATTAAGTGGAACCCAGCACTGAAGACTCACAGATTCTTGTGCAGCTCCTTTGATGCCAAGAAGTTGATTGAAGCTGGACCCACTTGCAGCTGGCGCTTTATCTGGTGCCTGTGATTTAACTACCATAAAACACAATAAAACCGCAGTCAAAAGCCAGTACAAATCACTCTTCAACAGTTGAACTAAACTTCTTCCTAATAACATAATCAACCAAAGATTGCTCACGAAACCTTCTTCTGCACTAGACTCCTGTGCCCTCACAGTCAGTCTCCGCGCTGAAAAATTAACAAATATTTCACACCATCACTACATAGAATCAAAATAGTAATTTTGGTAGCCGTAAAACGAAGCTCTTGAATTGCATCTTTTGATTGTTGTTATCATTACTGTTATTTATACTTCAGTTACGTAGCAACCAAACAAAGCATTAACAAGTGAACTCACTGGTGAAAGAAACAGAGCAAGGAGACAGCACAGGCCGAGTTCGAACTCGGTAGTTGGAGTTGACGTGGGATAATCTCGTTGACAGAACCGTATTCAGTACGGACGACATTGAAGTTCAGGTTGCGAGGGGAAGAGAAGTGAAACTGAGGAAGATAATTAAGTTTATCTGAACCTGCTGCGAAACGATACAATTGTTTGTAGTCTGTTGGGGTGTAGGAGAGAAGAGGAGGAACTTTACGGTGTGCGTCACAGTTATTTTAAATTGTTGTGATGGTTCGCGTGGTGAGATCTTATTGGTTGCTTTGTTGTTTTAGGGGACCCACATTTTGGATGATGTAAGATTCCGACCAAGGCCAACGTTAGAATTTGAACCGTTCGGTCTTTGGACTATGTTGTGTCATGTGTGAGTCAGCTCTTCAACAAGCAGTTTCCTATTTTCCTCTATTAATACTAAACAAACAGTTATTTACAATTGAAAAAATAATAGTTTCTTAACTAGTATATTTTTGTTAATTAAATTATTAATTCGTCATATAATTTAAGATCTACGTCTTTAATAACTTAGGTTTGAATATAAGAAACTGTATTTTGAAAGCATATAAAACAACTACTTACTTTAATCATGAAACGAAACTACATAAAATTTGCTTTCAAAATTCAAACCCAATTTCAAGACTGGGATTTCAAGCCAAGCATCAACAATTCCCAATTGCGATTTGAAATTTTTGGGCATTAAACTAGCCCAATAAGGCCCAGTTTTTTCCTTTCAAGCACATTCAGCCCACTAGACCTATCCAATGTTTACCCTTGATATATTGAGCGCCCAAATTCCACCTCCTTCTAAAATAATTGCAGACCCCCCTGGTTGATTGGATTAAAATCAATTGTGATGTAGCATTTAAAGGAGTACTCTCATCAAGTAGCGATGAGAATTGTAGTAAGAGACGACAAGGGTATGCCATTAATTGGACAAACATCAAATTTTTTTTTGCTACAACACCCCTTGTAGCAAAGGCGTTAGCTTTTAGAGAAGTTATAACTTCGGCTTGCAATTTCGGTTTGGGTAAGATTTTGTCGGAAAAAGACTGTTTAGATCTTATTAAGGCATGTGGGAAGGAAAAAGTTTTTTGAGAGATTGATATAATTGTGAGAGATATTCACAATTTAACCCGTAGCTGTTTCTCAATCGTCAATTGGTTTTTGATAGACTAGAAGGAAAGTTAATTTGTTAGCATATGAGGTTGTTGGGTTAGCAGCATCGAATTCTCTACATACGAATTGGTTGACTTCTTGCCCAACGAGTAATTTAAGAATTTGTCTTTAGGATAAACCATGTTAAGATCTGTTTGGATTAGTATGCTTGGTTTCTAACTTATGGCTTTCATATGTATGATGTAACCTCATATGTATGTCATGTGCGTTATGGAATGAAAGTTTCATTTTGAAACCCCCCCACCCCCCCCGGCGCGGGGGCAAAAAAAGGACCTCTCCAATGTCCGATTAGTTTAATGTCTTTTATTATAATTAAGAGTGATAAAATGGATCAATCTATCGTGTCAGATTCCTGACGTATTATATATGTCTTAAATCGAATATGATCCATTTAATTATTCGTGTTAGAGGTCATATTCATGTCTGATTATCAATTTAACTAATTTATAATAAACAATACAGTGCCACTTTTTTGAACATTTAAGAACTTTTTATAAAACTTTATAAAAGCAGTTTAACAGAGTTTTGGAACCAAGCTAACAAGTATACAACTGGTGAACACATTCCACTAGCCTTTTCGTGGATAGGTGAAATGAAATCCTCCATTAAAGAGAGAGACTTTATATTTGGTGAATATTTAACAATGGATCGAAGGGGAAAGATAAGATTATTATATGCATAAAAGAAGCTATTTTAAATTTGGTATTGCTGTTGGGGATTCTTGGCAAAATCCAAATCTAATTCTGATATCTAAGGTCGCCGTTTCACCTACTTTGTAGATAATTGCTTTAAGTTATTGCCTTACTGGTTTGTGCAAATCTGCAATGAGGATGGGCACATTAAAGTTTTTGGTATTTAGACCAAATTCTAATTGGCCAACAAAGCAAAAGGGGATTACCCCAACACAAGTCTGAGTATGTTCATAGTCATAGACAAGCTCTCTCTTTATAAATGCAACTAAAAAATATTATCATCTTTGGATGTGACATGTATACATTGTGTGAATTAATAGCTAGGATTGATTAATAATTAGGTGATAGTGGAGCAGGCACTATCATCTGAATAGGTTAACCAACCTATTATGCTAATTTCTGGCAGACCCTGAAAACAAAATTTGTTTAGGATAAATATGGAAGGATGATTTGATGGTTAAAAAAATAAAAAAAAAAATCTATCACAATTAGTAAAATGACGAACTAATATAATTTTTTAAGTTTGAATTCATTTAATAGTAAAAAAATAAGAGAAAAATCTAATATGATTTTCTAAGTTTAAATCCTGATAACTGTTAATAGAGGTAATCATTAGAGTTTTTATCCGATCGATAGTTTCAGAATCTTAAGAGATTAGTTGAAATACGCGTAAATTGATCTAGATATCCTCGATCATTAAAAAGAAAAATATAAATACGCCCAGTTTATTAAGCAAGTTGCTGCTACACATATTCTCCACTTCTCTATCCTTATACAACGATTGAAATGGGAATGTGATTCTTGATCCTATTCCTGTGCCTCCCATTGATGATATTAGTGAACAGTAAAAAAGAGTGTAAGCTTTAAATAAAGTTATCTTTGGTCGAAAAGGATGGAAAGGACTTAAAACTAAATTAATTGTTTTTAGTATGAGTATCAGATACATCTGTATATATTGCAATTAAAGATTGTCATGAGTTTCTAAAGTTGTTTAAAAAACACACGATCAATCACAAGGCCCCATATATATAACTCCAAACTGGGTTTTGCAAAGTGGAAAACACATCACACGTAGTTGTAATGCCAAAACTTTGTTGTCTTTTACTCTTGTAGCTTTTACTATTCTAAACCCATCAATCAATGTGTTCCATTTTTATATTAACTTTGTGTTTGGATTCTTTCTTTAATATAGGCATTTCCCTAGCAATTATGATAGCCCAAATGGCATGCAATGATCAGTACAACCTCACCCACAAAATTCCAAACTCAATTCAACTTGGTTTATTATTGTGGATGCAATAATTTGCACCAATGAAAAGTACATAAGATCCGTGATGGGTTTATGTAGAAGTTTGTATGAAACTCGTGATATTGATGTTGGATTAATAGATGAATAATAAGCAAACACAAAGAACAAATTTTTTTTTTTTTTTAAATAGTTCAAATGCAAGACATAAATTTGAGGTCTACTATTATGGTATTACTTTTGTCGTGTACAAATGGAGTTTACTCTCAATCTAGTTGAGGTGGTTTAGATTAAGTTGAAGAAAAAGATTTCCCATTAAAGTGAGATATCAGTATCTATATTGTTACACTAGTTGACTTATAAGTGAAGTAAATCTCAAATAGAGTAACACACGGTAAAGATTGACAGCATAACCTTGAAACGCGTGGCGTGAATCATGATGCCCAACAATTATCTTATTTTGTTTGAGCTTGGCTCAACTAGTTTGATTCGAATGTTGTTGTGATCTAAGTTAATATTAATTTTAAAACAAAGGAAAGGGGCTATAATTTGATTGCAATCCGAAAATCCAAAGATTGAGGAATGAGGACTTTCACCCAAAGGCGATATGCCACATTATTCCCCACTATCACCCACTTTACAATTTACATGCACATATTCTAAGCTCAATCCACCACGCCTCCTTGCTTAGATCCCCATAGCATTAGATTGAAATTTGTTGATATATGGTAATGGTACCAAAACGAAGCTCAAAAGAATAAACTGATACACGTAAAAGAATATGATTATGAGCGCGAATCTGACGCTATTGAGTAAAATGCCGCCTCCAAATTGAAATTGTATTTACTCAACAAAATTCCGCCTCCTGTCCGGTCACATAATGTGGATAACGAAAGTGACTCACAATCCACACAGCTTCCACATTGCCTCTATCTCGGTCCCACTCCCCACTCCCCACCCCACCCCACCCCACCCCACTATCGTTTTCTATTTTTAATAATCACCGCCACTCCTAATTACAACACATGCTTCTTCTTCTTTCTAATTAGTCACTATTTACCGCTCATATTTTTCTCGGAAGGTTTAGCAAAATGACAAGTTCTTACCCTTAGTTTCTTTTTTAGTGGTAGAGGGTATTTAAACTAATTTATGTATATTTTAACTTCTTTTGAGACCCTGAAATTGACAGTAAAATAAATCCTCTAGCGACCACCTTTATTAACAATACATATAGATCAAACTTATAACTTTTTGAGTAATACAAGATCTATGAGTTATAATTGACTGTTGAACTACCCAGTGGTAGTTTTTACTAGGGGTGTTCAGTTCTGAATACCTTGTACTTTTTGAAAGAATCGGAACCGACGGTTCCTTGAAATTTGGAATCAGAACTGGAACCGATGGTTCCTGTTTCTAGGTACCCAGAACCAGAACCTGTAACAACGGTTCTGGTTCTGGGTACCCTGTAAAATTTAATGACCCCCCAAAAGTTTTTAAAATGGTAAAAAAACCCTTAAAAACTTACAAATACCCCGCACCTGACATTTGTTAACAAAAATAAAATTACAAATTACAAACTTCATTACTTTGTAAAGATAGATTCTCAAAAGTCAAACCAACTTACTTTAAATGTTATGAAATATAAATGTATTGACATTATTTTTTCTATAAAAGCTTTTATTAACCCCCATAATCTTTAATTTTATTTTATATTAGTCTCAGTTTCTGGTTTCTGGTTCCAGTTTCGGTTCCTAACTATAAGAATCGGAACTAGAATCGCATAGTAACGGTTCCTAAAATTTAGAACCGGAACCTATCTATTAATGATTGGTTTTGGGTAGGAATTTGAACCAAACCTAGGATATCCATCGGTTCCAGTTCTAACCGATTCTTTTGAACACTTCTAGTTCTTACCCCTGATTTTATATATCTCAACTTTTTATCTTTAAATTAATATAAATTATTTAATATAACGTTTAAAGGATAAAATGGTTATTCCAAATCTCAAGTCTCATTCACGCTCTCTCAACTCACCGCCATTGTCGACTATCAAGCTAGGAGGGGGATTTTGTACAAGAAATGTTGATAGAGTTCGACTTTAATTAATTTTGTTTTACTTTAAATCTAAGGTAGTTTTATAATTAACACGTGTATAATTATTACTTGAAGTTTATAATTAATACGTGTCAAAATTGATACTAATCACAATCATCACAATTATTTAAATGAATAAAAAAATTAGATAATGTTTTTAATAACCCAATGAATAAACAAATATTAACATGGAAAAGCGGCGATGAAACAAAGCAAAGCGGGCAACGTCTTTGGCCACTGGTACGGGTACCACCACCAAAACAAAAAAGTTAATACAACAGTAGTATTAGTAGTTTATTTAAAACAGAGAGTGAGTGAGTGAGTGACACAGAGAATCTGTGCTCATGTAAATTTTGCTTATAAATACTGAAACAATCCCTCACTTGTCCCGAATAAAACAGACCTCTCTCCGTTCTGTTTTTTTCTTTAACTGTTCATTGCTAGTAGTAGGGTTTTTGTATCTCATGGACGCCTACGCACTGCATCTAGCCATGGCGGCTCTCGTTGGCTCCTCCTTTGTGGCCGTATCGGCCTACCATATGCATAGGAAAACCCTAACGCAGTTACTTGAGTTTGCCAAATCGCTCGAGAGAGAACGAGACGAGAACAACATCATCTCCGACGCGGTTTTCTATTTTTTAATAAATCACCGCCACTCCTAAATCCTAATTACAACACATGCTTCTTCTACTTACTAATTAATCACTATTTACCACTTGTATTTTTCTCAAGGTTTAGCAAATGACAAGTTCTCACCTCTGGTTTCTTTTTTGGTGGTCAAGGATATCCAAGCCAGTTTATATGCACCTCAACATTTCCTAAGATCTTAAAGTTGACAATGAGATAAATCTCATAGTGGCCATCCTTATTAACAACTTAGGTAAATCGAACTCAAAACCTCTTGAGTAATATAAGATCTAAAAGTCATAATTAACTGTTTGATCATTCAATGATGGTTCTTATTCCTGGTCTCATATATTCCAAATTTTTACCTTTAAATTAATATAACGTTTAAAGGATAAAATAGTCTTTTCAAATCTTAGATCTCATTGACGCTCTCTCAACTTACCATCATTGTCGACTAATGGTAGGCAATAAGGTAGGAGGGGGATTTTGTCCAAGAGGTGTTGATAGAGTTGACTTTAATTAATTTTGTTTTACTCTTAATCTAAGGTAGTTTTATAATTAATACGTGTATAATAATTACTTGAAGTTTATGATTAATACGTGTCAAAATTGATACTAATCACAATCATCGTAATTATTTAAATGAATAAAAAAATTAGATAATGTTTTTAATAACCCAATGAATAAACAAATATTAACATGGAAAAGCGGCGATGAAACAAAGCAAAGCGGGCAACGTCTTTGGCCACTGGTACGGGTACCACCACCAAAACAAAAAAGTTAATACAACAGTAGTATTAGTAGTTTATTTAAAACAGAGAGTGAGTGAGTGAGTGACACAGAGAATCTGCGCTCATGTAAATTTTGCTTATAAATACTGAAACAATCCCTCACTTGTCCCGAATAAAACAGACCTCTCTCCGTTCTGTTTTTTTCTTTAACTGTTCGTTGCTAGTAGTAGGGTTTTTGTATCTCATGGACGCCTACGCACTGCATCTAGCCATGGCGGCTCTCGTCGGCGCCTCCTTTGTGGCCGTATCGGCCTACCATATGCACAGGAAAACCCTAACGCAGTTACTTGAGTTTGCCAAATCGCTCGAGAGAGAACGAGACGAGAACAACATCATCTCCGACGCGGAATCGCCGCAGCATGTTAAACGCCATGCGTCGCGTCGCGCTCGGGAGAGGCGGAAGGGAAACAGCTATTATCGCCGCGGCTCGGCTTCGTTACCGGACGTTATGACCTTTTCTGTTCCAGCGATTGATGGCGATGATAGGCGAAACGGTCCGCTTCCTGTCGACGGGATTCCCCCCGGGCTTCCTAGGCTGCACACACTGCCTGAAGGTACGGCTTTAAGGACTTATTGCTGGAGCGATAGACTTTTTTTTTTTTTTTTTAGTTAGGTTATATATGGAGAAACGATAAGCTTCTGTTAATGAATAATGAAACAATATTGTAGTGAATATATATTAGACTTGTCATTTTGAAACTAAATGATGCCTAGTTTTAATTTTTAAAACAATTTATTCTGCATTGCAACTTTTACTAGTATACGGTTTCTGTCTTCTTTTTCATGAAGAAAGAATAGAAAAGTTGAACTCGACTTAAAATAAAGCAAAAATAATCTGAAACGTAAAAGCTAAAAGGGAGTGAATGACTACGGTGGCATATTATTCGTTTAATATATTCCAGGGTGGAAACAGTTTTTTCTTTTCTTTTTTGTTTTCAGAGAATTTATGAACTGATTTTGAGGACGGTTGATGTTGATCAACAAAATGGAAATATGCATATGGATTTTTACTTTTCTTAATCCACTGAAATGTGTTATGGTTTACCAGCACTTGTGTTGTATAACCTTTTGCTTTAGGGACTTCTCTTCTTTTTGAAGAAGTCCTAAGGATGGAAACATGCTTCTCCTCTGCTTTTAACAAATGAGAAGGACAGATAAATCAGTGATTTTAGCTAATAATAATATTAACTTCAAACATACAATTATAACTGCACTTACTATTGTCTATTCAAGTACAATTGTTATATTTCAGGGAAATCTGCTGGACATGGAGATTCAACAAAGAGGGTCGGGAGTCTTATCAGGCCAACTTCTCCTAAATCTCCTGTTGCTAGTGGTAGTGCCTTTGAGAGTGTGGAAGGATCTGATGAAGAGGATAATATGACTGACGGTTCTAAACTGGACACTACTTACCTGCATACTAACGGAAATGCGGTAAGTTACTTAAGCAATTATGAAGCACTTTTTTATTTCCTAATGAGCTACAATTTTTTAAATTCTGTTTCTCTCTCTCTCTCTCTCTCTCTCTCTCTCATATATATACTCATATTACAAAAAATTAACTTAGCATTGGGTACTGCAAATTATACTGTGACCTCTTGGCTGAGGAATGAAGATTTCCTGGATAATCCCTTAAAAAATCCCTTTTAATAAGATTTGTTTTACTGTATTTCTATTTTATGTCTAGAATCTTGATGGACTTATGAGTTATTTATGAAACTCTTATGTTCAGGGCCCGAATTTAGCAGACCACAATCCCAATGGAGAGCAAATGTCTACAGCTCCTTCAAGCATGATTCGATCCCATAGTGTATCTGGTGACCTGCATGGGGTTCAGCCTTATCCTATTGCAGCTGATATTTTGAGGAAAGAGCCAGAGCAAGAAACTTTTGCTCAACTTGTGATCACTCCTACTGGTATTGACTATTTTCAGCTCGATTTGATGTACATTACAATCATTTTTTACGTTATTAGAGAGATAAGGGTCGCAAGCTTTTCTCAACAGCTTCTGTTGGGACTTAATTGATAAAACTGGCAAACCTGGTCACTTTAGATACAAAGTTGCCATTTTATCTGTTTGATTTATTGTCAATATGTTAATAAATTTTGAATGAACTGCTAAGCTGATACTTTTGGAATGCCAAATTTGTTCCTGTTTCTGATGTGGTTGTGTCTTTGTTTGAAAAATATGTTATATGTCAAGTTTGCACAATTTAATGTTTAATTGTGGGTTGAGATATGCTCAGCTCTAGCTGTGATTTTCTTATCTCTTAAACCATTTTCCAGAGGTGCCATCTCCGGATGAAGTAGAGGCCTATGTGGTACTTCAAGAATGCCTTGAAATGCGAAGGAGATATTTATTCAGGGAAGCAATTGCTCCATGGGAGAAAGAAGTAATATTGGACCCCAGTACACCAAAGCCTAATCGAGAACCATTTTCTTTTACTTCCGCGGGAAAATCTAATGTGAGTTCATGTTTATGATCATTCCCACGTTCTGTGCCTCCACAAATCTTACTAGTGTTGTCACTTTATGCTATTTTTCTGCTCTTAAACATGCCTTATTTTTTTCTGCAGCATTACTTTGAAATGCAAGATGGAGTTATTCATGTTTATCCGGATAAAGATTGTAAGAGACATCAAGTTGTGCTTCTCTTGTTTTTCATGATTCATGGAGATCTATTCCTTTATCAAATGTTTATTCTGTTTAACTCTTGCTTTTTTTTTTCTTTTTTTTTTAATTGTTCTCTAACCAGCAAAGGAAGAGCTTTTCCCTGTCGCGGATGCAACGACCTTTTTCACCGATCTGCATCACATACTTCGAGTTATTGCATTAGGAAATATGAGAACTCTATGTTTTCAGCGGTTGGCTCTTCTGGAACAAGTGAGTACTTATCTCTTGATAATTATAAGTTACTGAAATGCATTCTTTTAAAAATTATTGTCAGTAGCAATTAGATCCTTACCATGTATATTTTTTCTTTGGTGCTGTGCAGAAGTTCAATCTTCATTTGATGCTTAATGCGGATAGGGAGTTTCTTGCTCAGAAAAGCGCACCTCATCGTGACTTTTATAATGTTAGGAAAGTTGATACACATGTCCATCATTCGGCATGCATGAACCAGAAACATCTTTTAAGGTTTATAAAGTCCAAATTGAGGAAAGAGCCTGATGAGGTAACTATTTGTATATATCTGATGATATGTTGTCAAATTCTCTTTTCTGACAGTCATTCATGACTAATATGGCATGCTCCAATCCTTTTTAACATTATGTCTTTGCCAAGTAACTAATGACAAAATTATTGTCCTCTTAAGAATTCATGTCAATTATACATTTAGGTATTTGGTCATAAATTTTGCATTGTTTGTTCAGTAACACTAATTATTGTCTTCTCTAATCAGGTTGTGATATTCCGTGATGGGACATACTTGACCCTGAAAGAAGTATTTGAGAGCTTGGATTTAACCGGGTAATGAAATTTCCCTATTGTGGTCTTCATTTTTCCTCACTCCAACCCCTGAAAAATTATAAATTTTTTGTCTTATTGTTGATATTTTTATTGAGTTATTAAAATCTGTAATCTTTGTTAATATTGGTTGAACAGGTATGATCTCAACGTTGATCTTTTGGATGTTCATGCAGACAAGAGCACATTTCATCGCTTTGATAAGTTCAATCTTAAGTATAATCCCTGTGGTCAAAGTCGGCTGAGGGAAATTTTCCTTAAGCAGGACAATCTTATCCAAGGTATGCTTTTTTTATTTATTAGGTTAAGCCACATATGATATGCTGGGGCTGCAACTATGGAAAATGACACCTTTAACTTTGTAATGGAAGATCATATAATTGTCTCTCTTTTGTAATCCATGCCTGAATTCAGATCTTAAACCTAGTTAACTACTGCTATATATGGAATTTGTTTCACTACTTCAAATCTGTACTGAGATGAATACTTCTTGCCTTTGCACTTATTTTCGAAATCAATATTTGGGACTTTATTTTTATTTACCTAGTAGTTATCTGTCAATACTTAGAAAATGTGAATTAAATGGGTATCTAGTTGTGAATTCTATTTTGGAGTTTTGAGGAATTTCAATTTTTTTTCTTATGAGTCCTGCTACTATGTCATGCTGACTTGTCTTCACTAGATAGATGATTCTTTGTGCCATGGTTTGATTCCTTTGGTTGAACTAGAAGCTCCTCCCTCACAACTTGTTGATTTATTGTGGTCATATTTTTGTTTGTGATTGAACAGGTCGTTTCCTTGGTGAGCTGACGAAGCAAGTGTTTTCTGACCTTGAAGCAAGTAAATATCAGGTGCTTCCTTTACCTTTTTATACTGCTATGCGTAACAGCTTCAGATTTTTTCTTTATCTTTGATGCTATGGTAGTTTAAGAGGGTTGCTGAATTGATTTTTGGAGATGAGTTTATTTGCGCATTTTATAGACAAAGGCATAAAGTGGATGGAATAGTTTGGCTGAATCTCTGTTTGATGCTAAAAAATTGTTAGATTTCACATGGTAATTTCATACTTAAAATTTGGCTCATGGTTTTACTTTATCTTGTAGGAAGTGGTATTGATTATAATCTATCTGTATAGTTGGAGCTGTTCTATTAAGACATCTGTGTATGATTCTATTGCTACGATGACATTAAACTATGGAAAAAAGATTGGGCAAACTTTTCTTTACATGTATTATAATCTACATTATGCTTTTGCATGTGGTTTTGATGTTCTGTATCTCTCTCTATATATGTGTGTTTATGTACATGTATGTTTGCTTGTTTACCATGCTTGATGCTTAATTTGGTTACTGCAGATGGCTGAATATCGAATATCAATATATGGAAGGAAACAAAGTGAATGGGACCAAATGGCAAGTTGGATTGTGAACAATGAATTGTACAGTGAGAATGTTGTATGGTTAATTCAGGTACTGTTGAAAATTTCTCAGAATTTATGTAAGTGTATGTTGTAAAATATTGGAGATTAGATTTATTGCTCCCCTCTCTATGAATGTATGTGAAACTTTGCATATTGTGCTAATTAGTTCTTGCTCATGGTGGTTGTCATTTTGCTTTATATCAAGAAGGTATATGCCTGGATAAGAGCATTACATCTAACATTAGTAAATATTGTGCCATTATCCCAAAAAAGAAAAAAAAATCCATAATGAGCTGATAAGAGGCTTTCTATATTTGTCTATATATAGCTTGCTCTGAGGATGATGAAGTATAGTTATTGGTCAGAGGTTCTGTATAGAATAAAGCATTAGTATCTCTTTCGTCTTTTGTTTTGATCCCTATCGAGATTTTTCTTTATTTTTTATCTCTCTGTATACCTGCTAGTGTTTTTATTCAGGTTTCTCTTGATACTTACAATGCCAAACAATTTCATGGGTTTTGGGGACTTTTATGGGATTTGCATTCACAGATTGCATGGTATATATATATATATATATATATATTTTTTTTTTTTTTTTTTCTGTTTTCCAGCTTCCACGGCTGTACAATGTGTACAAGGAAATGGGGATTGTGACATCCTTCCAGAACATTCTTGACAACATCTTTATTCCACTGTTTGAGGCTACTGTGGATCCTGATTCTCATCCTCAGTTGCATGTTTTCCTGAAACAGGTTTGATATCATTCTGTGTAATCTTCTAGTATTATTATGTTGGGATTGTATCTTTTACTGAAGTTTGGGATTAGATTATTCCATTTTGTGATATATCTGATCCACTATCTAATCTTTTTTCCCAGTAATGCACATATCTAAGTTTCCTATCAACAAAAGTTATGAGATAACCTGCTTTGTTTTATTGTTTATTCTGTACTCTTTTGAACTTTTAAGTCTTAGACTTAACTGTGTGATATGAACCTATCATTTATTTGGATTTTTAGGTTGTTGGGTTGGATTTAGTTGATGATGAGAGCAAGCCTGAAAGACGCCCCACAAAACATATGCCCACCCCGGCTCAATGGACCAATGTATTCAATCCGGCATATTCATACTATGTGTATTACTGCTATGCTAACCTCTACACATTAAACAAGGTTTGTATTATTATCTCTTAGCAATCTTGTTCTTCAAAACAAGGTTCTCTTTCCACTTTGGGGGAAAAAAGCTTGTGATTTACCCTTGTTACCCTCTGTACCCAACAAATCTAAATTGTCAAATAAATACATAGGGTCATTTTTTTAAGCATGAGTTCGTAACTTCTTTCCTAATGTAATCTATTATTCCTATCTGTTAATTTTAATCCTGAGTCTTTGGTCCTGTCATCCATATTACCGCTGCTATTTCTAGGTGCTAATGCCTTGATTTTGGTGCTTCAAGTGCTAATTTGTGAGATAATACCTTTCAGCTTCGGGAGTCCAAGGGCATGACGACTATCAAATTCCGCCCACATTCTGGAGAGGTACTCATGGAAGCTTCTTTTACTTGATCATAATATCCTATTGTTGGTTGTCTCATGTATGATATTTTCAGGCTGGTGACATTGACCACCTTGCTGCAACATTTCTCACGGCTCATAATATTGCACATGGAATAAATTTAAGAAAATCTCCTGTTCTCCAGTATCTCTATTATTTGGCACAGGTAAGTATGAAAGGAGACTGGTGTCAAGTTTATGCTACCAAGTTGTGATTTGCAATTTTAACTATGTTACCATGTTTATCAGATTGGTCTTGCTATGTCTCCTCTGAGCAACAACTCCTTGTTTTTGGACTATCATCGGAATCCTTTACCTATGTTTTTCCTACGGGGTCTCAATGTGTCACTATCAACAGATGATCCACTTCAAATTCACCTAACTAAAGAACCTTTGGTGGAAGAATATAGCATAGCTGCTTCTGTGAGCTCTCTGCTTCTCTTCTCTCTCCCTCCTCTCACCATTTTACAACATCTAGATCTTAAATACATAATGATCAAGCCCTTTCCTTACAGGTGTGGAAATTGAGTTCATGTGACTTATGTGAGATTGCCCGAAATTCAGTCATCCAATCAGGTTTCTCACATGCTTTAAAGGTATGTACACTTATCCATCTGACATGATAGGAGATGTTGTTTTTCATTGAGAAGGATGGTGGCCCAATGCTTTCCTCTTTTATAATGAAGAGTGAGGTTGGACTTTTGAAGTTGGCAGTGATTGACATGATATTTATTGTGACTGTAATGAATTTGATAGGCAGCTTGTCATTAGAAATGACTACCATGAAAATTGGACTTCTCCCTGTAAGTGTGGATGATTTTTTTTCAAAAAATTATATATTTTAGATGTATTCTTGTTCAATCTTATTGCATTCATGTGAATTTGCCAAAAACAAGTAAATAACATAGATTTGGAGTTGACTAAGGGATCCTATTTTGTCATGATTCACTCTGAATTAATATTATACACCAATCTCAGCAACTTTGAATGTATATGCTACCGTGCTGAATAACAGTGCATTAGGTTATTTTTTTTTTTTTTTTCTTAATTAATGATACTGTTTGGTTTTAGCATATCACCAGCTCCACTGATATCAACATTTAACATGCAAATTATGACAGAAGCTGGAGAGACCTTCTGGAGTTATACTAAATTTGTCTAGGTATTTTGATGTTTATGTCTATCTAATTGTTAGATCTGATCTATTAAGTTTTTTGGTTTCAGTCACATTGGATTGGGATGAAGTACTACAAAAGAGGACCAGATGGAAATAATATTCACAAAACAAATGTGCCCCATATCCGGGTGAAATTCCGTGACACGGTATGAAATTTTCTCTCATATGCTTCCCATCCTTGTGTTTTGGAACATTAGAATTTATTCTCTGTTCTTTTTTGTTATTATTCGTAAATGTAAGAATTTTTATGAAAATTAGAAAAATCTATGTTAAAATGGCTGCTGCAGATCTGGAGAGAGGAGATGCAACAAGTTTATTTGGGGAAGGCAATAATTCCCGAAGAAGTGGACAGGTGATGGCTGCAACAAGTTATTTGATCCATTATTGGAAACAGTTCGTTATGTTTGTAGAGGTAGATATAAACTTGTTATATGTTGTTTGAGATATTCACGGAGATTAAATGGTCGGTTAATCTGGATTTGCCCTATATGTTGCAGATGGAGGTTAAGTACCTGCACTTGAACCTATTGATACTTTGTGAAAAGGGAGAAAGCATTGATTATGGAAGATGAGAAACGGCTTGGGACAAACACGGTGAACTCAAAACAAGATTGGAGGACTGAGGAAGACCATTGTACATGATGGAACGGAACAATAAGATGGAGAAATCCACTACATATCAGACAGAGCTCCAATCTATATACACAGACATAGCAACAAGTAGTCGGATACTATATTGATAATATAATATAATATATATGTTTTTAACTTTAGCTTAAAATTAGGATCAATAATTAATATCATAAGAGGCTGAATTTGATATTATTGCAGCTTTTTGTACCTTGTATGCTTACACATTGGCAAGGGGAAAATAGTTCTCTTGCTTCATCAATTTTGTCCCGTAATCTTTACCAGCTACAGTTGGCGATTGTGTCATGAACTATAATATTCAGTGCAATACCTAATATTTACTGTCTCTGGTTCCAGTAAATAATTATGCTAATTGGGATTTTAGATAATCCCTTCCTCTACCCATTAATTACCTTTGACCATCAATTTACGTTGTGTTGGGACTTTGAAGCGTAATGGAGGGGCGTTTGACAAAAACACCGCATTATCATTTTGGGTGCGTTTTGGTTTGAAGAATGTTTTATTATTGAAAAGGTAGGATTACTTTCAAAATAGATTATTATTTCTGTGATAAATTACTTTAAAGATTACGAGGAAATATTATATCTTGGTTAGATTAGTAGATATAAATAATTAAGATATTTGGTTAGGAAAAACAAAATATTATTGATAGACTTTTATTGAATTGCTATTCTTTTTTAATATAATAATAATAATATATTATTATTATTATTTAAATAAATTCCTTTAACCCCCTATATTTAAGAATTGAGTTAAACACCCCAACAACAAAGTTTAAATTTTAACAAAATATCTCTAGCCATCCAAGACCACTGTCGACCGTCGAAGTCAATCACCAAAACAGCACACGATCGACGAGATCAGGCTAGCCATGCACTGTTTTGGCTTTTTTTTGCCAGATTGAAGGTTGAAAACAGTTAGATCACTGTGGATATGGTTGTTTCTAGCCAGATCCATGCTGATCTAGTTGTTTTCAGCCAAATCGAAAGTTGAAAACAGCCAGATTGTCGTTGATCTGGTCGAAAATGACCACAAATGGTCGATCTATTTTGGCCGTTTTCGGCCAGATCCACGACGATCTGACCGTTTTTTACCTTCAATCATTGTTTTAAAACCCAGACCAGAGGGCAACCCGTTTTGCTGCTTGAGTCATGGGTCAATCGGTCCAATCGGTTGGATCAATGACATCCGCGACAATTTTATTTTTAAAAAATTACATATTAGTCTCTTAAATTTTAATATATTACAAAATTCCCTTAAAAAGTTCAAATTAGTCCCTAAAGTTTTTATTTATTACAAAAATACCCTAAAAAATTATCAATTAATCCATAAACTTTTGACATATCTCCAAAACACCCCTATAAAATTACAAATTAACCCTTATAATTTTAAAATATTATATAAACCCCCTAAGACCTGAACCGGACCGGAGAAGCTACCGGGTCCAGGTCGGATCGATCCGGTCTGATTTTTAAAACAGAGCCTTCAATCTGGCCAAAAACAACCAGATCGACACACGGATGACCTGATCCTGCCTGTCATGCGTTAATATGGTGACTATTGTCGATGGCCGACGGTGGTGGCTGACGGTCCACGATGGTCTTTGTTGACTAGGGGTAATTTATTAACTTTTAAACTTTTTGTGACGAAGGTGTTTTAGTTAAATTCTAAAATATAAGGGATCTGAGTTATTGTTATTTGGTAAACATTTGAGGGCAATTATGTCTAAAATGGTATTTAATTAAGGGTAAAATGGGTATAAAATTAAGATTAGCCTGGTAATCTTTAAATATCATCCCTTATTTAACCTGCAGTAATCATTGTTGGTATTGAAAGATTACTAAAATCTTTTATTACTTGACAAGAGAATGTTCGAAATTAAAGATAGATTATCAGAGTTATTTTTCCAGAGCCCTAACCAAACACACCCTTTGGATATCTAAAATCTATTTATCATCATTTTTTTTTTTTTTGACATCACACTTAACACAAGCAAAGCGTGATTTTAACCTATAATTTTTACTTGAGATTCTTTTTTCATTATTTCAGCAACAGGTGGGTCTCTAGTCTAAACATCAGGCTTCAATCCTCAACTGTTTCCCGCATGATATATTCAGTCTGTTTCAGCAGAATTAAGGAATAATTAAAAGATAAATATAGACTGTACTAAACTGGATGACACTGAATCTCGAGNTTGGGACAAACACGGTGAACTCAAAACAAGATTGGAGGACTGAGGAAGACCATTGTACATGATGGAACAATAAGATGGAGAAATCCACTACATATCAGACAGAGCTCCAATCTATATACACAGACATAGCAACAAGTAGTCGGATACTATATTGATAATATAATATAATATATATGTTTTTAACTTTAGCTTAAAATTAGGATCAATAATTAATATCATAAGAGGCTGAATTTGATATTATTGCAGCTTTTGGTACCTTGTATTGGTTACACATTGGCAAGGGGAAAATAGCTCTCTTGCTTCATCAATTTTGTCCCGTAATCCTTACCAGCTACAGTTGGCGATTGTGTTATGAACTATAATATTCAGTGCAATACCTAATATTTACTGTCTCTGGTTCCAGTAAATAATTATGCTAATTAGGATTTTAGATAAATAATCCCATCCTCTACCCATTAATTACCTTTGACCATCAATTTACGTTGTGTTGGGAGTTGGGACTTTGAAGCATTATGGAGGGGTGTTTAACAAAATCACCGTATTATCATTTTGGGTGCATTTGGTTTGGGAAATGTTATATTGCTGAAAATGTAGAATTATTTTTGAGATAGATTACTATTTTTGTGATAAATTACCTTAATCTTTAAGGGGGAATATTATATCAATATGTTTGGTTAATAAATTCCTTTAACCCCCTATATTTAAGAATTTAGCTAAACACCCCCAATAACAAAGTTTAAATTTTAATAAAATACCTCTGGCCATCCAAGACCACTGTCGATCGTCGGAGTCAATCACCAAAACGGCACACAACCGGCGAGATTAGGCTAGCCATGCGCTGTTTTGGCTAGATTGAAGGTCGAAAACAATCAGATTACCGTTGATCTGGTCGAAAACGGCCTCAAATTGTCGATCTACTCTGACCGTTTTCGGCCAGATCCACGGCAATCTGGCCGTTTTTTACTAGACCCACGACGATCTGGCCGTTTTCGACCTTCGATTTGGCCAAAAACAGCCAGATCGGCATACGAATAGCCTGATCCCACCGATCATGCGTCAATATAGTGACTATTGCCGGTGACCGACGGTGGTGGTTGGTGGTCAACGGTGGTCTTTGGTGACTGAGGGTAATTTATTAACTTTTAAACTTTTTGTGGCTGAAGTGTTTTAACTAAATTCTAAAATGTAGAGAGTTTTGGTTATTGTTATTTGCTAGACATTTGAGGGCAATTATGTACAGAATGATATTTAATTAAGGGCAAAATAGATATAAAATTAGGATTAGCCTGATAATCTTTAAATACCACCCTCTTAACTAGCAGTAATCATTATTGATATTGAAAGATTACCAAAATCTTTTATTACTTGACAACCAAATAAGAGAATGTCCGAAATTAAAGATAGATTATCGAAGTTATCTTTTCAAAGCCCTAACCAAAACATACCCTTTGGATATCTAAAATCTATTTATCATCATTTTTTTTTTTTTTAATATCACACTTAACACAAGCAAAGCGTGATTTTAACCTATAATTTTTACTCCGAGATTTTTATTTTCATTATTTCAGGAACAGGTGGGTCTCTAGTCTAAACATCAGGCTTCGATCCTCAACTGTTTCCCGCATGATACATTCAGTCTGTTTCAGCAGAATTAAGGAATAATTAAAACATAAATATAGACTGTACTAAACTGGATGACACTGAATCTCAAGAAAGTTGCCAGTAATTTAAGCTAACAGTGACCAATACAAAAATCAAAAGCATATTTCCTCGTTAGGGCAGTGCAACGAGTCACAGCCGATCTTCACATTGCAGAGTTTAAAGTCTGGCCATATTTAACCCTACAAAGCATGATCTTGGCCAAGATTTTTATTCTTATCGATCAGGTGGCTCATAAGAACAACTCTGTAAATGTCCTGTGATTTCTCTTTTCAATAAACAAAAAAGGGAAATCAAAAATCATTAGCAAACATAAGTCTTTAGCAATTCAACTCGCTTATAAATTTCTAATTCAAAACAATTAACCTATCATAAATAGTATCGTTGTTACTCAAGATTATGAATTATGAAAAATAAATATCCGGAGAAAATTGGGGCGCATGCACCTAAAATTTAGCATACACTATGGAGTACAAGTGCAATGGACAACACTATACTTCTATTTCTTGTGTTGCTTTATCTCTTTGATTACACCATCTGCTAGCGAATCAACATCATTATTCTTCCCAAAAAATTTTACAAACTCCATCTTAGGACTCATTAAGTACCTGCACAAGATTACATAATTGTCACAAAGTTCAACAAGGGGCCTCGTATAAGTTGAGAGACCATCTTTCTGATGTACTCTTAAACAAAATATGCCAATTTTATTCCTTTGTTATTATCATTTCTCTCTCTTAATAGATCAAAAAATCATTCTTGTAAAGGATACACCATAAAAATCATACGGCAGTTACAAAAAACAGTGCACAGCAGACATAGATACTATTACTCGAGAGGCAGCAATTTTATGAATCCAGCCTAACTAATCATTAAGCTAATGTTTCATAGCTTCTTACGAATATGGAAGCTAAGAATTGATAGCATGGAAAGGAAGCTTGATAACTAGTAAACTAATCCAAACATCATAAAAAGGTCATCTAACAATAAATATTTAAGAAAATAAAAAAGATAAACATAACATATAATGGACAGATGATGACTTATAAACCATTAACATAAGCAGAAAATTTTGAAGTGAAAAAGTTGCAGAAAACTGATACGTACATGACTATGGAGTGATCAACAAGATAATCTGAATCTTCCTCTGCTGTCTTCATATAATAAACTCGATATGCACGAGCAACTTTCTTTATCTCATCTGGACTCCCAGTTAACCCAACCAGTTTTGGATGAAACTCTGTGATAGTAAAAAAGCATGGAAATCAACTTGAATTGATCCAATCATAGTTAATATGAGCAAACAAAACCAAAAAGTGCACTTTAAGAAATGAATTAAGAAGCACCTTTGACATACTCGCGTACTTGCTCCACAGTATCTCTCTCAGGATCAACAGAGATGAACACAGGCACAACATCAATTCCCCCTTTTTCCTCTACAACATAAAAATAATAACCATTACATCCTCATAGTAAATTTTTCAAGCTAGTTTCTCCCATGTAATATGTATCCTGCAACTTGGAAATAGATCTTGAATTTACATCAATAATTTTGTTAAGGGAAGCTATTCTTGGAGTAGTTTTTATCCAAATTTAAAGTTTCGATCATGCCTCTAACTTAACCTCCATTTGGATAATGATAGATGTGGAGGGGCAAGACTATCAACTCAGATTTCTTGTAAATTAGTTACAGGTACAAACTTTAACAACTAGAATATTCTGAAGTTTGATGAGCAACATACACTAAAAACACTACACTGTACATCACTAAAGACATTACTAGTCACCAGCCCAAAATAAACTTCAGATATGCCTATAATTTGTTCAAATTACAGGTAGTATTGTTCACTACAAGATTCAGAAGCAGAATAGTAGAGACAAAAAGAGTGATTCCATAGTAATATTGCAAAATGCAGAAAAGAGATAGAAACTCACTTGTTTTATCAACTGCAGCAGCTAGCTTTTGTAACTCATCTGGGCAGATATCAGGACAATGAGTGAAGCCAAAATATATCATTGTCCAATTCCCTAGAAAGTCTTTATCAGTTACGCGCTTCCCGTCATGGTTTATAAGATTAAATGGCCCCCCAATGGCCGCTTTGCCTGCAGATGGTCCTTGTTTAACAGCTTGTGAAGCATTATTTATTTCTGCAGCAACAAATGTAATATCAGAGAAGATCTAGCAAAATGCTTGCAAGATCAAGGCCATCAGCACTGTAAACAAAAAACCAATCTATCAATGTGTGTATGCATAATAATTAATTTGCTGCACCAGTGGCACAATTAGCTACCAAACCTTACAAGTGCTACGTTAACTTCTTTCATTCTTTACTACTAAAAGCATTCATTGGAAAAGAAACAGTTCACAACATGATAAAATCAGCCACACCGCACATATGTGGCATATGATTAACAAACAGGGTGCGTAATTACACATGCTAATACATATATCAAAAACTCACCATAGAAATCTACCTTCAATATGTCGTTTCTTTTCCCTGTCATAGTACCATATTATTCCAGCTCCAGTAAGAACCAACAATAGAAAACTCAACCATGAAACAGGCTGCCAAAAAAAAGAAAAAGAAAAAATCAGTATTCAATTAATTCATATAACAAACAAAATCCCCCAAACGCAATATTTGCAATCTTTTTAGAAACAAAAATAAAAAAACCAATCATTACCCCGCCACGAACAGGTTTTCCACCATCGCTTTTGCCTTGATTCGAATCTCCCGATTTTTCAGCTCCTTCAGAATGCGATTTCGCATCGCTTTTCGGTACAGGTTTTTCGGATTCAACAGCTGTAGGTGTGGTACTGGTACTCAACAAATATCTTTGATTAATCACAAAAGATTGAATTCCAAGACCAAAAGGGAGAACCTGAATAAAAAAAAAAAAATTATAATTAAATAACTATACAACAGTTTTTATTACTAAATAAAATTAAAGTAATAAGAGAGAACAAACTAACGAACGAACCGGTGGAATTAAAGGTAGAGTTCGAAGGTGAAGCGCGTGGATGATTGATGGTGATGCAACTGTGGATCGGCATTGGCCAAAAGTACCAACATAAGAATAGAGACGTATATGTTTACAGAGGTTTCGAAGATGATTTGCTTTACTAGCAATAGCTGTTGCCATGCCTCTTCAGAGATTTGGTATTGCAGTAGCTCGATTTCTAGTTTCTCTCTTCGTTCTTCATTAAACCCCTACAAGGGGTTTTAATCCCAGTTATTCTGGGGCTGCTTGGAGCCCAATGGGCTCAACAAGACTGAGGCCCAAATGAAAGTTAGGTATAATAAAGGGTTAATATCTTTGATCTCCCCCGAATTTTACTATCGAATAAAACACCCATATAATTTGTGAATGATCACCAACCTCTTTTGAAAGTCTGCTTAACCTTAAATAAAAATTGTTTAGCGTTTCAGCAATAAGGATATTTTCCCAGCAAGTGCTAATAATGATGCTTCCTTATCAACAATTTTGGATTTATAACTTGAATAATAATTTTTTTTTTTTCCTTGGATTCTCCTAAATCATGTAGTTTTTTTTTCTTCTATTAATGTAATTATTTTGTTTATATCCAAACCAGATAAAAAGAACCTCGTCGCTAGGTATTGGTGTAGGGCGCCAAGGATCCCATTCCCGATTCCCTAGGGGGGGTTCCCTGTCCCCGCCCCCGAATTTGTTGGGGAATCCCCAACCAATTCGGGGCCGGTTAGATGCCCATCCCTACTCGTTGCAACAAGTGCGATACTGTATGAGTGTATATTTTGCTTGGCTTTTAATCTTGCTATTGCCAGGATCACAACCCGGAACAACAAACATGATTTGGTAGAATATAGACACAAAAGGTTGAAATACAGATAAACCTCCACAAATGCAGATATTTATTTATATTACCACGACTAAGTAGATAGCTACAATTTATATTAAAAAAAAAGCTACATGATACATCAGAGATAACCAGTTACTGCGACACTAAACCCAATATTGCAAAACTCGTTTCGGCCAATCCTTATGGTGAAAAAGTGTAGAAATTATTCTGTATGGTGCAGTACCAGATCCAACATTCTATTGTATGAATCACTGGTTCTTAGACTGCAAAAAATGTTCACACAGTTAAGGCCGAACCACTTAAGTATATATGTCATATCACATTATGTAATAGATACCAACCTCAAAATTTTTTGAGAAATCTTTCATCTGCTCAGCAAGTTCTTGCCTCTTCTGAACAGCTGCACGAATACAATAACCAAAATTTAAGAATAAATTGGCTCAACACAATCAATCACTTCAGTCCCTTGTAACCACATATTTTTGGGCTAAATACAAATTAGCAAAAGAACATCAAATTCAAACATAGCAAAGTAACTCAATGGCAATGAAAACATACCCTTACTAGAAATATCTTCAATCCTCTTTGATGTCCTCACAGCAAACCGTTGGAATGCAGGACTGAGAAACCACAACAGAAAAAACGTTAGAAAACCATGGAACCTGCAAAACATAAATTTGTTGCTTTAAATGCCCATATGCAATATAATGCAACATCAAAGATGTCAGGTTAAGAGAATAACGCCTCAGCTCTTAAATGTTACTTGCAGCATCATTTTCACAATGGGTACAAGCCTACGAAGAGTCATCTTAGGCAAGATAAAGATAAAGATAAAGACAAACAAACACACACAAAGGTATAACAAATCAACTTCAATGAGATTACTCAGAGGAAAAGGAACCAAGAGGGTGATCAGGATTACAAAGCCTCAGCTCTTAAACATTAATTGCAGCATCATTTCCATGATCAGTACAAGCCTACGAAGAGTCATCATTGGCAATAGAGAGAGAAAGTCATCATTGGTAAGATAAGAGAAAAAATATATATGAATTCATAGCTCATATAAGTCACAGAGATTATAGGTAACAGATGACCTTTTTTTGGGTGGGGAGTTGTCCAAGATAAAAAGCCTCAGCTCTTAATGGTTAATTGCAGCGTCATTTCCGCAATCAGTACAAGCCTACGAAGAGTCATCATTGGCGAGAAAGAGTGACCAAAAATAGATCTTGGTTGATTTGAGATTGTTCCTTATGATATTTTTGTCTAATTGTGGCCCAAAGATGTTTTCTTGTCTCTCCTTTCCAAAATATATTTAAGAAGAACGAATTGAACTCATCCATCATCATCATTGGTAATAAAAGATATGACATGCAGATTCAAAGCTCATATCTATTCCAACTAATTCAATCCTATAATTGCTATTGGTTAAAAAAAATCATATACCCAGATCAACGAGACCGTTAAACAAATAATGTTAGGTTCAATGAACTCAAACTCATTAAAATACCATATCTAGTAAAATATTGAGATATTATGAACAGGCAAAGTTATTGCAGATAAAACAATAAAATGTGATTGCAATGAGTGACTATGAACATGATCTTATGATTAGTTTAGAATATTTGTTATTCTGAATTTTTCCAACAACATCCATATAGTTCACAACTTAAAACAAGCATGAAAATCATCACCAAAATTTCACTTAAAACGCAAAAGAAAAAAAATGATCGATCAAGATATCAAAGATATAACACCCCAATAACCATTAAGTTTACGACAAAATCTTCTCAACCTTCCGGTTGTGCAGTGCAATACTTGTTACACTGCAAATAATGACGTCAGGATTTGAGATTATTTCGCTTCAAAAGAACGAACCAATCAGGAAGAGATAAGTCCTGATGGTCAGAGAACGAAGCTTAAGCTTCTATCAATTAACAAAATTACACTCAAAAAGAAAACATGGAAAGACAAGAATTAAATGAGAGGATACCTGTTGGCAAGACCATTCACGACAATCTCATTAACAAGATAAGACATCACTCTGTGCACAAAATTTCCACCCGCCATTATCGTATCTCTGCTGGCAAGTTTTTATTAACTACAAATAAAAAAAGAAACTTCGTCAGCTACAAGACTCAACTCAGCCCTAGCAACGTTAGAAATTAGAAAAACGTCTTTCAAAGATTAAAAGATCATTTAAACAAGCTAGGTAATCGATTTTCAGCACAAAACAAGCAGTATACTAAGATCAGATAAACTTAATTATCAGAATAACACAATGATACCTTCGATAGAAGATTAACAAGGTGAAAGAAAAAAAAAAAAATTAAATGAAATTTGAGGAGCCAAAAACTTAACCGGAGAGCCGATACCAATTCGTAGACCCTAGTTTCTAGAAACTCCTGTCGCATTGGCGTTGGCTCGCTACATGTTAATATCAATTATATAGGAAAGTTTCGGGGCTTGTGTGGGCCAGAATTTAGAATTGGGTCAAGCGGCCCACCTTTGACAGTAGTCCTTGGCCCACATAAATGAGTTCAGCCCACATAATATTATTTATTTGATAATTATTTAGAAAATGAAAATTCACATGATAATAATTGATATATGATCAAATTGGTCTGCTTCATCACACGGGTATTAATAAAGGAGAACTTAATTTCCATTAGCAGAGCATAAATTTTATACGTAGGTTTGAAGAAACTTATCACGCAGAACTTGTTATGTTTGTTCATTGTGGGTGTGGATTGGGTTGGATAAATTAATGCCATTCTAAGCTATTGTTTGTCACGTCTGTAATCTTGGTCTGACGAGAAAGTTAATTACATGTTGTATATCTAATTTGCAAGCAACATCTTCTCCTTTTGCTCAAGTCGTGTTGCTGTTGTACCTGCTATAATCTTACAATAGTTGGTATAAATCATAATCAGTCGCAAACCCAAGCCACTGATTTGAGATCTTTCAACAATTAATGGAAAAGAATATGAATTTTAGAATTTGATCCCAAAAGAAAAGAGAAAAACAAAAGTTGCTTTGCAGTGTATAAATGAAACAACTTACACATACACAGACGAATTAAAAGTCTATGTATAATTTCGCTTTTGTAGCTATAAGGATGCTAACAATATTTGATTCCATGTATCTGGGACTCCTGGCAAACACCAATGTATGCAATCTGCGTGGTGAAGAGGGTCAGCTTTTTGCTCTTCAGTTAAAAGCTTGCCGCCGGTCTCAGTGTAAACTGATGCGTGAGCATCGATTCTGTACTCAGAAATTTGTGTTACATTGATGAATGTAACAGGAACTTTCATTTTCTCCGCTATATCAGCCACCACACTCATCATTCTTTTATCAGAACCACTTCCCCAGTACTTCTTCTTCATCACTGGCATTGTTTCATTGTAGCATTTTGACCCGTTCTTGTTGCCCCAGTCTATGCTTCTGCAGAGACAAGTTAACACATGATTATAATTATTAATTAGCTGTATAACTAAGAAACATTATTTTGGTTAATTAATTTAGGGAGAGAGAGAGAGAGAGGGAGACTTTGTGTGTGTAGGAGACATAGTTGTGAAAAAGACACGAGTGTTGTTGGGATTTATATTTGAATCGACCCAATTCGCCCATGTCTTTAGGCCAATTCTATAAGCAACTGGAGTGTCCAATTCTTCAAAACCTTCTTGCCCATTTGAAAATGAACCCCATCTGTGTTCAAGTTGACATATATATATATTATAATCAGCATATTGTGTCCTTAATTTAGAGTTCAGTGAGGTTGAAAGAGAAAACTTACAGTGTCTTGAGCCTAGGACCACTCATCCACCAAACATAAGTATTAAAAACAAGGATGTCTACTCCAAGCCAGTGTTTGGCGTGCTTGGCAACTGAATCCACTTTTAAAATCCTTTTTTTGGTGTCTCCTATAATATGGAGATCGGAATTCGACTCAATTAGAAATGGAGCCCAATAGAATTCAATAGTAGCATTATATTCCTGTAACGTGGGGAGAAAGCGTATTAGATTTTAATTTACAACAAAATAACAATGTTACTTTACGTTTGGTTAATGGACTTGACATCATTGACAAAATGAGTTTGACGGTCCACCGCAACCATCAATTTGTGCAAGTTTTAATTAACAACTCATGTACTATACCTTAGCTTTGAAGACAGTATGAGAGCGACCCCGTTTCAGTGACTTCTTTTCTTCAGGAATAATGAATTCAACCATACAAACAAAAGATTGCCATTGACCTCTTTGTAATGAATCTCCTACAAAAAGTAACCTCTTGTTTCGAAGTTTCTTAAGGGCAACTTCTGGATTGAATCTGTACAAGAAATCACTTACAATAAAATCTCATGCGATAGAGAAGACAAAAAAAAATATATATATGCAAACATGGGGGTGATTAGATTTTTACCTAGGCAAAGTACAGTCCTCTGGCTGCCATTCCCAGTGACGGTAGTCAGAATCCGGCCGCCCATTTTTGACACAAGACACTTGCCTATCTAGATATGGACAAGTTCTATCAGTATACAAAGGCTTGATTGAACTGTTGAACACCCACTTCCCATTAACGACATTGCATTCTTCTGGGTCGAAGTCAAATCTATCATCTAGTTCGGTGTTGTAAATGTTGTCCTGTGCAGCTTTATGCTCTGTGGGACAATAACAGGAGAGATTAAAAACATTTAAAGAAATTTAAAGAAATGAACGTAACATGTAGGAGATAGATGATGAGACTTACTAGATTTCAAAGCAGCACTCCTTCTGGAACAGGATGTACTTCTGAAAAAAGAGGTGGAAGAAAGTAAAGTAATTCTTTCAGTGTAAAACAGAGCTACAAAAGCAAGACTACAGAGGGCAATAGTGATGATGGAGAGAGGTAGCTTTCCTCTAGAGTGTTTCATTGTGGCTCCAGAAGAAGTTGTTATGCTCATGGTTGCGGTTGAAGGGAGACAGAACAGAAAGTTAACGGAAGAATTAAGAGTGGTGCATCAGAATGATTGTGGGAGATTATTATTAATTTGAAGGGATGGGATGATGAGGTTGAGTAGGAGTAAAGCTAAAGGCATGTATGGTTTAGTTTTCACATCTATTGATTGAGTGTTTTTATATTTGTTAATTGTTGGAGGTTAATTAGCAGGTAAGTTGAAACGCTGACATCTTGGGCTCCTTTCTTCTTTCTTTTTTTAGCATATGGTTGAAGCTTATCGTAACCTTTAAACATTTAACCATATATTCTGCTGTTGTTAATTTATTTTAATGAGTAGACCCTTCAGAAAATTCATCAGATGAGATGATGTTATTGCAAAATTTCCTTTCAAACTGGTAGAATCATTGTCTACAATAGACAATTGTACATCAAGGTATTTCATGGAAAGGAGGAGACGATGACCTTATATTTGAGTTTGACCTTACGTGTCACTGACCTTGATAAAGAGAGAGAGAGAGAGAGCTCAAATCCATCGGCCCATACGTACAGTATATATATTTGACCTGCTGTTCCTACATGAAATTAAGCGTACATATTGAAAGAGAATTGGTTGTTTAATGCTGTATATGTATTTGATATGGACATGAAAACCTGTCCACACAATTGAAGATAGGGCAAATCGACTTACCTTAATTAAATCAAGCCAGGGCATTGTCGCTTGAAAATCGGATTATGAAAAGTCAAAGTTCAGGTGGATCGGATCGCTTGAGAATATGGATTTAACCTAATTCTATTTCTAAATGTTACATCATGATTGACATAAATGGAGCCTCATTTTTTTTTTTTTTTTTGCTGTCATTCTACTTTTTAAGCTTTATATTATGAATTCATATTCATTAATCATTATTAACACTCTTAAGCGTTAGCCTTCTTTCATAAGTTAATTGGGGGAATACGACAATAAAATGGAAGGGATTGTTAAAGCACTATCAATTTCTTGAATATAATGTGAGACCAACAGTTAATGGTGACACTGATTAATTAAATTTATTTTCAAGGTACACCATCAAATTATTATTATTATTTTGTTTTTGTCACCTTTTAATTGATGTGCATGGCAGAATAGCATTTGATATTCACGAAAGAGATCTTTTAACTGTTTTCCTAAAATCTCGAAAGATTGGAATCTTTCTAGCTTTTACACTTTCCTTTGGTACATTTTATAATCTATAAATGGAAATCTTCTTATAGAGTATACATAACATACCTAACTAATTAAAACTATAAGATTATCAAACTTATATAATGAGAAGATGCATGAGTTGAAAAATATTATATTTTAAATGCACTCTCAACAATGAAGGTGTTTATAAACCACAAACATTGTGGTTATATGACAATACTTTAGTTAGCTAAGTGATTAGGTGGGTTACTCAGAGGTCTTCTGTTTGAATCTCCTAGCATATTAGGATTGGACTTGTAAGGTATTCAATGGACCATGAGATTAGTTGAAATACACACAAATTAAGTTTTTAATGTTTAGATGTTCAATGAACCCCAAAAATTAATTAAAGTGTACATAAGTTAATCCGGATATCCCAGTTAAAAAAAATAAAAAAGGAAGGTTTTTATATCAATTATAATGGTTTACTTTATAAATAACATTGATCATAAGGGCTAATTGAATTACACACGTTAATAATATAAGGAATTCTGTTATTTCATAAATCTGAGGATAATTTAAGTTATAAAATCAAATATCGGGGGTTTGATTTCTTAAACAATGAATATAAATTCTTTCTTAAATTTGAAGAATTCAAGGCTGCGTTTGGATGAATATTTTCATCCATATTTTGAGTCCGATTTTGAGAATAGTGTTTGGTTCAATATTTAGACAATAGGATTTTCAAAATTCTATTCCAACACTTTTCTGACAGCTTGACCGTTTGATTTGTTTTTTTTTTTTTTTTTTGGCAGTCTTCCCCTTTTTCATGCATTCTCTTTTGACAACTTATGACACGTTTGAATTTTTTTTTTTGTAATTGTTAATAAAGTGTACGTGTAAAAATGATTGTAAGGGTTGATAATTAGTACTTTTGTCATATATGTATTAATATGTGTTTTTAAACAGTTAAATTAGTACTTGAATAATATATAGGTTTTTATTCTTAATATCTACGGGTGACAAAATTACCAATAAAATATTTAGTATTATTAAAATGTACTTGTTAAGTATATATTAATAATATATTATTTTAACAAACAAATAAAATATTATATTAAAATCATATATAAAAAATATATATTATCAAATATTCAACCAAATATCAAGGCAAATACTCAACCAACACATATTCTGTAAATCCTATTCTCGTAATCATAACCCTATCACCTATCTAACTCCTATTTCTTAAACAATGAATATAAATTCTTTCTTAAATTTTAAGAATTCAAATTACCTTCGCCATACCACTGAATTAGAGGAGGATTTGTTATACAATGAATGCATGACTGATGGCACAACCAATTTACCTGCTGATTGGTTATAAGGAAAACGTTTTCTTGTTAAAGATATTGTGCCACCTACATAGGCCAAATTGGAACCAGAAAAGCCCATTGGTTATCCAGTTAACAGGTTGATTTGTAATTTCCCTTCAAGTATCGAGCGAACAATAATAACTGATATCTGTAAAAGAGACGGCGATAGCCGATAGCTTACAGAGCTCGCGTCTCTCCATCTCAAACTCAAACTCAAACTCAAACTCAATGGCCACAAACACAATCAATCTCTCTACACTTCAAAGCTCCTCTTCACTTCGCTTAATCTCTTATTATTCTCCCAAAACTACCCCCAACCTTTCATTTTATACACGCTTTAGAACCTCTGTCCACCTATCCTCCGTTTCTTCTAAACCCTACAGAAATACATTTAAACCTCGCTCTCTAATCATCACTGCAGCTGTCAAAACCCTCTCGGAGACGGAGATACTCGCCGTGCCGTTAACTGCTGAAGAGTTCAATTTGAAATTGCCGTCAGATTCCGGCGTTTACGCTGTTTATGATAAAAACGATGACCTTCAATTCATTGGTATTTCACGGAACATTGCCGCCAGCGTAGTGGCTCATTTAAAATGGGTACCGGAGTTATGCGGCTCCGTGAAGGTACGTATATTTTATCAAACAGCTTCATAGATCCTTCTGTTTGACTTGAATTTTCAGAAAACTCGCAATTAATTTGCAAATGTATTGGAGGGATTTATTAAATAGTTATAGATATTTTTATAAACCTTCTACACATCGTTAAATACCTCCTTGTGGTTCCATAAAGTTTATTACAAAGCATAGAGTTGTCCTATGAATGAAATTTACTTGAAAATAAAGGAGTAGGAGTCTCAATGAGGCTTATTTGTGTGGGAGTTAGTCATTTTTGTCAAGAGATCCTGACCACTCTATTGCTACATTTTACAAACCTTTTATATTACAAAAAGCTATGCGTTGACCTTGTGCGTTGAATATGCATTATTAAAAAGAGGCTAACTTCCTATCTTAACTGGGGTGATTGGTTTATACTTCGGAATCTTGTTTGTCAATTGGTTTATGCTTTGGAATCCTGTTTGTCTATGGGTTCTTGGAATGTGTTGACCTAAAATGGTGGCTGGTTAGTATACGATGTTTGTAAAGTAAGGCAAGATAACTGGGGACATATGTTCTTTTGATCTTTATTGGGAAGATTTGTTCTTTTGATCTCCATTTTTCTTGGTGTTGTCAGATTAATCTATTTTTCTTTATGTTGTTAGATTAATGAAATTGGATTAATGAGATTAGGGTGTTGTAAGATTAATGAAATTAGAGGGCAAAGACAAGCTGCTGTTTATATTTATGTGTAAATTATGAAAAGTTAGATTGTGAATTTTGAATTTTGAAGATTTAACATCCAGGATGTTTACCATCGAAAATTGTTATGAATGTAAACTGGGAAAGCCTGTCTAACTCATCTTTGTTTGGGCTCTTTAGACAAAGGCTATGCTATGGTAGAACAGTTGTCATTTGTGTAAGATTTCGGTGATAGGCATTTGCTTAAATATAATGTCGTCATTTTAACTTTTTTGTAGGTTGGAGTAGTAGATGAACCTGATAGAACAGTTTTAACCCAAGCTTGGAAGTCATGGATGGAAGAATACATACAAGCCACCGGAAAAGTCCCACCAGGCAATGAATCAGGGAACAACACTTGGGTTCGGCAGCCTCCTAAGAAAAAACCTGATCTCCGTCTCACTCCTGGTCGTCATGTCCAGCTGACAGTTCCACTTGATGAGCTCATCGATAAGTTGGTAAAGGAGAACAAGGTGGTGGCCTTTATAAAGGGATCAAGAAGTGCACCAATGTGTGGATTCTCGCAGAGAGTGGTTGGCATTCTTGAAAGTGAAGAGGTGGATTTTGAAAGTGTGGATGTCCTTGATGAAGAGTATAATTATGGATTGAGGGAGACACTAAAGAAGTATAGTAACTGGCCAACATTCCCACAAATTTTCTTGAATGGAGAATTGGTTGGAGGGTGTGATATCCTTTCCTCCATGCATGAGAAGGGTGAGATTGCAGGATTGTTCAAAAAGTAAGTAGATTTTTGAATTTATGTATTTGAGAGAGTATTGTAATAGAGTACAAAATTAGATCACAAGACTATTTACGTGGGAACAGAGTTGATTGTCTAGGCGGTGGATGTTTTGTGTACAATATACAAACTTGATCCATTCGAGAACGAAGGAACAATTGATTCCTATTTAGTATTGAGCGTCATCCCTCTGTGTAAAACAATTTGTTGAATCACTTAATGTAACTCTTTTTCAATTTTGAAGGACATCTTTTCTGGGCGAAGCCTTGTTGCCAAATGCAAACAATTATAATTCATTTTCTTGTAGTACAATCAAGGGAACATTACTATTGAAACTTAAAAGTCTGAAACTCACCAAATTTATCAATTAAAAGTTGGAAGCCCATTCAATGCANAGGGTGTTGTAAGATTAATGAAATTAGAGGGCAAAGACAAGCTGCTGTTTATATTTATGTGTAAATTATGAAAAGTTAGATTGTGAATTTTGAATTTTGAAGATTTAACATCCAGGATGTTTACCATCGAAAATTGTTATGAATGTAAACTGGGAAAGCCTGTCTAACTCATCTTTGTTTGGGCTCTTTAGACAAAGGCTATGCTATGGTAGAACAGTTGTCATTTGTGTAAGATTTCGGTGATAGGCATTTGCTTAAATATAATGTCGTCATTTTAACTTTTTTGTAGGTTGGAGTAGTAGATGAACCTGATAGAACAGTTTTAACCCAAGCTTGGAAGTCATGGATGGAAGAATACATACAAGCCACCGGAAAAGTCCCACCAGGCAATGAATCAGGGAACAACACTTGGGTTCGGCAGCCTCCTAAGAAAAAACCTGATCTCCGTCTCACTCCTGGTCGTCATGTCCAGCTGACAGTTCCACTTGATGAGCTCATCGATAAGTTGGTAAAGGAGAACAAGGTGGTGGCCTTTATAAAGGGATCAAGAAGTGCACCAATGTGTGGATTCTCGCAGAGAGTGGTTGGCATTCTTGAAAGTGAAGAGGTGGATTTTGAAAGTGTGGATGTCCTTGATGAAGAGTATAATTATGGATTGAGGGAGACACTAAAGAAGTATAGTAACTGGCCAACATTCCCACAAATTTTCTTGAATGGAGAATTGGTTGGAGGGTGTGATATCCTCTCCTCCATGCATGAGAAGGGTGAGATTGCAGGATTGTTCAAAAAGTAAGTAGATTTTTGAATTTATGTATTTGAGAGAGTATTGTAATAGAGTACAAAATGAGATCACAAGACTATTTACGTGGGAAGAGAGTTGATTGTCTAGGCGGTGGATGTTTTGTGTACAATATACAAACTTGATCCATTCGAGAACGAAGGAACCATTGATTCCTATTTAGTATTGAGCGTCATCCCTCTGTGTAAAACAATTTGTTGAATCACTTAATGTAACTCTTTTTCAATTTTGAAGGACATCTTTTCTGGGCGAAGCCTTGTTGCCAAATGCAAACAATTATAATTCATTTTCTTGTAGTACAATCAAGGGAACATTACTATTGAAACTTAAAAGTCTGAAACTCACCAAATTTATCAATTAAAAGTTGGAAGCCCATTCAATACATTGACTTGTGGTTGGAAGACGAAACTTTAGATAATTTAGAGATCTTGTGTTAGAGTCTCAACAAGTGTGGACATCAATACGTTTAAAGGGTGTTCAATGGATTACAAAATTAGTTAAAGTATACATAAATTGGTCTAGATGTCTCGGTTACCAAAAAAATAAAGAAAAGTTGGAACCTCTTTTACAGTATTGTCAATTGGACAACTCTAAGTTTAGGATTAAACATTAAAGACTTGTTTAAATTTATACCAACCTTTTAAAATTGTATAAATGGAGTATTTGACCATATAAAATGTATTGAATATTTACAATATACTGTATATTATAATATTTGGCCACAGAAGTGATATTTTACCGAATAACTAATGAAATTGACTTATGTCACTTATCACATCACATCACAAATTTGTAATTGGGACGCTCTTATCTAAACCTAATTCAAGAATCCAGGCTGGGTCCACATCATTATTGCTCAGCTCAAAAACAACATACCCAACATTACAAAACAAAACTTAATCCACAATGATAATCGACTAATATTAGTTACATAACCTAATTTTACAATCAATTTTTATAATTTTGATGTAACAGCTTGTTAGTAATAGCTTATAAAATAAGTCCCATTTATTTGTATAGATTTCGCTTAACTATTGAGAGCTAATTAATGATAAATTATTATGTTGTTAACTAATGATAAATTATTATATCGAATATCATTAGAGAAAATTGTGAGATAACTTATTATTAAATATTACCCATAATAATCAGATTATTATGATATCATTTAATTACGCAAAATGATTTTATTTTAAAAATATAAAATATAATTATGTAACTTGCCTTCCCGTATTTCTTTTCCTTCTTCTATCAATGAATTCGCATGTTTCTCGCGCTGATTTATCCTGAATCGAGTTAGAGATAATGGAGACTGAATCATCTTCGTCTTCCAGTAAATTCAAGCTCTATGAGCAGCTGGAATTGCTGGAATTTAAGGATAAGTACGTGATAAAATCTCTCGAATATCCCGATCAAGGCTTCTCAATTGACCGTAGTGATGGGAATATTCAGCTGCTTAACGGTAACAGTTTGTTTTTTGTAATATAATTTGAGCAACTTTCTGTTTGGTTTCAGAGAAAAGGAGGGAAAAGAAAATGAAATTTCTAGAAATTAAGTTTCAGGTAGAGAATAGTCAAGTATTTTAAGCTTGTTTGAAACTAATACAATTATTTAACTTTGTTGAGATTTGTTTTCTGATAATGAAATCTATAGGAAGGTTATTGTATTTTACATTATAGTTTTGTTGAGTATGAACTGAGATTCATCTTTAGGCTGACCAGTTGAATTGGAGATAATTAAGCAACTTGTAAAAATTAAATATTTCTACTAGGTCAAATTAGTGAATTTACATAGACAGGTTATTCAACATCTATCGTTATTCACATCTTATGGAGATTATCTGACTTTTGTTTTATTTTAATTGGCTTCCTTAACTTGGGAACTTAATTACATTTTATACAGATGATACTTGTTCTGGAAGCCCATGTCAAACCACTACAATATGTGGCGTGGTGGGAACAATTCGACTGCTAGCTGGTATTGTTGCTCCAAATAACATCAAATATCCAATTCATTTAATTGCCTGCTGTGGCAAGTGCCCTGCTTGAAATGTTGCTTCTGTGCAAATTGATTAGTAAACCACTATAACTACTCTATACAGCCTTTTTGTCATTTTTTTCCTTTTTGTTGACTCTTTTAATTGTATGCTGTACTTGAACTTTCAAGTAACCCATGGACTAAACTTGCATAATAGTTAACTGCCTTCAGAAGCTTAGTAAGCATTGAAGTCATGAGAAAAAAGACAGTGATCATAATTTTATGAGCTCTTTTGTTGTTAGATGAGGTTTCTAAATCTAATTTTCTGCATGAGTGCAGGAATATATGTACTAGTAATTACTTCACGGAAGGAAGTTGGAACTTATCTTGGTTTCCCTGTTTATAGAGTAATGTCTATGAAGTTCTTGTCTTGCAATGAGGCTCTGAAGAATTCAAGTTATCAAGAGGTAAGGTTTTGCTTCTTTTGGTCTCAAAAGAGTTTAGTGAGGAACGTCTTCAGATGATTGATTTTTTTTTTCCTAACCTTAGTATTATGTGCCTGTGCAGAAAAAGGATGAGGCTCACTTCATGAATCTATTGAAAATAGTGGAAGCAACCCCAGGGTTGTATTATTCTTATGAAACAGATATAACACTGAAGTAAGTCCTTTTCTCTTGAAGCATGTATTTCAAGTATTTTCCTATTGTTAGCATAATCATCTGTGATTTAGGTACATTTCTATGTTGACATTTAAAAACTGTTATTTATAAGATGCATTTGCTTGTGTGGTCCAGCTTACAGAGGAGATGTAAGTTAGCAGAAGGGTGGATGGCTAAACCAACTTGGAAGCAGGTTTGCTTGCAAATATGGTTTTCATAGACAAGTTTATATCTGAAAATAATTTGTATCTTGCTCTTTTCATAAATCATTGTGATGTAATTTCAATTTTTGCACATTAACTTTTATGGTGTTATTCTAAGCTAAGGATGTGGGTTTTTTGGTGACCATTTTTTATTGCTTATTCTTTACAAATGCTAGTATTCAAAGATTTGTAATAAGTGACAGCAATTTTGATGTTTTCTGAGTTCTGTATTTGTTAGAATAAGTTATCAGTACATAAGGAAATAGTGTATTTCAGTGTTCATTGATGCTTGCTGATAATTTGAATTCCAATTTTCTGTTCATATTCCAGGCTGACCCTCGATTTGTTTGGAACAAAAATCTATTGGAGGAACTTATTGAGTACAAGGTTAGAATTCTTTTTGCTTAGATTATAGGTTAGCTTTCTGGTTGTACTTCTCTTTGTTTGTCTGAGGAAAAAATAACGTAGAATTTCAGTAAGAAGGAGAGGAAGGATCTCCTCATTAATTCTTCAAATAGGATTCTCTATGAATTACGTTTCTTCTAACACAATTGTTTTTCTGGTGGCAGCTTGATGGGTTTATCATTCCTCTTTTACAAGGAAATATCCTTAAGTCTTTAATTCCTTATGCTTTTTATTTAATATTTGTATGTATATGTGGGTGTGAGTGTGTGTTTTGCATGTGTTCACTTTAATTAGAAACGAGGGAATAAAATCCAGTGTTATTCTATCTTAATTGTTTTATTTAACCAAGTTTCAAGCTTTGGAGTTGCTAAGTTAAAGCTAAAGGATTCGCTTGCTACAATAACATTAGTTTCAAGGAGGTGTAATCGGCGTCTAGGTGCAGTATTATAAAAGATTGATTCTCATAGTTATTAATGCTGCAATGTTGGAGTAGTTTTGATCTATATGATTGTGATATGGTAATATGGTGACCTAGGGACACGAATGTGGAGAAGAGGAGCTAATTTTGAAGGTGACACTGCCAATTTTATTGAAACTGAGCAACTGCTAGAATTTGAAGATTTCAGATCCTCATTATTGCAGGTATACTGTATCTAATGGTAATTTAGAAAATGATTGTGTGCTTTAACATTGGTGTATCCAGCTATTCAAATTTTTAATAAGATCAGCTACTATCCCAACTCATGGCGTTATGTTGTCTAACATGTTATGCATAAGGACCCAATATTACTCTGGGATCAAACTTTTTGACGAAGCATTGTGACCTTCAATTTTTTATGGGATGTCTATGTCTAAATTAAGTGTAGAAAATTTGTAGGCGTATTTTGTTTTCGCTCACCTAAATTAACAGACAACTTTGTTTAGATATTGCTGTCTACCATAGAAACTCTCTTCCAGATAGTTTTTGTGTGCCTTTTGATGCTGTATTGGGTGTCTAAATTGTCCTTGTTTTATTTATTATTACTTTGCTAACACACAAGAACAATTTTGTAGTTATATTATATCATTATAACTACATACTTATTATACATACTTCTGCCAGAATGATTGTTATAGATATGCAATAGGTAGTGCGTACATGTTAGGAGATGAGCTTGCATATTCATTATTTGAAACACTTTTGTCTTTTTCTTTTTTAACTTCATAAATGAAGATCTCCTCAATTGGCCAGGATGATACACTTGCATTATTTGATAATTATGGCCATCAACCTTAGAGATGTCAAAATGGGTCAAATCAATTGACATAGTAGGATATTATATGGCTTAATATGATATGTATCAAAGAATTTAGTTTTTATACCAACATAATTTTAACACGAAATATGCATAAACTATGCATGACATAATTTAATGCTCCCATCTATATTACATAGGTGACAAAAATGACCCGTTTGACATCTCTAATCAACCTTAAATACTGCTATCTTGCGGAACACGACCTGTCAATACTTTAACACAATCCAGATTCTGATAAAAGAATAATATAGTTATAATTGAACATCTTTATTGTTTCTTCATATTCTGACTAGGGTTGCACACAATATCAATCAGCTATCCAGCAGTGTTAGAGTTTATTTATCCAGTTAATAGGAAAGAAATAATTTCATTTTCAATGCCTATATTATTGGTATTCTTATTAATTTTTTTCTGTTTCAGATTCGCGGTTCAATTCCTCTGCTGTGGGAACAAATTGTTGATTTGAGCTATAAGCCACGGCTAAACATTATTAATCATGAGGAGACGGTACAGTTTCCCTCCAAAATATGGTGCTATTAAAATTAGAGGTATAATGATGTTTTCTGTGTGTGTTCATGAATTTGTCCCTTTATATACAGCCAAAAATTGTGGAGCGGCATTTCTCTGGTCTATTACAAAGATATGGAGAAGTTGTAGCAGTAGACTTAACTGACAAGGTAAGAAATTTCTTCTCGGTTGTCTTTACCCTTAAAAGCAAAAATATGTCATCTAGTGTCAGTAGTTTTTCTTTTGACCAATTGGCAAGCCAGAAAATTGAGTAGCTGGAGCCAAGAGTTTCCTTTGTGATTTTTTTGAGCATAATATCTCTTTGGCAGTTTTAAATTCATGGGATTACTGGTATCTACTAATTTTTTCTAGTTGCCTACTTTATGGATTCTTTACTGTGGTCTATCTACAACTTTGAATTTTTCTTTCACAAGGAAAATGTGTCTGCTGAGAATCCAAACTTATAATCAATTCACTGTTATTTATTTTACAATTGTAGCATGGTGATGAAGGTCAACTAAATGCAGCATATGCAGCCGAAATGCAAAAGCTTCCAGATGTGAGGTGATATTTTACATTTCGTTATATCATTGCATGGCGACAATAATGGTTGATTTGCTACTTTTTGATTAACTCTTTAAATACCATCTTAACCGACTTATGCTATTGTCATTAAAAAGGTAATATATTATTTATTCCGTGACAAATAGTATTAATTAACTTCACTTCTCTCTAGAGTGACACTTCTTTTTTAATTTAGCTTTCATTTAGTGTTTCTTGATTGTAATATCATCTTGTTCTGCATATTTGGTAATCTGTTGACCTTGTTTGTCTCACTTTTGTCCATTTTTCTTTTTCTTTTACTTTATTGCAGTTAATGAAACTTTGTTGTCAAAAGTTAATAAACTAACTTGTTGGATGATTTTTTTGTTAGATTAATCTGCTGAATGTTAATATGATTGGTTATATAAGATGGCAGGTGCTTGGGGTTAACATTTAGGAACTTGGTTATGTGTAAAATAACATTTACGATACAAAGTCAGTATGAGGCTTAAAAATCTGAGCCAAAGTCTGAAGTGGATAGGGCTTGTACAATGAGTAACCTATCGGCGGTTAGCTGATAAGGAATCAAGAAGTCCATCTAATTTTCTCTAAAAATAAATGAAGAAAAGAAAATCTTTATGGAACCAATTCAATTTGGCCACTGGTTGCTATTTGCTCTTCATTATCTAGGATAGCATTTTTTTGGACTGCAATTCTACCTGTTGCTGAATCTTCAAGGAGGTGTTGCTTCATAGAACTTTGGGGTCTATTAACTTAACCACTTGTTTGCATCTATTGCAGATATTTTTCATTCGATTTCCATCATAACTGTGGCAACTCAAACTTTGATAATCTAGACGTTCTTTATGATCAGATCTTGGAGGAATTTGAAAAGCAAGGGTAATTAAAGAAAATAAAATTTTGCATAGGAACTTTTTGTTGAATAATGATGCCATCATCCAGGTATGCTATTTATCCATGATACTCTTTTTTAACCATAACTATTCCAGCTGAGCAGATACCTCCTCGTAGATGCAGAAGGGAACATTATACAGGAGCAGAAAGGAGTCATTAGATCTAACTGTATTGATTGCCTTGATCGAACAAATGTTACCCAGGTATGTGCAAAAGTATCAGTGTAATGATTTTCCTGCATTAGTGCAATCTGTTCATGCCAAACTCTGAATGCCGTATTTTTAAGGGAAAACGTGTTCTAAATCTATGCTATTCTGCTTTTCCTTTTGTCTGTTTTCAAATTTATATACAGAGTTACCTGGCTCAGAAGTCTTTAAGTTTACAGTTGCAAAGGATCGGGGTGCTAACTCCCACTGAGTGCATTTCTATGTTTAATGAAGAATATCTTAAATTCAGAGCATGTATGTAATATTTTTTATATTATTGTTTCAATCTTCCTTCCTGAGTTAGTAGTTTAATTCATGATGATTTCTACGTGTCATTGTAAACTGACATCTTACTTGCATCAGTGTGGGCTGAGCATGGTGATGAGATAAGCCTTGAATATGCTGGGACTCATGCCCTGAAAGGAGACCTGGTTAGGTAAATAAAAAATGGTGATATGTCTTAAAGAACCATTTGTCTGTCTATATGTGTCCCAATCTGTGATCCAATTTGTATGTCTGATACTGCAGATATGGAAAACAGACCGTATCTGGACTAATCAAAGATGGAATGAGTGCTATTTCAAGATACTATTTGAATAATTTCCATGATGGAGTTCGGCAGGCAAGCCATCTCTCCATCTTTTTTTTTTTTTATCAGCTGAAACATGTGTTGAATGAAATTCTTATTTCCTTTGTTTTTTCTTTTATCTTTTTCAGGATGCATTGGATCTTATAAGTGGCCACTATACTGTCAACAGAAATAATCCTTCACCATTCCAGCTTAATGGATTTGAATCATTCTCTGTACGTATCAATGCCTTATGGTATTATCTATATTATAAAAACATTATTATTTCCCACACCACCACCAAAAAATTGTGGCAATCAAAATGTTTCAGTTTTCGTCAACAAAACACCCTCTAAAGACAAATGAAAATAAGAACAAAAGTGTTGTAAGTTGCCTCATTCAACTGTGTTTCATGTTGCAGTATCTGCCAATGGCATCAGCTTTGTTAATTGGAGGATTGACAGTGACGACTATATCAGTCCATCAAGGTATATCTTTTTCTTTAGAAACTCTAGATACAGTGGCGCTGTTGATTTATATTTCTTTTCTTAAATTATATTGGCGGAGAGAAGTAAAATTTTGTTTCTTGTTTATTTGAAAGTGGGGAGAAATGCACAGCAATATCTATCTTCTGTGGTCTGGGCTGGAGTGACTGCTGGAGTGTTGGCAATGGTGAAAGCAAATGGAAGGCAGTTCTGTTCTAGACCTCGACTCTGTGGCCTTCGTTAGATTATTCTAAGCCTTAAGCTTTGGTTGAGACAATTTGATAGCGTTTCGAAACCGCATTGTTATTTTTATCACTCAATAATTACCATTACTCTGTAAATTATTAGTCAACTTGTATATATTGTTTTTAATCGTAAAAAATGACCTAACATAAATAATAGAAATGATAAAGAAGAAAACTATAACCACGAAATCCAACTAAGAAAGAACAAAAATTCGAAACAGTGTCTCATTCAGTTAGGACATGGGTAGCCTACATAATTGACCATCCAACTTTTCTTGCTGAAGAAGAAGAATAGTTTATTGTTACTTGGGGAGAAAGCTTACATTATGACTTGACTGATGACTGACTGTTTGCCAACGTATTATTTATAAGAAAGGTTATCATCAGACTTTTAACTCATATATTTGAAGAGGTAGATCACAAGGGTTTCAGAGATTGAACATGGCAAAGCACAATCCTGATCTGATAATGTGCAGGAAGCAACCGGGAATAGCCATCGGACGGCTGTGCGAGAAGCATGATGGTAAGTGTGTAATTTGTGATTCTTTAGTAAGGCCATGCACTCTTGTGCGGGTATGTGATGAATGCAACTATGGATCATTCCAGGGTCGGTGTGTTGTGTGTGGAGGTCATGGGATTTCTGATGCCTATTACTGTAAAGAGTGTACTCAGCTGGAGAAAGACAGAGATGGGTGTCCCAAAATTGTCAATTTGGGAAGTGCCAGAACAGACCTCTTCTATGAACGTAAGAAGTATGGCTTCAAGAAAAGATAGATCAAACATGTGAGTATTTCATAATTTGTATTCTTCCATTTTTAAGAATTTTGTATTACATACAATTGTCTTACTGTTGCTGTCGTTTTATAATCATGGAGCGGAGCCTGTATGAACAGAAAACATATATTCTTCTTACACATGGTATCACTAAAATACCAATTGAAGGCTAAATGATCCTTCAATGTGAAATGAAGTGTGATTCTAGTTTCCGGAACTCTATTACATAGGACAAAAATGACCCGTTTGACATCTCTAATCAACCCTTAAATACTGCTATCTTGCGGAACACGACCTCAATACTTAAACACAATCCAGATTCTGATAAAAGAATATATAGTTATAATTGAACTCTTATTGTTTCTTCATATTCTGACTAGGGTTGCACACAATATCAATCACTATCCAGCAGTGTTAGAGTTTATTTATCCAGTTAATAGGAAAGAAATAATTTCATTTTCAATGCCTATATTATTGGTATTCTTATTAATTTTTTTCTGTTTCAGATTCGCGGTTCAATCCTCTGCTGTGGGAGCAAATTGTTGATTGACTAATAGCCAGCTAAACATTATTAATCATGAGGAGACGGTACAGTTTCCCTCCAAATAGGGTGCTATTAAAATTAGAGGTATAATGATGTTTTCTGTGTGTGTTCATGATTTGTCCCTTTATATACAGCCAAAAATTGTGGAGCGGCATTTCTCTGGTCTATTACAAAGATATGGAGAAGTTGTAGCAGTAGACTTATGACAAGTAAGAAATTTCTTCTCGGTTGTCTTTACCCTTAAAAGCAAAAATATGTCATCTAGTGTCAGTAGTTTTTCTTTTGACCAATTGGCAAGCCAGAAAATTGATAGCTGGAGCCAAGGTTTCCTTTGTGATTTTTTGAGCATAATATCTCTTGGCAGTTTTAAATTCATGGGATTACTGGTATCTACTAATTTTTTCTAGTTGCCTACTTTATGGATTCTTTACTGTGGTCTATCTACAACTTTGAATTTTCTTTCACAAGGAAAATGTTGCTGCTGAGATCCAAACTTATAATCAATTCACTGTTTTTATTTTACAATTGTAGCATGGTGATGAAGGTCAACTAAGGCAGCATATGCGCCGAAATGCAAAAGCTTCCAGATGTGAGGTGATATTTTACATTTCGTTATATCATTGCATGGCGACAATAATGTTTGATTTGCTACTTTTTGATTAACTCTTTAAATACCATCTTAACCGACTTATGCTATTGTCTTAAAAAGGTAATATATTATTTATTCCGTGACAAATAGTATTAATTACTTCACTTCTCTCTAGAGTGACACTTATTTTTTAATTTAGCTTTCATTTAGTGTTTCTTGATTGTAATATCATCTTGTTCTGCATATTGGTAATCTATTGACCTTGTTTGTCTCACTTTTGTCATTTTTCTTTTTCTTTTACTTTGTTGCAGGTAATGAAACTTTGTTGTCAAAAGTTAATAAACTAACTTGTTGGATGATTTTTTTTGTTAGATTAATCTGCTGAATGTTATATGATTGGTTATATAAGATGGCAGGTGCTTGGGGTTAACATTTAGAACTTGGTTATGTGTAAAATAACTTTACGATACAAAGTCAGTATGAGCTAAAAATCTGAGCCAAAGTCTGAAGTGGATAGGGCTTGTACAATGAGTAACCTATCGGCCGTTAGCTGATAGGATCAAGAGTCCATCTAATTTTCTCTAAAATAAATGAAGAAAAGAAAATCTTTATGGAACCAATTCAATTTGGCCACTGGTTGCTATTTGCTCTTCATTATCTAGGATACATTTTTTTGGACGTCAATTCTACCTGTTGCGAATCTTCAAGGAGGTGTTGCTTCATAGAACTTTGGGGTCTATTAACTTAACCCTTGTTTGCATCTATGCAGATATTTTTCATTCGATTTCCATCATACTGTGGCAACTCAAACTTTGATAATCTAGACGTTCTTTATGATCAGATCTTGAGGAATTTGAAAAGCAAGGGTAATTAAAGAAAATAAAAATAGTTAACTGCCTTCAGAAGCTTAGTAAGCATTGAAGTCATGAGAAAAAAGACAGTGATCATAATTTTATGAGCTCTTTTGTTGTTAGATGAGGTTTCTAAATCTAATTTTCTGCATGAGTGCAGGAATATATGTACTAGTAATTACTTCACGGAAGGAAGTTGGAACTTATCTTGGTTTCCCTGTTTATAGAGTAATGTCTATGAAGTTCTTGTCTTGCAATGAGGCTCTGAAGAATTCAAGTTATCAAGAGGTAAGGTTTTGCTTCTTTTGGTCTCAAAAGAGTTTAGTGAGGAACGTCTTCAGATGATTGATTTTTTTTTTTTTTCCTAACCTTAGTATTGTGTGCCTGTGCAGAAAAAGGATGAGGCTCACTTCATGAATCTATTGAAAATAGTGGAAGCAACCCCAGGGTTGTATTATTCTTATGAAACAGATATAACACTGAAGTAAGTCCTTTTCTCTTGAAGCATGTTTTTCAAGTATTTTCCTATTGTTAGCATAATCATCTGTGATTTAGGTACATTTCTATGTTGACATTTAAAAACTGTTATTTATAAGATGCATTTGCTTGTGTGGTCCAGCTTACAGAGGAGATGTAAGTTAGCAGAAGGGTGGATGGCTAAACCAACTTGGAAGCAGGTTTGCTTGCAAATATGGTTTTCATAGACAAGTTTATATCTGAAAATAATTTGTATCTTGCTCTTTTCATAAATCATTGTGATGTAATTTCAATTTTTGCACATTAACTTTTATGGTGTTATTCTAAGCTAAGGATGTGGGTTTTTTGGTGACCATTTTTTATTGCTTATTCTTTACAAATGCTAGTATTCAAAGATTTGTAATAAGTGACAGCAATTTTGATGTTTTCTGAGTTCTGTATTTGTTAGAATAAGTTATCAGTACATAAGGAAATAGTGTATTTCAGTGTTCATTGATGCTTGCTGATAATTTGAATTCCAATTTTCTGTTCATATTCCAGGCTGACCCTCGATTTGTTTGGAACAAAAATCTATTGGAGGAACTTATTGAGTACAAGGTTAGAATTCTTTTTGCTTAGATTATAGGTTAGCTTTCTGGTTGTACTTCTCTTTGTTTGTCTGAGGAAAAAATAACGTAGAATTTCAGTAAGAAGGAGAGGAAGGATCTCCTCATTAATTCTTCAAATAGGATTCTCTATGAATTACGTTTCTTCTAACACAATTGTTTTTCTGGTGGCAGCTTGATGGGTTTATCATTCCTCTTTTACAAGGAAATATCCTTAAGTCTTTAATTCCTTATGCTTTTTATTTAATATTTGTATGTATATGTGGGTGTGAGTGTGTGTTTTGCATGTGTTCACTTTAATTAGAAACGAGGGAATAAAATCCAGTGTTATTCTATCTTAATTGTTTTATTTAACCAAGTTTCAAGCTTTGGAGTTGCTAAGTTAAAGCTAAAGGATTCGCTTGCTACAATAACATTAGTTTCAAGGAGGTGTAATCGGCGTCTAGGTGCAGTATTATAAAAGATTGATTCTCATAGTTATTAATGCTGCAATGTTGGAGTAGTTTTGATCTATATGATTGTGATATGGTAATATGGTGACCTAGGGACACGAATGTGGAGAAGAGGAGCTAATTTTGAAGGTGACACTGCCAATTTTATTGAAACTGAGCAACTGCTAGAATTTGAAGATTTCAGATCCTCATTATTGCAGGTATACTGTATCTAATGGTAATTTAGAAAATGATTGTGTGCTTTAACATTGGTGTATCCAGCTATTCAAATTTTTAATAAGATCAGCTACTATCCCAACTCATGGCGTTATGTTGTCTAACATGTTATGCATAACGACCCAATATTACTCTGGGATCAAACTTTTTGACGAAGCATTGTGACCTTCAATTTTTTATGGGATGTCTATGTCTAAATTAAGTGTGGAAAATTTGTAGGCGTATTTTGTTTTCGCTCACCTAAATTAACAGACAACTTTGTTTAGATAATGCTGTCTACCATAGAAACTCTCTTCCAGATAGTTTTTGTGTGCCTTTTGATGCTGTATTGGGTGTCTAAATTGTCCTTGTTTTATTTATTATTACTTTGCTAACACACAAGAACAATTTTGTAGTTATATTATATCATTATAACTACATACTTATTATACATACTTCTGCCAGAATGATTGTTATAGATATGCAATAGGTAGTGCGTACATGTTAGGAGATGAGCTTGCATATTCATTATTTGAAACACTTTTGTCTTTTTCTTTTTTAACTTCATAAATGAAGATCTCCTCAATTGGCCAGGATGATACACTTGCATTATTTGATAATTATGGCCATCAACCTTAGAGATGTCAAAATGGGTCAAATCAATTGACATAGTAGGATATTATATGGCTTAATATGATATGTATCAAAGAATTTAGTTTTTATACCAACATAATTTTAACACGAAATATGCATAAACTATGCATGACATAATTTAATGCTCCCATCTATATTACATAGGTGACAAAAATGACCCGTTTGACATCTCTAATCAACCTTAAATACTGCTATCTTGCGGAACACGACCTGTCAATACTTTAACACAATCCAGATTCTGATAAAAGAATAATATAGTTATAATTGAACATCTTTATTGTTTCTTCATATTCTGACTAGGGTTGCACACAATATCAATCAGCTATCCAGCAGTGTTAGAGTTTATTTATCCAGTTAATAGGAAAGAAATAATTTCATTTTCAATGCCTATATTATTGGTATTCTTATTAATTTTTTTCTGTTTCAGATTCGCGGTTCAATTCCTCTGCTGTGGGAACAAATTGTTGATTTGAGCTATAAGCCACGGCTAAACATTATTAATCATGAGGAGACGGTACAGTTTCCCTCCAAAATATGGTGCTATTAAAATTAGAGGTATAATGATGTTTTCTGTGTGTGTTCATGAATTTGTCCCTTTATATACAGCCAAAAATTGTGGAGCGGCATTTCTCTGGTCTATTACAAAGATATGGAGAAGTTGTAGCAGTAGACTTAACTGACAAGGTAAGAAATTTCTTCTCGGTTGTCTTTACCCTTAAAAGCAAAAATATGTCATCTAGTGTCAGTAGTTTTTCTTTTGACCAATTGGCAAGCCAGAAAATTGAGTAGCTGGAGCCAAGAGTTTCCTTTGTGATTTTTTTGAGCATAATATCTCTTTGGCAGTTTTAAATTCATGGGATTACTGGTATCTACTAATTTTTTCTAGTTGCCTACTTTATGGATTCTTTACTGTGGTCTATCTACAACTTTGAATTTTTCTTTCACAAGGAAAATGTGTCTGCTGAGAATCCAAACTTATAATCAATTCACTGTTATTTATTTTACAATTGTAGCATGGTGATGAAGGTCAACTAAATGCAGCATATGCAGCCGAAATGCAAAAGCTTCCAGATGTGAGGTGATATTTTACATTTCGTTATATCATTGCATGGCGACAATAATGGTTGATTTGCTACTTTTTGATTAACTCTTTAAATACCATCTTAACCGACTTATGCTATTGTCATTAAAAAGGTAATATATTATTTATTCCGTGACAAATAGTATTAATTAACTTCACTTCTCTCTAGAGTGACACTTCTTTTTTAATTTAGCTTTCATTTAGTGTTTCTTGATTGTAATATCATCTTGTTCTGCATATTTGGTAATCTGTTGACCTTGTTTGTCTCACTTTTGTCCATTTTTCTTTTTCTTTTACTTTATTGCAGTTAATGAAACTTTGTTGTCAAAAGTTAATAAACTAACTTGTTGGATGATTTTTTTGTTAGATTAATCTGCTGAATGTTAATATGATTGGTTATATAAGATGGCAGGTGCTTGGGGTTAACATTTAGGAACTTGGTTATGTGTAAAATAACATTTACGATACAAAGTCAGTATGAGGCTTAAAAATCTGAGCCAAAGTCTGAAGTGGATAGGGCTTGTACAATGAGTAACCTATCGGCGGTTAGCTGATAAGGAATCAAGAAGTCCATCTAATTTTCTCTAAAAATAAATGAAGAAAAGAAAATCTTTATGGAACCAATTCAATTTGGCCACTGGTTGCTATTTGCTCTTCATTATCTAGGATAGCATTTTTTTGGACTGCAATTCTACCTGTTGCTGAATCTTCAAGGAGGTGTTGCTTCATAGAACTTTGGGGTCTATTAACTTAACCACTTGTTTGCATCTATTGCAGATATTTTTCATTCGATTTCCATCATAACTGTGGCAACTCAAACTTTGATAATCTAGACGTTCTTTATGATCAGATCTTGGAGGAATTTGAAAAGCAAGGGTAATTAAAGAAAATAAAATTTTGCATAGGAACTTTTTGTTGAATAATGATGCCATCATCCAGGTATGCTATTTATCCATGATACTCTTTTTTAACCATAACTATTCCAGCTGAGCAGATACCTCCTCGTAGATGCAGAAGGGAACATTATACAGGAGCAGAAAGGAGTCATTAGATCTAACTGTATTGATTGCCTTGATCGAACAAATGTTACCCAGGTATGTGCAAAAGTATCAGTGTAATGATTTTCCTGCATTAGTGCAATCTGTTCATGCCAAACTCTGAATGCCGTATTTTTAAGGGAAAACGTGTTCTAAATCTATGCTATTCTGCTTTTCCTTTTGTCTGTTTTCAAATTTATATACAGAGTTACCTGGCTCAGAAGTCTTTAAGTTTACAGTTGCAAAGGATCGGGGTGCTAACTCCCACTGAGTGCATTTCTATGTTTAATGAAGAATATCTTAAATTCAGAGCATGTATGTAATATTTTTTATATTATTGTTTCAATCTTCCTTCCTGAGTTAGTAGTTTAATTCATGATGATTTCTACGTGTCATTGTAAACTGACATCTTACTTGCATCAGTGTGGGCTGAGCATGGTGATGAGATAAGCCTTGAATATGCTGGGACTCATGCCCTGAAAGGAGACCTGGTTAGGTAAATAAAAAATGGTGATATGTCTTAAAGAACCATTTGTCTGTCTATATGTGTCCCAATCTGTGATCCAATTTGTATGTCTGATACTGCAGATATGGAAAACAGACCGTATCTGGACTAATCAAAGATGGAATGAGTGCTATTTCAAGATACTATTTGAATAATTTCCATGATGGAGTTCGGCAGGCAAGCCATCTCTCCATCTTTTTTTTTTTTTATCAGCTGAAACATGTGTTGAATGAAATTCTTATTTCCTTTGTTTTTTCTTTTATCTTTTTCAGGATGCATTGGATCTTATAAGTGGCCACTATACTGTCAACAGAAATAATCCTTCACCATTCCAGCTTAATGGATTTGAATCATTCTCTGTACGTATCAATGCCTTATGGTATTATCTATATTATAAAAACATTATTATTTCCCACACCACCACCAAAAAATTGTGGCAATCAAAATGTTTCAGTTTTCGTCAACAAAACACCCTCTAAAGACAAATGAAAATAAGAACAAAAGTGTTGTAAGTTGCCTCATTCAACTGTGTTTCATGTTGCAGTATCTGCCAATGGCATCAGCTTTGTTAATTGGAGGATTGACAGTGACGACTATATCAGTCCATCAAGGTATATCTTTTTCTTTAGAAACTCTAGATACAGTGGCGCTGTTGATTTATATTTCTTTTCTTAAATTATATTGGCGGAGAGAAGTAAAATTTTGTTTCTTGTTTATTTGAAAGTGGGGAGAAATGCACAGCAATATCTATCTTCTGTGGTCTGGGCTGGAGTGACTGCTGGAGTGTTGGCAATGGTGAAAGCAAATGGAAGGCAGTTCTGTTCTAGACCTCGACTCTGTGGCCTTCGTTAGATTATTCTAAGCCTTAAGCTTTGGTTGAGACAATTTGATAGCGTTTCGAAACCGCATTGTTATTTTTATCACTCAATAATTACCATTACTCTGTAAATTATTAGTCAACTTGTATATATTGTTTTTAATCGTAAAAAATGACCTAACATAAATAATAGAAATGATAAAGAAGAAAACTATAACCACGAAATCCAACTAAGAAAGAACAAAAATTCGAAACAGTGTCTCATTCAGTTAGGACATGGGTAGCCTACATAATTGACCATCCAACTTTTCTTGCTGAAGAAGAAGAATAGTTTATTGTTACTTGGGGAGAAAGCTTACATTATGACTTGACTGATGACTGACTGTTTGCCAACGTATTATTTATAAGAAAGGTTATCATCAGACTTTTAACTCATATATTTGAAGAGGTAGATCACAAGGGTTTCAGAGATTGAACATGGCAAAGCACAATCCTGATCTGATAATGTGCAGGAAGCAACCGGGAATAGCCATCGGACGGCTGTGCGAGAAGCATGATGGTAAGTGTGTAATTTGTGATTCTTTAGTAAGGCCATGCACTCTTGTGCGGGTATGTGATGAATGCAACTATGGATCATTCCAGGGTCGGTGTGTTGTGTGTGGAGGTCATGGGATTTCTGATGCCTATTACTGTAAAGAGTGTACTCAGCTGGAGAAAGACAGAGATGGGTGTCCCAAAATTGTCAATTTGGGAAGTGCCAGAACAGACCTCTTCTATGAACGTAAGAAGTATGGCTTCAAGAAAAGATAGATTAAACATGTGAGTATTTCATAATTTGTATTCTTCCATTTTTAAGAATTTTGTATTACATACAATTGTCTTACTGTTGCTGTCGTTTTATAATCATGGAGCGGAGCCTGTATGAACAGAAAACATATATTCTTCTAACACATGATATCACTTAAATACCAATTGAAGGCTAAATGATCCTTCAATGTGAAATGAAGTGTGATTCTAGTTTCCGGAACTCTCTAAGATTTTTTGAACTACCCTTTTCAAGTTTACATATGTAATTTCATCCCTATTTTTCACGGTTTAGTTTTGTTTTTCTGACCAAAATTCAAATAATTAAATGAAGTAATATATATTAGAAATCCAAACCAAAACAAAGCAATTTGAATCAGGCTTAACTAGGTTTGCATTAATTATTTTAAATGTAAATACAAATATTATCTTCCCTTCATCATTTACATACTAATAATGTATAATATGCTTATTCAAGATAAATTTAAAAATCAATTATCATTAAATTATGTAAGAAGTATTAATATATGAATACACATTATATTATTACTTATTAGCGCTTAATATTATACTATGGTTGTGAAAGTTGTATAGAATGATTGTTACGTTAGTGGCTTGGTAACTTGATCATGGAAAATAATACAGCCACCGACGGTAGTACACCGAATTTGTACACCGAATGACGTAGTAAAATCCTAATCGTTGATTAATTTTAACTTAATATCAATCAACGGTCAAGATTTTACCACGTCATTTAGTGCACAAATTCGGTGTACTATCGTCGATGGCTGTAGCATTACTCCTTGATCATATTGTCTATAAACATGGAGGCCTCCAGCATGAAGATGAAATCATTCATTCATATATATACACTACCACTCCTATTTTGAGCACAAAACCACCGCAATAGCAGCTAATGGTTTAACTCCAAGAAGTCAATTATTGCCTCTTGCTCCATACAAACAAAGTCCGCATTTTTGTGATTTTCAAATGGGCTCGGCTCCATTGAGTGACTAGACTTTCTCCACTTTGCACTTTCCATTATCGAAACGTGTCACGAGTCACGACCCCTGAACAAGCCTACCTGGTAAACAGCCAGCTAAACCAAAGCGAATACACTCTCTTTCCTTTTTAACATTTCGCCATTCCCCATCATCACTTGCGACAAAACACACCGAAACCAATCTCTCTCTCTTTTGCCAGTCGGTGAATATGTCCTCTTTGCTTTGAAACACAACCACTATTCATCCTCTCACTCACTAACTCCTAAAAACTTGTGTTAATGGAGAACTCTCCTTTCTCCCCATTCTCTTACGTCACACGCGTCACTCACTCAGATTTTTCTTCCAACTTGCTCCTTCTCCAACTTCAACCTTCCACACATTTCTTTCCCACCCAGCAAACTTTCGTTAATATTCCATCTCTTTTATTCAAAATTTCCCATATATATATGTAATTATATCCCTGTTGCTTGGCTTTGATTCCTCATTTGGTATCCAATGTCAAGACCCAGAACCAACCGCATTGCGGTGTCGTTTGAGAATTTCTTCCAAGGCTGGCTAGTACGTCAAGAGCACTACTTGGAGGAGCTACTCTCGGCCAAAGACGACTGCCACGACGATCTCAAAGACTTGATCAACCGCGTTCTCGCTCATTATCATCAGTACTACGAAGAAAAATCAAGACTCGCTCATCGTAACATCTTCTTGCTATTTTCTCCCACCTGGTTCACTGCCTTCGAACAAACCTTCTTTTGGATCGCAGGTTTCAAGCCAACTCTTGCCTTCGCTCTCGTAAACGACGCCATTACTTTAACTCAGGAGCAAAACCAGAGGATAAATAGTCTCAAAGGAGAGATTCGGATGGAGGAAAAAATACTCAACGATGAGCTGGCCAAAATTCAGGAGAGCGTGGCGGCTCCCCCGATAATGGAATTAGCGAGGCGGTGGGGAAGTTCGGTTGACGGCGGGATTACGGAGGAGCAAGAGGTGATGCAGAGTCTCCGGTCAGCCCTGGAGTCGTTGGTGGCAAGTGCTGATTTGTTGAGGACGACGACTGCGAGGAAGGTGGTGGAGATATTAAATCCGGTGCAGAATGTGAGATTTTTGGCGGCGGCGACTCAACTTCAGCTTAGGATTAGGAGTTGGGGATTGCAAAGAGAAGGTGAAGGACAAGAAACACAGATTGAATAGACATAGCGGTAGTTTGTTTTACAAGGGGTTCTTGAAATTTAAAAAAATGAAGGACTTTTGACGGCAACGTTAGTGGTAAGTAGTTTAACAACTAGTTTATGACATGATTGTCAAACTGCGTGTGTATCGAGATCTAATTTTTTGAATAATGTGTTATAGGATACGCTTTTTTCATTAAAATTAATAATAATAAAAAATTTCAAAAATTATGTGCGTGTTTGGCTTACTACTTTTATCTGTATTTTAGACCAGATTTTTGAAATTGTGTTTGTTTTATTACTTGAAATCCAACTCTGATAATAGAATCCTGACACAATCTGACATTGACCGTTACATTTTTTTTTTCTTTTTTTTTTTTTTCACTGCACCTCACCATTTCACTTTCTTCTCCGTGCTTCAGTTCTCAATTCAATAACCGTTTTAGTGCTTCATTTCTCAATATCACCCCACCATTTCAGTCACCATTTCAGTTTCTGATAATCCATTACCAGGTTCGATGCTTCACTTCCCAGTTTGCATTACCACCATCTCCCTTTCTAGTTTCCAGTACCAGCCCGTGAACCCCCAATGCCCTGTGTCACAAACTCACTGTAACCCAACGTGAACCCACCGTCAACCCGGAAACCAGCCCACCCCGAGCCTCCACGCACCACAACACCCTATCTCTACCCCAACCCAGCCCACCGAGCCACCACGACCCAGATCTACCCAACCCAGCCTACCCAGCCACCACGACCCCAACCCAGCCCACCCCACCACCAGCCACCCGAGCCACCACGCACCCGATCTACCCACACAAGCCACCCACCAAGCCACCACGCACCCCAACCCAGCCCACCGAGCCACCCGCAGCCACCCCGAGCCACCACGCACCCGATCTACCCCACACAAGCCCACCCAAGCCACCACGCACCACCACGACCCCACACAACCCACCAGCCACCACGCACCACCACGCACCCCAACCCAGCCCACCCGAGCCACCACGCACCCACCCCAAGCCACCACGCACCGATCTACCCCACACAAGCCCCCCAACCACCGCCACCACACGACCACCACACCCCACCCAGCCCACCCCACCACGCACCACCACACCCCAACCCCCCACCCAGCCCCCGCACCCACCACGGCCCCACACACACCCGACCCCGATCTACCCCACACAGCCCACCCAAGCCACCACGCACCACCACGACCCCAACCAAGCCACCACGCACCACCACGACCCCAACCAGTCCACCAAGCACCACGCACCACCACGACCCCAACCCAGGCCACCTCGAGCCACCACGCACCCACCCGAGCCCCCACTCTCCATCAAACCCCACCCCAATCTCCATCAAACCCACTCATATCTGCGTAAAGACACCCACCATTTTGAAACTGAATTTTTTTTCTTAAAATAAAATGCTTTGTTTTGTCTAATAAACAAACCCAAACCCACACATATAAAAGCAATTGGTTTTTTCGGCTTTTATGGGTTTTTTTTGGGGCAATTCTTGTTTTATTTGGGATTTTTTTAATTCGGTTTTTATTTGATTAGGCTATTGGCATATAATTGTAATTCGGTTTTTTTATTTTATGTAATTGGCACAGGATTGTTTTAATTGGGTTTTTTGTTTTGTTTGACAGCTTTTTAATCTCGGTACACACGGATCCATTTAATTGTATTTGGATGTTTATCTGACTCAGAGAAGGGAAAGAGACTCACGACGTATCCAAATCAATTTTGTAAGTTTCCGTTATCTATTTGTTTTCAAGACACCGAGCCGCTATTTTTTTCAATTTTTTTTTTGGAAATAATTTGTATTAGTATTGTTTTTTTTTTTTCATTAATCCTTTGAATTTGGACTTTAATAATGCGTTTTGTATTTGGTTAACTGAAATATTTTATTCCGGTTTCACTAATTGATTTATTTGTTTATAGATTTGACATCGTTCTTTAATCGTACCCAGAAATTACGCTCATATGCATAGATGTCAGCATATTTATCTCGACGTCGCAGGATTGATTATTACTTGCAACAGAGGCGAAAGTTTCGACGTTTTCTAGAGTTGGAGTTCGTCATACACCTGTTGGTCGACAGTGTCTGTATCTTCCCCTGCATTGACGTCTTCAAGCAGTGTCGGATCGAACGAGGTACACTTTATATGTGTTTAGTGATTACGTTAACATGTGATTATTATATTGTAATGTGCTTGGTGATTCGTATGTGCCCCAATGTTGGTTGTCCCTCACCGTACTGTCCTTAGATGGTGATTCTGTGGCTTGGTCTGCTGAGATGACACACAGATTTCTGGTCCTGTTATCTGAGCGGGCCAAAACTTCACATGGTACTGCAATAAAAACAGCTGATTACCAAGAAATGTTGACGACTATCATCATTGGCTGGCAGGAGACTCAACGTGACCAATTAGCCTCTAAGTTCTTTCGCCTGCGAAAACTTTATCAAGCATGGCGGAAATTGCTGCAACACACAGGATTGGGTGGGATCAAGAGTCACAAAGTCCAACGTGTCCCGTTGAGTTTGGCAAGAATATGTCAAGGTAAATATATTTTTTAACTATTATTATTCAACGTCATTGTAAATATACGCATTTTTTCGGACTGCTAAATATTAATATATTATTCGTTTACTCATCAGCAAAACCCACTGGCGCAACAATTTTACCACAGGGACTTCCCCACAAGGAACTTTATGAAATAATATTTGAGAAGCAAACTGCCACTGGAAGATATGCGTACACATCTACATCCCAACAGGTGGAGCCTTCCAGTTATTCCAATCCCGGCTCGGTTCCTATGGATGATAGCGACTTTGAACCTGATCCTGATCGTTGACAGGGGAAAAAACGGTCAAACATATCTGGTCATGGAGGAGCGAGAAATCGGAGGCATAGAAGGGGGCCCGGACATACAATTGCGGATGCCATTTATAGCTTGACGGATGAGCTTGCGGAAAAGCGGACAATGGGATCCGGGCTTCCGATCGTCCTAGAGATAGAGGGAAGAAGCGAACACCAGTGCTCCATCTGATCCTTTCTCCATGAGACAATTGTATTGACATCATGACGGCCATGCAAGTACCGACACAGTTTTTCCTGCCGACTGTCACGTACTTATATGAAAATCCAGGGTGGCGCGAGATATTTGTGAAACTCCCACTGGACAAAGGGCTAACTGGATTCAAAAAACTTTTTCAAATAATTCGTAGATGACACTATATTTCATAATTGTTTGGCAACAATTTTGTATGCGTCAGTGGGCAGTTGTCATTACAATTACAATTATACGTTACTGTATGAACTTATTTATGTGATATTGTAATGTGTAAACACTGTTTTGATTGTCATTGCAATTAAATATTGACTGTTATATTTTTCAAAGTAGTACAACAACTATTAATTGTTGATAAATGTTGCAAATGTGTAGGTTTAAATGGCGTCGTCTAGCCGTACAGGAAGAAGACAACGTGCTACAGATGAGAGGGACGAAGAAGAAATACTGACAGATATAGCCATTGCACTATGCGGTGTTGCCGCGTTAGAAGCAAGTCGACCTCAACCACGACATACATCTGTATTAACTGGTCATCAGTACATGTTGGAAGTACCAACGGTCATCCTGACAGGATCTATGACAAGTGCCGCATGGACAGAGACTGTTTTACATTGTTATGTGAATTTTTTCCGATCAAGGCAAATTGCAACCAACCAGGAGGACGAGTTTAGAAGAACAAGTTATGATATTCTAACAATCGTTGGAAAAAATGAGACAATCAGAACGATGATGGAGGATTTCCAACATTCGGGTGAGACGATTTCTAGACATGTTACCGCAGTTTGCGATGCTATATGTGGAGTTAAGACAGAGTTTATCAGACCACCTACTTCAATGAGTTCCATGGGAAATATCAGCCAACAGAAAATATACCCTTTCTTTAAGGTACTGTTCATTATGTTTGGTATTAGTATAGTTAAGTTCATTGTATTATTATTTGTTTAGTAGGTTAATATTGGAAATGACTCATTTCATGATAGGACTGTATTGGAGCCATAGATGGCACACATGTATACGCTTCGGTTCCACGTGAATTTGCCATTAGGTACCGGAATCGCAAAGGAGATGCAAGAATATAGGCTGTATGCGACTTTAACATGATGTTCACTTATGTCGTTACTGGATGGGAAGGATCAGCGCATGATTCAGAGTTTTAAATTCAATTATTGATGATCCTAATTCTGGATTCCCATATCCTCCACCAGGTATAAGTATTTCTTGACGTATTACAGCGTATTACATCCACTGTTGAAGCCCTGTAATTCAAATAAAATGTCGTATTATTACAGGGAAATACTATTTGGTTGATGCGGGTTATGCAAATAGGGATGGGTTCCTCGCCCTCATAGGCAAGTGGCTTACCATATTTCTGATCACCGCCGTAACCGAAGGGGGCCACAAGAGTTGTTTAATTACAGACATGCTTCACTCCGCAATGTTATCGAGAGAACCTTTGGTGTTTTGAAAAAACGGTTCCGTATTCTAAATGGAATGAACAATTATCCTTGGACAAACAAGGGAAGATTGTCATGGCATGTTGTGTACTTCTAATTTTATAAGAATGTACAATATGGACGACCTATCTTCGAACAAACCAATAATAGTATGGGTAATGAGCAAGCATATTGTGATCATCAAAACGGGGCAGAATATGGCGGAAATGGAGAAGGATCGAGTCAACCGCAACAAGGTATTATAGACACTGATGACTGTACGGATAACATAACGAATGCACTGTGGGTAGCACAGTGGACCATGTCATAGTTGTTACTGGAGTAAACGTGTAATAATGATTGTAAGGGTTGATAATTAGTATTTTGTCATATATGTATTAATGTGATGTTTTTAAACTGTTGGATTACTTGAAATAATATGGGTTTTTGTTTTTTAATATAACGGGTAACAAAATTATCAATAAAATATTTGTATTATTAAAATGTGAGGTGATAAGTTATATATATATATAATACTTATTTCACAAATACAATAAAATATTTTATTAATAAATCATTATAAAACAAATATATTAATCAAATATTTAACACAAATATCAAGATCAAAATACTCTACCAAACACTATTCTGAAAATCATTTCTCGTAACTAACCTACTCCAACTATCCAATACTATCCTCAAAATCCTACCCAAATACTAACCAAACGCACCCATATTATCTTAAAATAATTAAAAAATTTTACGGTATTATTAGTTTTAAATTATAGTATTACGTAATTAAATTATCACAAAATTAAGAATATATATCATTTCCTCTCAACTATTCATATCATTTCCAAGATTAATGTCAATATCTATATTTTCACTGTATTATTATTATGATGCAAAATAGACAACACATGTTCCTTTTCACTTTCTCCATGTAAAATGATAAATTTGAACAAGTTTTAGTAAATTGGGTTGGGTAATTCGGATCCGACCCGAAATTTTTTTAGGCCTTTAGCTCAAATTAATAAAATTGTATCGATTTGTATCGATATTTTTAAGGATACATAGTACGTATCGTATCAATAATATATATCAAAGTATCGACAAATATAGAATATACTATTGATACGTATCATTGACGACCTATATCGAATCGTACCTAAGATACGTATCGCGTATTATAGAATACTAAACCATGGTTTATGGGTTTATTACCAATTTTTGGCATTTTGTGAGCCAAAGAGTATTGTAGAATACTAATAACCATGGTTTATGGTTTATTACCCAATTTTTGCATTTCTGAGCCTCCTTTGGCTCATTGAACAGGCTTTTAAGAATTGAGAATATGCTATTTTCATTTTTCAGCATGATCGTGAGTAATTCTGAATGAAGCTCTATTTTCATTATAAAGATTTGATCGTTGATCTCAAAAAAGGAAAACATAGGTGCGTTTGATTCATTATTTTGAATAAAATTTTGGGAATATATTGGTAGTTAATAGGGAGTATTACGAGATAAAATTTAAAAATTTACAAAAAAACCCCTAAGTTTACTAATTTAATGAAACACCCCAATATATAAAATGACAAAAAACACCCCACTACCCACAGTGCCATATTCCGGCCACCACCGTCGAAATCTGGCCAAAAAAACTGCGTTATGACACAGACCAGTCGGATCTATGTCGTACGCGTTGATATGACCTTTTCCTGCCAGATCCACCACGGATCTAGTCAAAAAAGCCAGATCTACCACAATGTGGCCTTCGTTTTCGATCAACGACGACCATTTCTTAGGCCGTCAGATCTGACTGGGAAAGGCCAGATCGATAAATAACCGACCAGTTTCGATCATGGTGTAAGTCGTAGGGACAGATTCCTGCTACCACCAATGGTGGTTGCTGAAATCTGACAAGTGATGGTGAATAGGGGTGTTTTTGCTAATTTTTAAACTTTTTTGAGATTTTTAGTGAAATTAATAACTTAGGGGCCTAAAAATATTAAAAAATACACAAATATTTCTGAAATAATATGCCAAACAATATTTGAGGATAAGATTGGAAATATGGGTAAAAATATTGAACCAAACGCACCCTATAGATTTCTACCGACCATTAGATAGCATATCCCGATTCAATTTTTCACATTTCTTTTAGAGCAGCAATTTTGGTAGCAAATATTGGCAAATTGAACATATATCACCCGTTTTCTGTCCCCATAAAAACAAGCAAGCAATTAAAAGACTTAAAACGTCAACATCCGGATTTGAAGAAAGTTTAGATTTATACTACTTACTTTTTCAGCCTATGGCTATGGGTCGTTTATTAGCCTGAGGGGCGTTAGCATTTTTAAAGGGCAAGACGTAATTCAAATAGGTATTGTGAATGTCAGATGATGTCTAAATATTAGACACTTGATTTGATATACTTTAGAATCTATTACAATTTTGTACTTTATAAGTGGTTTGATGCATTTGGAGCTGACTTTGGTCTTATTGAAGATACGGGAACAAAAAAAAAAAAAAAACAAAGATAAAAACATAATAGCACTCTCGTCATCAATCTTATGCACTCCGACAAGCATAATGAAAGGGCTATGGAAAATATAATAGTGCATGGAAGGCTCAATTAAAATTCGAAGCATGTCCCAAAGATAGAAACAATCTTATTTCATTAACAAGAAAGATAATGTTACCATCAAATCAAAGGCGGCTTCGCTGTGGAGGCGCCTTGAAACTTGCAAAACCAGTGATTTCCCTACCCGTTACCAAGCTGTTGATGTCGTAAGTGCCTTCGTAAGTGTAAATGGGTTCCAAATCACAGAATGCCTGCAATGTCATCCAATCACAACAATAAAATAACCTATCATAAAACTAGGGCCAATCAAGCATAAAACGAAGCTTGCATTATATGAATGTCATGACTAAAACTTCTGTAGTGGATGCAATGGATGGACATGGTAAGCAATTATACCTATCAAAAGAACCTGTTAGCTACCAAACTCTTATACATTCAAATTTAAGTCAGAGTCCTAGAGATAAGCATCAAACCTTTGCAACAAGAAAATCAGCCAAAATTCCGTTGCCACCAAGTAACTCACGTCCAAGAGCAACTGTTTCCCTAGCCCTTGCGGTGATCCATGACTGAAAATAATGTAATTTGTCAAAGCTGGAAAACGCAGGAGAATACCAAATTTATTAAAAGGCTTTTGACTCATCATACCTTTCCCAAGCTGGCATGACCCGGGGTCATTTTACTGCTCTCATACAATTTACAAAGGCGCAAACCAATAAGAACCATGGCTTGAACATTGCCCAGCATTTGAACAAGTTTCTGTTGGTTGATTTGGTATGCCGCCAATGGTGCACCAAACTGTTTCCTCTCTTTCAGATACCTTTGAGTCGCAAAAATTTTAAAAATGTCATACTATAAGCTTGATTGATATAAATTCGCATGAGTAATGCTAGCCTTACTCACTACTCTTACTCACTTTGTAAATACAAAGCATAGTACGGGTACTATAAGCATAGTACGGATACCATATGTCATTTTAACAAAGGTGAGTAAGAGAAGTGAGTAAGGCTAACATTTTTCAATTCGCATACAGAAGTAAAAGGCATCTTGTCATACCGGTGACACATGTCATAGACACCCATTGATATACCAATAGGTTGCCAAGCAACCATTACACGTGAAACAGCCAAAACCTGTATTGGAACAGCAGTACTTGAATAAGTGGCAGAAAAGTCAGACATCTGAATTTGAGACAAACATATAATATTGTTGAGAACAGAGTACAATCCAACAACAGAAAGCAAAGTTGCAATCAGCATTGCAGAAGTTAACTATCAAGTTTTTATAGACATAAAAATGCTTAGTGGTGACCAAGTGAAATAATAAAAAACTTATTTCCAAGTAGTAAAAAGAGAAAATTGGACAATAAATTATATTCAGTAATATAATATATATGTTGCTTTCAGACAGTCTAATGAAAATCAGATCTAAAGACTAATAAATCCACATGAGCTCACCAAAAAACTCAAATTACCAAGCTAGGTAATTTCAAAACTTATAAAGTACCCAGTGAACCAGACTAATCACTCAACTCTGCTTGTCAAAACTGACGTTACTACCCAAATGATCAATGACCAACCAATTGCAATTCAGGGAGAAAAATGTTATCCAAGTGCATGTTCCGTACAAAGGTGTCACTTAAGATGCCAGTTTCACATGCAAGAGTCTAGTTTCTGCATATTCAAGTTCTTAACAGCCAAGGGAGATATTTTCTTTAAAATCACAGTTAAGATCTAATTCTTGTCTAGATGATGATCAATCAAAAAGCAGAAAGTAGAAACAATACCTTGCTTGTATCCTGAAAAGAATTGACTCCAGGTAATCTGTCCTCATCAGGTACGAAGACTTTCTTCAACAGAATGTCTCCATTTTGAACCATCCGCAGACCAATTTTGTTTTCTATTTTTGTAGCCGTTAATCCAGGAGCATTCTTCTTTACAATATAACTGCCACATTAAGCACAAGCACTCAACATGTAAAATCATGCCAATATCCATAGCCAATTATAAGGACTAATCTTCTTAAAAAAGAGAGAGAGGAGCATCATGATAGCAATATAGGGGACACAAAAAAAACCACCACACATGCACAAAACCCAATGGAAAATTTCTGAAATCACAGTCTACATCCTCTTCCAGTTCCAGTTCCAGTTTCGGTTCCTTATTAACGAAACTTTGACATGTTTAATGGAGCATTTCTCAATCAGTAGTCATATAAAAGCTCTGTATAGCAATAAAAGTGGCTTTTGGGTCTTCGCATAGTTTGCTTAATCTACATATTCTAAGTAGATTAGTTCCCCAATAAAATTCTAATTATCGGGTGGTTTGTACCTGAATTAGTTCCAATCTCATATCTGGGAACTTTGATTCTCTAGGACTAATGGAGTATTTCTCAATTGGTATACAAAATCTGCAAGTTTGAAACAATAAAATAATTTAGTGCTGGCCAATCATCTATTTTTAATTCAGTTACTATATTATCTTCTTTCTCAGTAAATTGGGTGCCCAATATTTTTCCTAATAATTATGGGTGGTTGGGACAGGCCATGAGACATTTATATGCAGTGGTTTTTCATGTCTCGTCTTTAGTAGCATACTAGGCCTCCAAGTTTGCCAATTCTTCAGGGTGGTTGTACTTGGTACCCATAAAAGTCTATTACCCTATCCTTGTACACTATACTGGGTGCTACTTGGAACAGCATCCTGTATACATTGCAGACTTCCATTATCTTTTGTATGTGTACCTGGTTACCAAGGGGAATACAAAAATGACGCAAGCATAGTATTTAGCAGCTACCACAGATATAAGCCACGCAGGATCAAAATATGAGGAAGAGGTTTCATTTGCCAACATACTCTTCAGAACATGCATTCCAGGATGTGTGTATGTTATGACAACTGAAACAGCTTTAATGCATTTCTTTCGATAACCTTCCACCATGTCAATCATTACAATGAGACTAGATATCATATACTTCTAACATACCCATTTATTTGGTTCGTAGTTAAATTCCTTGCAAAAATAATCAACACATCTGCAAAGGTACTATTTCCTATCCAACGCTTTTGGCCCTCAAGTATCCACCCTCCTTCCACCTGATCAAGAATAGAGATAGCAAAAACATAACACAGCATGAAACTTGGAACATCAAAGTTGATTTTATCTAGACATTATGTAAACCTAGAGATGGATGTGAGAGGTTGAGAGCTTGGACCTTTGTCGCAGTTGTTTTCAAAGCACTTGCATCACTTCCATAATCAGGTTCAGTCAAAGCCTTAAAATGTTAAAGAACTTATTAGGGTGGCTCACTTTAACAAAAACTTCATTTTTCAGACAACATGCAGTACGAAAAAGGAGCTACTTACCCAACATGCTATGGTGTTTAACTGTGCCAAAGAAGGCAAATATTTCTGTTTCTGTGCCTCTGACCCACATAGTGCTATTCTTGAAATAAGGAGAGTCCAGAGGAGTTATTCAAGGCCAAAATTTCTTAACAGCATCAAGTATTTGAACAACCAAAAAAAAAAAAAAGACAAAAGAAGAGCCAGCTTATAACAAATTATTTAAGGAAAGAAGTTATATCAAGCTCTCACCAATAGTGAGCATGCCTAGAGAGGAATGGACCAAAATGAAAGTGGAGCAACTAGCATCAACTCTAGCTAGTTCTGCTGTAGCAAATGCAGATCCAGTAATGGACAGACCAGGACATCCATAACCCTGAGTCAGAATCAGCTCAATTCAGTCACTGCATCTTTCACCTCAGAAAATGGACCAAGCAAACAAAAGTAAAAGATATGTATAAATCACCTTGATCGTGCCGCCAGCAATATGAAGGGCACCAAGCTTCGGAACAACATGAAATGGAAACTCTGCCTTCTCCCAGTACTGAAATTAAAGAAAATATAAATCATTCTTTTTATTATTGTGCCTATCAATGTAGTATATAACAATCAAAGCCTAAGCCATCATATACAGAAAAATGTCATCATTATCTTTCAAAGAGAAGTGGGAATTAACACAAGAAAGATACCTCTGCCATTATTGGAGCTATTTCTTTTTCCACACACTCTCTTACTTTCCTTCTAATAGCCATCTCTTCAGAAGTCAAGAGATCATCAAACTGATAATAGTCTGACACTGTAACGTTCAAACACCAAAGAAATGAAAATAAATGGTAAATATAGAAGTTCTGATTGAGCACAGCACACAAATAAATTTTACAAAATACTTTAGTGCTTCCTGCGCAACAAAAAACCTATCTAACAAGTAAAAAATGAACACTCCCAGTCTTGAAGAGCAAATACTTATTACTGTATCATCTAAATTTACTCACAAGAAAAAAAAAATTTAATATGATAATGTTACTGGAGGGAGATATACTGAAAAAGTACAAGGAATAATTGTGTACAATTTCTCAATTCATCATTTTATCGTAGCAACTCTAAAATCTAACGCATAATCAATACAAACCAAAAAGCAAGTACAAGTCTCTAGTATGGCTAAAGAGAAGTGTAATTTGCTCATCACTCTTACCAGAAGGAGGGAACTTGGCAGCTGGAGTTGCTTGAGGGAATGCAAGGGAAACATCCAATGCTGGTAAATTAAAATAAGAACTCCTTGAACTTTTCTCGGCATCATCTGTGAGAAATTGAGTATTAAACAATTGATTGAATCAACTTCAAACTAGCAAATAAAAAACAAAAACCACTAAACAACAATACAAAACAAAAAGAAAACAGATTGCTAGAGCAAGTTGAGAGGTTTCACTCTGAAATTGCATTTCTTGATCGCTTTCAATTAAACCTAATCATAAGCGCCAATTATTGACTTACTAATTTCCTTTATCAGCTTATAAACTACATGTAGAAACAAGTAAATCAATCCAATTCGTTTCAGATTTTCAGTTATGATCCAATCGAACTTCGTATAAGGAAAAAATAACAAACTAAATCGAATGGATGATGTAAACGAAGCTAATAGAAGTGGATTCTCAGATCAAAACAGTAACGAAAGAAAAGAGAACAAACAAAACCTTGATGTTTAGAGGATTGAACTGTCATGGTGATTGATGTTTCTGAAAGAAAACTCCCAGTGGACTGTATCGGACGATTTAATGGAGGATATAGTGGGCACGCAAGTTTAGGCACTTCTTTATAAACTTAAGCCAGCACGTTACATTCAGATTAAAAAAACAATTTTCTTTTCATAATTATCTATAGGAGCTGGTAATTGATCATCGGAATGACATAATGTTGGTTAACTCTATGTCGCTTTGGTCAAAGGTTAATGTTATTATAAGATAAATGGTGTTTGCGATTATCATAACCGTTGATTTACTTATACTGTGATGTAATTATTTACGTGGATCCCGCGTATGAAACTTCCTTAGAATATTGTATAAAATCTGCGATGCCTTGCTGGATTTTTTGTATTGCTTTTTTTTTTTTTTTTTTTTTTTTTTTTTTTTTCGATCAAGTGTGTTTACGAAAAAAGATTTTATTTGACAAAAAGTAAGCTTATATATGTTTATCATGACAAAATTAATCTTAAATAGAATAACACGTAACATAATTTGTACTCCATTGTCGCATACCATATACTAACATATTTAATGAAATAAATCAAAGAACAGACATCTATAAACAAGAATGGCCTCCAATCTCCATGACAATCACACATTGTACAAGTCAAGAAAAAATAACTGAGAAAAATAATGGTGTAAAGTATTTGATGATCAACTTCAATCTTAGTAAGTGCCTGTAGCGTGGCCGTAGTAGCTTTCGCAAATTCCTGTAATTGCAGGGTCAACTGTGCTATATATCAATGGCGCTGCACCTTTGAGACTAAAGTGAAGTCTTTTCTTGAGGTTTCATGGCTGGAAATAGAAGTACTTCCTGTCAAAAGCTCCAAAAATTTTATGTATGTTTCAAAGAAAATGTCAGTGTATTGAACAACGAAAACACCAAATTAATGAGTTGTCTAACCTTGACATTTTGTGAGTCAGTCAACAGCATGGCAAGCCGATCAATTCCCATTCCCAGTCCAGCAGTTGGGGGTAGCCCGTACTCCAAAGCAGTACAAAAAGATTCATCTGAAACCATTGCCTCATCATCACCCATTTGTCGATCCTAGTTCAACACAAATATGTGCAAGCTATTAAGTGAATGCAATGGTTGCTTTCTTGGGAGCTAAAAGTTCCGGCCTACTTAAAATTACTACAGCAAATTAACATTCTACCTTAAGTTGCTCAGCAAATCGCTCACGCTGCACTTCAGGGTCATTTAGTTCAGTGTAGGCATTGCATAACTGGCAATAGAGAAGCAATAATTGGATGGATTAGCCGTTGAAGTAGTAACCAATATATGTACAAGTCTGCTTTAGAATGTAATATATAGTACCTCTCGCTTGTTAACAAATAATTCAAAGCGCTCAGTCAAGCCTGGTTTTGATCTATGCCATTTAGCTAATGGACTCATGATCTCTGGATGGTTGATTATAAAAGTAGGATTCACACAAGTTTCTTCAAGAAAATGGCCCACAAGCTGTCATCCAAATAACATCCACAATACTTTCATTTCATCAAATGCTTAATAAATCTTGCATTTCAACTGGTTAGCATCCATTCAAGAAACAGGAACAGAAGATACCAAAGCTCTCTACATTCTCTACTATAGGTTCTCAATACAGAAAAGAAAATTTGGAGCTTAAGATTCAAATTTTCTTGAAGCCAGAAGAATCATCAAGATGTTATCAAATGTAACAAATAAATTATAAAAAGCACAAACGAGTAATTGGCATATAGATTAAATTAGAATAGAAGTTGTTTATTACAGAGCAAGCAATGAGCTACTGACCTTGTCTAGCAACCGAGTTGTGCTGAGTGGAGGAGGGCAAGTGACATTGAACCTTTCACATGCATCCAACAAATACTTATTAGCAGCTTCAGTAGAAAGATCCTTGGGTATGTTGATGTTTGCCATACTCTCCAAACCCTCGACCAAGTCAATCCTTCTGTAGCAGTTACGGAAGCACCAAGCATAACTATGGGGGATAAAGGCTAATATATCATAGACACAAAAAAAAAAAAAAAAGGTGTTCAGTATAATCCTGATAATGATCATACCTGAAAGGTGGAGTAAAATCAATCTCTATAGGCTCATGATCAGATCCATTGACATGGTATCTTATTTTATGGCTCCCTGTTAGCTCCTTCACCATTCCTGTTCAAGTTATAATGCCAAAATCATATGCATTGCAAAATCTTTCAGTGACATTCATCCCATAGATACTATGTTATGAAGACCAGCCAAGGCACTGCATTTTGTAGTAAGGTGCGTGAAGTCATAGAAGTGTGAAATTAGTAGCTTCAAACCTTTGTGGGCTAACCTGATAGCAATTCTTCTATTAATTCCATCATGTCATTGTAATCAGCATAAGCCATATAAAACTCACACATTGTGAATTCTGGAATATGNGGGCAAGTGACATTGAACCTTTCACATGCATCCAACAAATACTTATTAGCAGCTTCAGTTGAAAGATCCTTGGGTATGTTGATGTTTGCCATACTCTCCAAACCCTCGATCAAGTCAATCCTTCTGTAGCAGTTACAGAAGCACCAAGCATAACTATGGGGGATAAAGGCTAATATATCATAGACACAAAAAAAAAAGGTGTTCAGTATAATCCTGATAATGATCATACCTGAAAGGTGGAGTAAAATCAATCTCTATAGGCTCATGATCAGATCCATTGACATGGTATCTTATTTTATGGCTCCCTGTTAGCTCCTTCACCATTCCTGTTCAAGTTATAATGCCAAAATCATATACATTGCAAAATCTTTCAGTGACATTCATCCCATAGATACTATGTTATGAAGACCAGCCAAGGCACTGCATTTTGTAGTAAGGTGCGTGAAGTCATAGAAGTGTGAAATTAGTAGCTTCAAACCTTTGTGGGCTAACCTGATAGCAATTCTTCTATTAATTCCATCATGTCATTGTAATCAGCATAAGCCATATAAAACTCACACATTGTGAATTCTGGAATATGAATTAGATCCATCCCCTCATTTCTGAAACTTTTTCCAATCTCATATACACGATCAAATCCACCAACAACCAATTTCTTGAGATAAAGCTCTGGGGAAACACGCATATACAGTTTCATGTCCAACTCATTGTGGTGGGTAATAAATGGCCTGGCTGCAGCTCCCCCTGCTCTCATATTCATCACAGGAGTTTCCACCTAATGATGATCAATAGAAGAAGGTCAATAGGAGTCGCGTTAAAGTTCCCAAATTAATAATATACTGCACAGGTTTCACACCTCTATGAATCCAAGATTATTGAGGAAATTCCTGTAATAAGAGATGATTCTGGCCCTGGTTCTAAATATTTGTTGAACCTCTGGATTCAACATTAGATCTAAATAACGTTGACGATATCGAGTTTCCTACCAACAGAACACAATATTATTTCATATAAACCAAGAAAAATAAGACTTAATTAAGCCTTAGCCTAACTATTTGAGGTCAGCTACTGATAAACAAAATCATGCAAAAGAAATTGGTGGCACATCACACACAAAGAAAAATTGCCAGGCAAAAACTCTATACCTGATCTTTTAAGGCGTAAATTTCTGGGTTCCTGGCCATTCCAGGCGCCCATCTATAATTAGTTGCTTTCTTCTCATCCTTCAAGGAGGAAAAAAATAATCTTATTAGCGCTGAAGGAAATGTATGAAAAGCATTGATTTTTATTGTAAATATTGACCTTGTTATGGTCTTCATCTGTGCTAGAGTGAACTGATTGCCTTGGTAACATGTGAAGACATGGGGCTAGTACCGTCATCAACCTTGGAAATACACTTAACTCTCCTCTTCGGCTTTTCCCTGTGGCATGATCAAAGTATAACATAATGCAAAACCAAGAGAAATTTGTTTTCTATATTATGCATCTATATCTTTCGACATAAAGACATCCTTAGATTTGTAACTCTAGATCATTTTTCTTTTTCTAAAATTTGGAACTAGGTATGACATTGAGTCACTGACACCCGTTGGATGGACATTGAAGAAGCAGAAAAGAAATAAATCATAGAGTACTGAGCCTTCAAATTTTCAAATATTAATTTATCTGAACCCAAAAAGAGAGTTCCACTAACATTCATTTCATAATTAAGGCATCTGTTTAGTCAGCGAGAGAGTATTATATAAAATGTACATGACACCTACTGACCTACCAGGAAATCCACAGATACCAACAATGTCACCTCTCTTCACACCAGAGTGATACCTTGAGAACTCATCTTCATCCATGTTAGAATGCCTGTTAGAACCAAAATACAACGCAAATAGATGTTAGTTCTCTTATGCAGTGAACAGGATGAGTGTAGAAAGAAAAATATTTAGCTAAAACTGAAATTTAGCAAGCCAACTTAAAAGTTTTGCCTCTATGAGCATTGAACTACATATATCAATAAATATCTTACTGATGGACGAACTTCAGATAAATAAAGTAGTACCTTGCATCTGCCATTACTTGAATTTTAGCTCCATCACCGTGAAGATCGTAGAAGTAAAGTTTTGAAGATGATATCCTCTTTTTCATGATTCTCCCTTAATAAAATGATTGTAAGGTGAATTAGAATAACACTAGAAGTGAGATATAAACAGACAGCGTGCATACACTCACAAAACTTAAACCAACCCTGTAAGTTAACTAGTACCAGCTAAAGATATTTCAGTGCTTTCAACATGTTCACCAACGCTCAAAGTTCCATATTTGCCAATAAAATCAGTTATGGACATTGAAACAGCGAACTTATGAGGATATGGATTCAAACCACGTTCCTTAAGTGATGCCAAGCTCATTAGTCTGTTGTTCAAATATTGCTGCCACAATATTCACGAGGGTCAGTAAAAAACCAAAGGAACAATTATTGTTTCTTCACTTTCTCAATCATATCAAAGAGGAAAGAAAAATTTTGGAAAATAATCAAATGTTGAATGCACCGTTGGGTCCATATTATCTTCATCTGCTCCATGTGGCTTCTGGTGCTCTGGTTTTCCAGTTGCTGAAACCTGCAAATGCAAGTAATGGCCCATTATACCAAAAGAAACAGATTACAAATAAACTTCTGTGGGCTTGATCATGTGTTGTCTAGTGTCCATGATTGTATAATTGAGGCTCTAGCAGGAATTCAAGCAGCAGTAAGTTAAGTTAATTTATAGTAGAAAAGTTTTTAGCATGATGAAATTGTTAAATATCATAGACTAGCAAAATAAAGATAAAAACTAGAGAAAACCATGCACGACCTTCTTTTTCTCCTCCTCTTTCAGCTGCCTTTCTCTAGCCTTCTTTTCTTTCTTAAGAGCACTAAACAGAGTAGCAACATTAGATAATATGTAATAAGATTTCTATCAACATGCAGTAAGTAGAAATAATTAATTAAGAGCGAGCAATACTTCTTGCTCATGGGTTGTGATGAAGCTGCTGTCGTTTTGGATTCCATAGATGACTGCTCTAAAGATGCTTCTATGCTCTCCTTGTTGTTATGTTTTAGCCCTTCAAATCTTATTGGTCTATGGTGTAACATTCTTAATCTCTTATACCTGCTCCATTTTAGGCAACTTACAATAAACTATACAGAAAACAACATCCTGCTGCCATTGTTTTCCATAAACAAACAATTAATTAAGCCCGACCATCCATCCTTCCTACTAACTTTCCTCTATTATTATAATCAACTAAAGAGCTTTAAGTTCCCATTTGTCAACAATCTATCCTTGTTTTGCAAGTAATTTGACCTCAACTCTCTACCACCCCTTCCTTACTTTCCAAGTTAAAACTGAAAAAACTTAAATTCACTTTCCGAGTCTTGACCTCACTTTCTACTTCTCCTTTTCCAAGTTAAAAACTGAAAAACGGGTCCTCACTTTCCAAATAAAATACTGAACAAACTTGAATGCAAAAACAAATCCTTACTGATAATTCTAAAACCTAAAATCATGGAGATGCGGGGTATCGATCCCCGTACCTCTCGCATGCTAAGCGAGCGCTCTACCATCTGAGCTACATCCCCTTATACTTTACGGCGCTAAATAAATTTATATAAACCTTTTTAACTTCTTTGACCCTCTCAGTAATTTGATAATGACCGCTCCGGGTTCCAAACAAATTTTATATCTTCATTGTTTTATACTCTATACTGATTTCATTATGAATCCCTGAAACTACATTTTCTAACCAACAGTTAGAGGACGTATGTACGTTACGAAGCAGTTATGTTCACAAAGTACAGTCTTCTGAAGTTGGTATACAAAATAACCCATTGTAGATGATCCTTACTCATAACAACGGCTCCCAAAGCTAGTCGATTGACTAAGCAAAGTTTAAGTCCAGTCCAGCAATGGAGCATCGGTTTAATCACTGAAACATTGAACAAACTTTCAAATTTCACTCACTTAATCAAACTACGAAACTAGACCCTCCAATTTCACTTAAATTTTCTTTCTTTTTTCTCGATTCGCCATGTTTGCAAAACGATTCTTGCAGAAAGCCATACACCATGCCCAGGTAAATTTTTTTTTTTTTTAATTCTATGTTTAAAAACATACCTTTATTCGATCCGTTTCTTGTTTCAGCACAACTTACCACAACATGGCAGTTTAACATCGGCAGATTTAGATTTACAAATAGCCATCCACTATGGCATCCCATCAACGGCTTCAATTCTGGCTTTTGATCATACCCAACGGCTGTTAGCCATCGCTACATTGTAAGTTCAAGTCTTATATTTATCTTGAACTTTTATGATTATTATTTTTTTATTTTATTTTACATGGTGATGGTGTGTTCATCACTTGGTAGGGATGGGAGGATTAAAGTTATTGGTGGTGATAATATTGAAGGACTTCTTATATCTCCAAATCAATTGCCTTACAAATACTTAGAGGTCTGTACACTTATCTTACTTTTGAATTTATTGACCACTGAATGAGAAGATATTAGTAATTAGAATTACATTGCACTTATGCAAAACTTAGAGATATACAACAGAATAATACTTTGAACTTTTGTGGCAGTTTCTACAAAACCAGGGCTTCTTAGTCAGTATCACAAACGATAATGAAATTCAGGTATTAGTTCTTCATTTCTTCCTACTTCATTTTTTTTTTTTTTTAATTGTTGTTGTTGAAGTTAACTTACTCATTGTTCCATTTTGAGTGCGGAAAGTCCCATATATTCTTGAATCTTCGATGTTTTCAGTTTGTTTTTTATTCTTTTAAGATTTTGTGCTTTGAGATTAATCAATCATGTGTTTATTGAGAAATCAGATTAGATGTATAGGTGCCAAATGGCAACTCTTTGGGCTGTGTCTATATGTTAAATATTTGTATGGGTGATAACATCTTGATTTTGGCAGGTTTGGAATCTGGAGAACAGGTCCATAGCAAGTTGTTTACAATGGGAATCCAATATAACTGCTTTCTCTGTAATCAGTGGTTCACACTTCATGTATATATTGACTACATGCTAAAGTTGTTAAATTATCTGCTAGTTGGTTGAAAAATGGAAGTGATTGCAAAATTGCTACCTTTATCATTTCATGCAGGTATATTGGAGATGAATATGGTATGGTGTCTGTGTTGAAGTATGATGCTGATGAGGGAAAACTTATTCAGTTGCCATATAAGATATCTTCCAATTCACTGAGTGGTAATTTCTTCTTTTCTTCTAACAATTGATAAAGTATGTTTACCTTATGTTGTGTAACAATTATCACATAATCTATTGATATTTTCCCTTTGACTCGAAGTATGTTTTTCACACTTATAAAAATGATGATTGCTGATTATTGGTTAATAATCTTTTTCAGCCATGGCTAACTCTTCTAGTATCTTAAGTTTAGTTTTTTATATGTTCTATTTTTATATTTTTGGATAATATTGTTGTGTTGTGCTTTGGCACAGAATTGGCCGGTTTTCCGCTTCCTAATCACCAACCTGTTGTAGGAGTTCTTCCCCAACCTTGTTCTTCAGGAAATAGGCAAGATATACTTAAATTATCTTATTTATGATTTTGACCACAGATGTGAAATTTGAATAAAGGCTCAATTATTATTTTTCATTACTGTTACTTTGATACCTTTCTTGGAATGCTATGTCATTAATTTGTGTTGAGAATGTCAGACATAACTTCGTAGCTATAATGCTGTATATATTTGTTCCTTTACAGTTAAATCTTTATTGCTACATATTTTTGTTATATAGGAATATGAAGTTACCTTTTTGCTCATTATGTTGTTCTCCTGTTTTATATTTGCATCAATTCTATATCTTGTATAACAAATTTGTCTGCTGTGTTCTTATATCCGAAGCTTCTGATATGGAATTTTATCATCTTGATCTCTTGAAATGTTTATCAAAAAGAGATGAATTCTGAATATTTAGTTTCAGCACCCATATGATACCCCATTCGTGTTTCTATTAAAAGTGAAAGTCAGTAGCCTTTCTATGTCATGACTAGATGGGAACTATAAGAGCAACAGATTAGAGTGAAGTCTAATATAAATTAGTAAGTTTTGGACTGATGTGCTTACAGTGTACTAATTGAAAGCAAGTGAAGAATGATATATATGTCTCGGTGTGTATATGAAAACCTGATTATGTTGTTATGCCCCAAATTAGATCTAGCTCTTTGTCTCTACCAATATGTACTATGGCTACTCCCTGATAAACATGATATAGCTATGAGGTTATATGGTGTATCACAGTATCAGACTATACTGTTATAGAAAAGCTATTAAAAATATCTGTTTTTTATCTCTATTTGATTCTGCTATATAACTTTTGCAGAGTACTAATTGCATATGAGAATGGATTGATAATTCTTTGGGATGTTTCCAAAGCTAAAATTATTTTTGTTGGAGGTGGTAAGGTTCTCCAATTGAAGGATGGAGTTGTTGATTCTCCAAGTGAAGTGGATTCTAATCTTCCAGATACACCTGAGCATCCTTTACAAGAAAAAGAAATAAGTGCTCTTTGTTGGGCATCATCAAATGGGTCCATTCTTGCAGTTGGGTACATAGATGGAGATATCTTCTTTTGGAATACATCAAGTTTTGGCTCTTCTAAAGGTCAACAAACTGGATCAAGCAACAATGTTGTTAAGCTAGAATTATCATCTGCTGAAAGGAGACTCCCTATTATTGTCTTACATTGGTCCCTAGACAATGAATACCGTAGTACCAGTAATGGGCGACTTTTTGTCTATGGTGGTGATGAGATAGGATCTGAAGAAGTTATTACGGTGCGTAATGTTGTATGGTGTCTATTGGATAAATTTTATGCAAAATATAAACAATTTTGAAGACATGGTTATATATTTTAAAAAGGTGTGATATCTTGTAGGTGGTTGTAAATTTATCATTCATTTATATATTATTGAAAGAATGAAGTACATTGCTTAGGAAGATGAATCATTTCTTAGAAGACTAATGGAATGTTACTCAAATACTAACTATTTACAATATTCATCCTTTTTCTACCAAAACATTTCATGTATAATTGTCTTGCTTTCCTTTCTAATGGTTTAAAATGTAAACTTGGTATATTTAGTTTTTACAACTAGTAATGATATTGGCTTTTTACATTGGTGTTATCTGTCTATCTATCCAGTATGGCAAAATGGTGGAACCTGTAATTAAAACTTCGAGAAAAATTCCTCTGACATCCACCATGGAAGCTGCTCTTATTACTTGATATGGCTGTTACAGGTTTTGAGTCTTGAATGGTCATCTGGGATGGAGGCTTTAAGATGTGTTGGCCGCATGGACCTTACACTCAGTGGCTCTTTCGCAGACATGATTTTGTTACCAAATTTTGGGGCGAAAGGGGGTGATCACAAAGCTGATCTTTTTGTATTGACAAGTCCTGGGCAACTGCATCTTTATGATGGTGCTGGCTTGTCTGCCTTACTGTCTCAGCAAGAGAAGAAACCATCTGTCTGTGCGGTTGAATATCCTGGGGAGATACCTACAGTTAATCCAATAATAACTGCAGCAAAGTTTAGTGTATTAACCACGGCTGAAAACTCATCAAAAGGTCTGTCAGAGGTATTGATTTCAGTCGTTCGTTATCCACTATTTTATCTGATTTAGTTGTCTGTTAATTTTGTTTTACTGACTCCATATTTTTTGTATATGCTTCAGTAGCCTCTCCTGTGAAACTTGGTTCATCACCTATCCTTGCTGGTCAAATGAAGTGGCCTTTGACTGGGGGTGTACCCGGTCAGTTGTCTGTCACCAAAGATCACAATGTTGATAAGTTATATGTGGCTGGTTATCAAGATGGAACTGTTCGGATATGGGATGCCACATACACTGTCCTGAAACTTAGTTCTGTTATAAATGGAGAGGTTAGAGTTCCATCCATTATTTGGTCCTTAGAGGTAAAAGACATTCTTCATACCAAGTAATTTATTGATATTAGCAGGTGCAAGGTATAGAAGTGGTTGGCTCTAGTGCACCAGTATCAAATTTGAATATCTGTTTCCTTAATTCAAGTTTGGCTGTTGGCAACGAATGTGGTCTGGTCAGAAATGTTTTTAGTGGATTATCTTTTTGAAACAGTATAATTTGGTGCTATATTTACCTTTCTGTCCTCTTCACTTCTGTAGATTCGTATTTATAACCTCAATAGCTGCTCAAATGACACGAATTTTCACTTTGTCTCAGAAACTAAACACGAAGGTAAGTTATATATGTATCAATACAAGCACACTTGGTTGTTATAATATGCTACCACCCTTTCCAGGAATCATTTGAGAGTAAGATTTGAAATTTCATTCTGGCATGAGTTAATCTTTCAATATATTGTAGTACGATGTATGATGTTAAGAGCCAAATATGAAGTTTGAAGAGTTCATTTAACATCACCACTTCATTTACATATGAACACCACATAGGATTACACATCACTTGAGATGAGAGTTTGGGATAACTTTTGGGATGTGTAGATAATTAATACCAGCCTTGAAAGGCTTTCTCCTTGATGACTATTGTATTTGATTTGGTCAAACTCTAATCTACCGATTCTGAATGTATTCTACTTGTCTTTTTTGTTTATAAGTTTCGAAAATTGTTCTGTGGTCTTTCACTGCAGAAAAATATTATTTCATCTCTTGGTCATTATTAAAGTTATCTTGAGATACTTCTATATGAGATGTCTTTTTCTCTTGAAGTAACATTGTTCAACTTCTCTCACAGTCCACATGTTGCCTGAAGAGAAAGGACCTTGCTGTAGAGCTGTTTTTTCTCTTGTCGATTCCCCTGTTCGAGCCCTCCAGTTTGCAAATAGCGGAGCTAAACTTGCTGTGGGATTTGAATGTGGTCGTGTGAGAATTATCTTAGCACTTGTTTATTTTGCATTGTCTGTTATTGCCATAATAAGTAACCAAATAGCCAGTATCTTTTTTTTTTATTCAGGTTGATTTTTGAACTGATGCGTGGATTTCAGGTTGCAGTGCTTGACATGAGTTTCTTATCTGTAATGTTCGTCACTGACTGCACTTCTGGCTATAGCTCCCCAATCGTTTCAATGATTTGGACAGAATATGGAAATAAAAATAGCCTTGTGAAAAACCCAAATCACTCAGAAACAAAAATTCCAGTCAATCCAGAAGATGAAGGAATCTTCATCTTATTCAAGGATGCAAAGCTTCGCATTATTGACGGTGCTACTGGGAACATGATAAGTTCCCATCCATGGCACTTAAAGAAAGAAGCAACTGCAGTTTCCATGTACATTATAGGTATGTGCTATTTTCATCTAGGAAGTAATTAAGATGTTATATATTTGATTCCATCTGAGAATATTATAAAATTCTAAAATTTTTGTTGATTTTCAGAGGAAGCTACAGTATCTGGCCTTACCACTGAAAAGCAGCCTGTGCAATCTGGCAAGAATAACAGCGCTAAAAATGATCCAGTGCCTGATGCTACTCCAATTGAAACTAATTCACATGAGACTGATCATCTCTCCTCTTTAGAAATTGATTGTTCAGGAGAAAGATTATCGGATGCACTAGTGTTGCTTTGTTGTGAAGATTCACTGTGCTTGTACTCCAAAAAATCCATAATTCAGGTGCTTCTAGTACCTATATTTAATTTTAAATTCCAATATTATTATGCTTATGTTTGCACACTGCGGTGATATGATTCTATAGGGATACAATAAAAGCATTCATAAAGTGAAGCACACAAAACCTTGCTGTTGGACCACAACCTTTAACAAAGATGGAAAATTGTGTGGACTGATGTCACTGTTTCAGACTGGAGTAGTTGAAATCAGGTATATGTGGTAGCTCATCCTTTTGTGCTCATATTGCACAAAAAAATTTCAAAAGTTTTTACTCTTAAGTAATTGACACATTGTTGAATTTCAATGTTAGCAATAGAAAGTTTGTTTCCTCCCCTCCTGATCATGATATCACATCCAATTAGCTGTATTTATCATCAAGTGATTCATATTATTGCTTTCTGTTTTTGTGCAGATCTTTACCTGATTTAGAATTGGTAAATGAGACTTCCTTAATGTCAATTCTGAGGTGGAGTTTCAAGGCAAACATGGATAAGACAATTAGTGCAGATAATGGGCAGATAACGCTGGTATTGTTTTGTTGGAATTTTCAAAAATTTGTAAAAATCCAATTTTTAAATACTATAATCTGGTGTTCCAACTTGTTTAAAATAAGTTAAGGAGTACTTTGATCGCCTTAAACCTCTGAAATTAAATATTGATTCTAGAACCCTTTGAATTTGCATGTTTTCTATTAGTTATGACTCACTTAATGATATGTTTGTAATTGAGGATTAAATAGGCAAATGGATCTGAAGTGGCTTTCATCCATCTATTAGATGCTGAAAATGATGTCAGGTACACTTGCTATCTGTTTAGCATGCTGTGATGGAAGTATAAAATTTAGCATAAAAGTTCATCAGGTTAGCAACAAAATTCTAAAAACCTTATCATTTTTCTAGGTTTCTGGAGTCTTTGCCTTGTCTTCACGATAAAGTTCTTGAAGCTGCTGCAGAGGCAGCCTTTACTGTCTCTTCAAATCAGAAGAAAAAACAGGTTCAAAGATTCAGACCCATTTTCTTTAATTATTATTTTGTTTAAATTATGATTTTTCTTATGCAGCTTATCTTTGTCGCTGCAGGGCAATGCACCAGGGATTCTTGGTATTGTCAAAGGCTTTAAGTTGGGGAAAGATATCCATACTGTGGATATTAGTACGGCTCCTAAGTCAAGTTTTACTCATTTAGAGGGAATATTTTTGAAGCCCCCATTCCCAGACTCATCTCCTACTGTAACAAATGATGAGAAAGTAGTGGAGCTAAATATAGGTTCTGTCCAACCTCTCACCAAAGTATTTCTTTTTGTTGGTTCTTTGCTCACTGCGTGCATTTGTTTTGGTACAGATGACATTGAAATAGATGAAACACCATCTGTGGCTGCTGCTTCATCTCATGAAGTAGCTCATATGAAGAAAGGTAAATTTGACATTCATCTCATTGTTTCTGTGCATATTTGGACTTCCACAGATTAGTAAAATTCTTGTGGAACTGCAGATAAGGGAACAGACAGGGAAAGATTATTAGGTACACCTTATGATACAAAGCCCAAACAGAGAACATATGAAGAAGTTATTGCTAAATATAGAAAAACAGAGGTAATTTGAGATGACGGTTTTATTTTTCCAAGAAACAGCAGTTCAAATGAACTGTCATCTAATGAGTGACTGATTTCAGGATGCCTCTTCTGCGGCTGCACATGCAAGAGACAAACTTGTAGAGAGGCAAGAGAAACTGGAGGTAAGGATTAAGGCTTTCCAACTCATTTTATATTTGCAGTCGATAAAACTGCTTGGCAGTTCACACTATTTTCTTCTTGTCTATATTTTTTTGTGAGTGGGGATGATGATAGAAAAGTTAAGGTGTTGAATTGAAGTGCTACAATGGGGAGCAAGTGTAAAAGCATAACCTATTAAGATAGGATTTGCATTGGTTCAGAAGGCAAGTAGGGAGAGAGAGAATTTGAACAAAAGAATTTATCCAGTTACTCTTCATTATAGTACTAGAGAACAATTCCTCAACTTCAACAGCTATATCATGGTCAAGTTGGTGTTAATTTTATGAACTTCCATCTTATTGTGTCCTTGTAGATTAACATATGTGGGTAATATGTTCTGATTCCTTTTCTAAACAAGCAATTTCCCTGTTACTTCTGTCAGAGAATTAGCAGACGAACTGCAGAGTTGCAAAGTGGGGCAGAAGATTTTGCATCATTAGCAAATGAGCTCGTTAAGACAATGGAAAATCGAAAATGGTGGCAAATGTGAATAAAATCTTGCTCAATTTGCACATACTTTGATTGTTCATTATGTTAATTCTAATCCTGGAGGTTGGACCTTGGAGCGATGGAAAATCACTGAGTTACCCTGAAAACGAGATTCACAGGCTCACATCTGCAGTAGACCTCCGACTAAGAATATGAACTTGATGCTTTAAGTTGTGTGAGAGTGAATTTTCACCGTGACTGATGTAAATTAATACATGCTAGCAACTCCTTCAAAGGGAAGGCAATCTTGCTTTATTCAGTAAGGGTGGGCCAATTTCCATGATCAGTCCTCAGCAATCGCACTAGGAGTCTTGCAGTGGCCTTCAATTGTAAACGTTATATTTCATTGCATATGTTGTTAATAACTGAATTTTGTTTTCTCAAAAAGTTAAAATATTGTATCTTTCAGCTTTTGCTTCTTAATGATCATTATTTTAGATGTCTCAAAGTCATAACGGTTGTCCTTCTACAATTGCACATGCAATCGCAATAAGGCGAGAAGTGTTGTAAATCACATTGCAGAATTAGCGAAGATAAACCATTCAGAAAATAATATAAAATAGTTTAAATTTAAGGCTTTAAGCACTCCAATGAGAACACCTGACTCAGCCTTTTTCAAATTTCTATGTTGGGGTTCTCGGTAATCAAAATTATACGTCCAAATGGTAACAACTAAGGCCTGCACTAAATGAAGGTGAAACACCATCGAGAACAAGAAGAAGAACCCTCCATCCCTAACAATAAATATACAAGATCGAAAACTGGGGAAAAAGACAAACCACAAATGTATCCTTCAGTCTATTATCTGCCACAAAATGCATCTTCTCATGTTGAAAAGCCAATATTATAAGTTGATAACATGAAACTGATACCTTCCATTACATGAGGTGAGGCACTAGGACCAGATTCCTCTTCCAAGCCCACCAACAACTCCTAAATTAGCGAGCTTTCTGATGACAAGTTCCCTCAACTCAAATTCGCTTGGGAATCTATGGTGCATCAGCTTTGAGAAAATCTGCAGTATTTAAGGACACAATTATGAGAAACTTTCCTTTACTAATTAGACCCAAAATAATGAGCAATTCCTTCCATTTCCAAGAGAAGAAACAAATTACCAAATCACCATTACAGAATACTTCAAAAGCTCCAGAACTCTGAAGATAGGAATGAATGAAATTTCCGAAAAACCAGGTGCTTGCAATGGTACCATATCTATTGGCACGCAAGAAGTAATACCAGGGAGGTGGTGTTATATAACCCAACTGTGGAAAAATATGTTCACCTCCCATTATTATTACAATAACTCCTACTTGAAAAGTTGTTATTACTTTGCTCAGCAGACGTTGCAGGAGCGGAGGAGGGTGGTTTCCAAGAACTATATGAATCCCGGGAAATGCTGCTTCAAGCATATGTTTCATTGTTACTGCATGTCCTCTGTCAAAACCGCCATTAAAACATATTGACCTTTAAGTTTTATGAATTTATGTGTTAAAACATTTCAAATTAGTTTCTGAATAGTGTCTACCAGAGGGTGCTAATTAATGAAACAATTGACCAGTTACTTTGTATAATATAATTTTGGCCATCATTGACCAAAATGTTAAATAAAGAAAGATGAATTTACCAGATTCCAAATCACAAGTGGGATAATTTTGCAGTTCTATATGTTGAGACAAACGTGCAACATGAAATTAATTGATAAGTAGACTGAAAATCGGAGAGCAGCCACTACTTTCAAGCTCCAAATGACCTTACGTAAACAATGACGTTAGACCAAATTATTAAAGCCTTCGTCAAACATAACACATAACTAATCAGACAAATGATAGGAGATCAGTCATAATTAACTATTTTCTCGGTGAAAGTAATTAAACAGAAACTCAATGAACTTCCTAGAAGGACCAAAAGAAAAAAAGGGATTAATTTCATTGGCTTCCAATGTTTGACCTGGTAAACTTATAGTTCCGAGAATATGCATGAATCTCTCCTGTTATAAGGTAACCAAACCTTCTCTCCATTATCAAAAAATAAAATAAAATAAATATTGGAGATAATGAATGAACCTGTGAGAACAAGAAGAACAGAAGCTAATTTTAACAGTGCTGCCAACGCCTATCCCAGATCCAATGCTGCTGGTTTTCTGCATTCCATCAAAATCCTCAACATTTATCCATTTATTATACAGTACATACGCACATATCGCTAGTACAAAAAAGAATATGTACAAAAAATGCATGACATTGGAAGATTTATATATAGGTCTATAATCATATATAACTGGGTAAGGGATAATTAATAAAATGTTACTCTTGAAATGATTGGAAGATTAGGTTTTTGATGTAGTCAGCTATTTATAAGGTTGAGGAGAGAATATGCACATATAATTGTCTATCATTAACAAATACTCTCTCTCTTTTTTTTTTTTTTTTTAATGTCATTTTGAGGGTGTAGTTTTTTTCCAAATTAAAAATCGCTGCTTGTCTTGTCTGTCTCCCTTCTCTATTTTTCCTTTGATTGGGAGAGAGAATAAATTTTTTATTAAAAGTCGTGTACACCTTTAAAACCACTTTAAAAAAAAAAAAAAAAAAAACAGAGGGAGTAATTAAAATAAATATGTACATAATTTCATATAATTAGATGATAATTATTTTGTATTCCTAAGTATGATTTTTGTGATGGACTTTCTTGGATTATCTAACAGTGTGTACGCCCGATTATTATTGGATCCGTTTGGTTTGTTATTTTAGATATAATTTTAGGAATAGTATTGGGTAGTTGAATAGGGTGATTATTATGAGGTAAAATTTAAAAATTAACAAAAAAACCTCTTACGTTTGCCAATTTAACTAAACACCTTAATATATAAAAAATTTGTAAAATGACAAAAACACCCCCACCCACCCATAATGCCAGGTTTCGACCACCACCGTCGAAATCTGGAGTTATGAAGCAGACCGATCGGATCTAGCTAATCGTGCGTCAATTTGGCATTTTTCGACCAGATCCATCACAGATCTGACCGAAAAAGACCAGATCTACGGCTAGATCTGGTCGTTGATGGCCGTCAAAGCCCAAATCTCTCTGGTCGTCGTTGACGGTCAACGATGGCTAAGCTGGCATATTCTAGCCAGATCCACGGAAAAAGCCAGATCGGCTAATTACCGGCTAGTTTTGGTCGTTTTTATGCCATTGTAACAGATTCAGGCCACCACCGACGGTGATTGCTGGAATCTGGCAACTATGGGTGGGTATGGGTGTTTTTATTAATTTTTAAACTTTTTTATGGGGATGTTTAATTAAATTAATAAACTTAAGGGGTCTAAAAGTAATTAAATAAAATATAATAGTATTTCCTAAATAATGAAACAAATAGTTATTTTGAGAATAGGGTAGGAAATAAGGAACCAAACAGACCCATTATTATTATTATTATTATAATCGGAGTGTTTCAGTCAGTTTGTACATACCTTAACTAATCTCTGAAACATAAAAACTTTGAATAATTCATTCAGATGGCTAAAGTCTTGTGGTTCAATCACAAGACTAATGGTTATGCCTGATTAATTTTCTAAGAAAAATAATATAGTTATCGAAAGGAGTACACCGAATTCATACACCAAATAATGCGACGTAATTTTAACCGTTGATTAATTATATATTAATATTAATCAACGTTTAGAATTATGTTACGTCATTTGATGTATGAATTCGATGCGCTATTTCGTTGACGATATCGTTACTCATTTTTAAATTAGGAGGATACGTGTTTAGAATAATAATTTGACTGTTACTTGATTTAGCAAAAAGACCGCAAGACTTTAGCCATCTCGCGGTTCAGCCGCAAGACTAATGGTTATGCCTGATCAAATTTCCAATAAGGAGGATACGTGTTTAGAATAATAATTTGACTGTTACTTGATTTAGCAAAAAGACAGACAATGACTTTATTAGGAATTAATTAATTAAACTTTAGTTTTACGCTGGTCCAATCAGTTTCATAATATAGTTGTTATCATAATATTAAAATTTTAACATCTTAATTAAGGTAGCAACTTTGCAGGATTTATATATTAATACATATAGAATTAATTAGATGATTTGATGCCCTAAAATTGAAATAATTTTTCTTTTAATATCATATCACTGGAAGCAAAAGAAAAGTGAACGGTCGACGAAATTTTGCAGCATGCTGAAAGCATGGGCTGCTATTATTTGTCCTCTCATCTCGTGGTCTTGTTCCTCTCCATTAAAATAAAAATCACGTGCGGCTCATGCCCTGATTTATGAGACACACACCGCCGACCCATAAAACATATGACCAACTTGCCCATCAATTAAATATAAGGAACAGGTCAGGGCGTCAAGCACTTTTGCCTAAGTGGAGGTTCGAGTTTCTTCAACTATTAACTCAGTGAGTGACTCGATTCGTTCGCAAAGTCTTGCGTAAGCCCTTGATACCCGAGAGATTGGGCGTCGGCGAGTTCTCTATATAACAGTAAAAATACACAACAGTGAACCACTCTTAACTGTTGTTATTTTATTACTTTAAAGCCTTAGATATTTTGCTTTACTTCTCCGCCATACCGTCGTTTCTTTTTTCTCTCTAATTCGTTGGAGACGGACTCAGAGGCTTGAACCAGCGAGTTATATCCATCTGGGTCGTCTCCAATGGCGAGTTTTGTCATCTCAGAATGTGGTTTAAGGCCTCTTCTACAGGTTTTTCCTAAACCAAGAACTGGAGTAAACCCAACAAAAGCCAGATTTTTATACACGAATAAGTCTCCAACAGATCTAAAATTTCATTCAATAAAATTTTCCGGTGACTTTTCAAGGGAGAGAAACTGGGGGCTAAACGTGAGTGCTCCTTTGAGAGTAGCACCATTAGACGAAGATGAGAAAGAAGATAGAATCAATGGGTTTAATGGGATTGAAAATAAAGAAGCAGCTGAATTTAATCCTGGGGCGCCCCCTCCTTTTAAACTAGCTGATATTAGAGCCGCCATACCAAAGCATTGTTGGGTGAAAGATCCATGGAGGTCTATGAGCTATGTTGTTAGAGATGTTGTGGCAGTTTTTGGCTTTGCTGTGGCCGCTGCTTATATTAACAACTGGGTTGTTTGGCCTTTGTACTGGGCTGCTCAAGGAACCATGTTTTGGGCTCTTTTTGTGCTTGGTCATGACTGGTAATGATAGGTTTTTTTTCTTTTTCTTTATAGATCTCTTGGCTCTAGTCCTAGGTTAAAGTTTGGATTTTGATGTTTGGATTTGAATATGCAGTGGTCATGGAAGCTTTTCAAACAATCCCAAGTTGAATAGTGTGCTGGGGCATTTGCTACATTCTTCAATTCTGGTTCCTTATCATGGATGGTATGCTCCTGATTGATTTTTTTTTAATCCTAATGTTAAAGTTGCGAGAATAACCTTCTGTCTTCATAATCTTAGTTTCGTCTTGTTATGCTTGTTTGAAGTTTATAATATTCCAAATAGATGCTTTAAAAGTATCTCTGATATATGTTGTGATTAAATTCGCAGGAGAATCAGCCACAGAACTCATCATCAAAATCATGGCCATGTTGAGAATGATGAATCATGGCACCCGGTTAGTTATATCCTCTGTTTATGTTCTGGCATATTACTGTCTGTAATTATGTTTCTTCTTTTAGTCTCAAAGTGAATATTTCCCTGTTTATTTGTTGCAGTTGTCTGAGAAAATATACAAGAGTTTGGATAAAGCTACAAGAATTTTACGTTTCACTGTGCCGTTTCCCATGCTTGCATACCCATTTTATCTTGTAAGTATGTGGTATCTTATTTGATCAATAAATGATTGGACACAAACTTAAGGCTAAAAATCATTTTAATAAATTTGTTGCTGATGATAACTTTTTATTTCAACTGACAGTGGAGTAGAAGTCCTGGGAAAACTGGTTCTCACTTTGACCCAAACAGCGATTTGTTTGTCCCAAGCGAAAGGAAAGACGTGATCACTTCTACCTTATGTTGGACGGCCATGGCTGCTTTGCTATTGGGTTTATCCTTTGTAATGGGCCCTACGCAATTGCTTAAACTCTACGGCATCCCATACTTGGTATGTTTCATTTGCTCTAACTAGAAGAAAAATAAAGGTAGCATGTGTTTTTATCCCCAATTAAAGAATGCAATTTTAACTTGATTCTGCTTCACGTTTAGGTTTTTGTTATGTGGTTGGATTTAGTGACATATTTGCATCACCATGGTCACGAAGAAAAGCTCCCTTGGTACCGTGGAAAGGTAAGAGTTTCTTAGCTTAACGCATCTTTTTTCAAGCTTGCTTGATTTTCGTGTTTCTGGAATTCAACATTTGGAAAATTTGTTACGCCAACTACCTTGGTATTTTGCTGAGTCAACTTTTAGTAATACTAAAGAACAAAAAAAAGTAGGCCATAGAAATTTTTATGTTGAATTCCTCCTGGCTTATACTGTACAGGAGTGGAGCTATCTAAGGGGAGGGCTTACAACTCTTGATCGAGATTATGGATTGATTAATAACATCCACCATGATATTGGAACTCATGTCATTCACCATCTCTTCCCACAGATACCACACTACCATTTAGTGGAAGCAGTAAGTATATCTCTTCAATTGAGCAAACAACTCTCATTAGCAACTTCTCAGAAGCACTTTGTTTTGTATGCTTCCTAATTGTTTTAAATATGAAAACCTTGTAGACTGAGGCTGCTAAACCAGTACTTGGGAAATATTATCGCGAGCCTAGTAAATCAGGGCCTCTACCTCTCCACCTCATTGGAAGTTTGATCAGAAGTTTGAAAAAAGACCATTATGTTAGTGATGATGGCGATGTTGTGTACTACCAGACTGACCTACAGCTGAACTGCTCTTCCAAATCTGGTTAAAGCTTTCATATATGGCCTTCCTCAGCGGTGTAGTGAATGGCTAGCAAGCTCTTTATAGCTGACTTAAACTTAAGCAATCAGAGAGCTTGTATTGCCGTGTTATGGCCAACCCCGCAATGATATGGTGACAACCTTGATTGACTGGCAAACAAATCATTCGTATGAAGATGAGTGATACCTAAGAAGGATTATTGCAGCCGCTGTTGGTTATTTAGGCAGAGGAAATATCAAATATGTGAGGTGTTTCCCTATTGGGATTTTGAAGGGAGAGTGTATATTATATACTATAATACCTGAAGAGATAATTAGCTCTTCAGCAATATTATTCATGTATTGCTGAGTCAAAACTTCATAAATTGAAAGAAAATTCAAGGAAAATTAAATGAAAAGGTTAATTTTTTACCTGTTTCTATTGGGCTTTAGACAATTGAAAAAGCTACTTGTAAGATTCCAGTACTTTAGACTGATCTCCATCATTACTTCAGGAAGTAGGCCCAACAGCAACCAGTGCAGAAAAATAATCAAAATAATTGAGCATTAATCATTATCATAAATATCATCTTCAATAAACAGAACCGTCACGGGCTGTCCCTGACAATTGCAAAGTCATTTTCTTGATCCTCTTTACAGAAAACTCTTGGTTGTGATAATTGCCAACTTCCACGTGCCTATGCATGTACTTGTCACCGCTCACCAACGCAACAAGACGTTTATTTAGCCACCATTATATTACCCAATTTTTCATTTTTTTCTTTAGCTCAAAATGGGAAGTTAGTTTTTATTATTTATCACATAATAAAGTTGTTGCAAATTTATTAGCACGTCACATTCGCTAGGGTCTTTAATTCGATAGATATCATCAAGGCTCTTAAATCAACAAAACAAAGAAAGAATCTGAGAGAGTCAATGAGGTCTCAAAAGTCTTGGCCCTCCAAGAGATAATCCTTCGGTAATTATAACGTCAAAGGAGTATTTCGACGTGTGTTTAGGAAGCCCAAGTGAAGACTTTACTTCAGTTGAGCATTGTTCAATTCAAACACATCATTGTACATCTCTTTGCCTAAGTGAGTACAAACTTCATGGATAAGGCCAATGTATCATTTTTTTTTTTTTAAAATTACTGTACAAGTTTCAGTCCATACGTAAAGCTTAAATCTCGGCCCAATCTAACCACAATAAACCCAAAACAACAGCGAAGCCCAAAGAACTAAGAAAAATGAGCAGAGAGTAGGAGTCGCAGTCAATAGAGTCGGTGGATGTAAGACTCATGTGGTCCAGGAGGACCAAGACCAGGTTTCAGAATGATCAAAAAGTCAGCAACCTCATGCCACAGTACTCTATATTAAATTCTATTTTCTTTGACTACAAACCCAAAAGGATCATCAGTTTCAAGAGAATAATAATCAAATCCTTGAATCATAAACAGCCCCCGCGTTTCAAATTCTAAAATTCCAAGATAGGTTTTATTCCTGCTATAAAAAGGTGCGTAGCATAGCAAGAATCATCAACTAATTGTCAGAAGAATTTTCAAAGAAAAGATATAGAATTGACAGCCCAGCCACTCCTATGTACTATACGCGACTTAGTTGCGCGTAGCTTCTCCTATACACCGACCTAACTCCTCACTCACCAATCACCAAAGTCATACACTACAGTTCAAATCCAAGGCCCGCCTGTTCCTTCCTCCGTCTGTTATATACTACTTTCTTGAATGGACTATTGTTTTTGCTTACAATTGTGAAGCGTTCTCTAGCATATAATTTTTCACTTTTCATTTGTCCATTTACTGCCTCTCAGTTTTGGATCTTGACTGAACAATGTCTACCACACAAAAAAATGATTCTGGGTGTTTCTCTTGCATTTTACGCCGGCTTTTATGCCAGGGTAGTCATCAAACATACCCATCTGATCAGATTGCAGAGCCCACGGAAGTTGAGTTCAATGAGCCAAAGAAAGAGTTAAAACCTGAGACCGAAATTTTAACTCAAGGGGCTCCAGGAATAGTGGCAAGACTTATGGGTCTAGACTCCTTGCCAGAAGCTAGCTGTGTTCCGAAAGGAAAAGCCCCGGATGCAGTTACAAGAAGTAAGTCAGTGAATTTTATGGATTACTTGTTGCAGTTCGATTTAGCTCAAGCTCCTCAGCATCGCAGAGTGAGAACATCAGTGTCCTTTCGCGAAGTCCCAACATTTTTGCATCAACAAAATCCCGAGTTACTTGCTCTGTACTTGGATGAAGTAGATGAAAAGAAGAAGAGGGAGTCAAAAGTGAGAAAATCTGGTAAGGAGTTTGGAGAGCTGAAACAGAAGAAAGAAGAGAGAAGTAAAAACAGTAAAGAGAGATTGGCTATGAAGAAGAAGGAGAAACAAAGCAACAGAAAGAAACTCTCCAAGTTCATTGATGAGCCCCGGAGAGTTTCTGTCAAACGTCATTCAAATATTAGCACCAGTAAGAAATATGGAGAATCAGGAACAACTGTAAAGGAGAAAAGCTCAGTGAAGCGGATGCATCAAAGTGAAGTATTGGCTAAACCGAAAGTCAGTAAGAGTAAAGCTCAGCAGTCAGTTGAGGCAGTGGAGGCAGCTGAATGTAGTTCAGAAAATCCAAGTCCTATCTCTGTTCTTGATGTCAATGATTTTTCAATCTATGAAGACTATCCATCATCAGGTTAGTTCTTTATTAGACAAAATTCTTTAAAATTCTATTGAATTGAAAACTTCATCATTAGCTGATTGTTTTTCTTTTTCTTCAATATATAGATAACACCTAAAACTAATATGCTCTTTAAAATGTGTGAAGCAGAAGATCCAAGGTGTTTGGATTTGAATTTTGAGAGGAAATCTTCAGTAAAGACCATGTACTCTGACTACCCCTCTGCAAATTCCAAGCGAATTTTGAGCAATGATGATCTCAGGCTGAGAGTCGTCAATAAAAGGGACAATGAGTCGATGGATAATCAGATCACCGACTATTACAAGAAAATGGTGGCCAAGCTTTGCCGTATTACGGAAGAATCTATAATGCAGTCGAATTGGATGCCAAAAAAGGAGCTCAATTTTGAAGATTTTGAAGAAATTTGCATGCAATTTGGGCAACACATCCTTGATACTTTATTACAGCAAGTTGTAGATGAATTTGCGGGATTTAATACAGAAAATATTGCTTTGTAATGTTCCGAAAAACTCTTTGCAGAATTGTCGATAAGCTATGTACATACATACCCTGATCCTGATAATAAGATGTGGTGTGAAATGTGAAGGAGTTTGCGGATTTGGGTCACCCAAGGAGCTATATCCGTTCCGTGCATAAACGATAAGAGTCACGTGGTCTCGGATGACTTGTCGTACATGTTTGGGAAACGTAAACTCTTTCTACTTAAAAGATGATTTCATCCTTTATTTATTACTTGAGCAGCTTTTTTATTCTAAAAAATCTAGACAAGAAACTCATGGAAAATTTACCTGTAAAAAAATCCTACATTCTGGAGCTTTCTGACATAGCTAGAGAGTTAAAGATGATTTACTTGTGTTGTTGCCCGTATGAATTGTAGTTCAAACAATGAGAAATTCCTGCGGAGAAATGAAGTTTCAGATACCAAACATAAACTAAATTCAGGGACAAGTATATGCTACCATATATCCTCTAATCTTAAGGGAAAACTTAAGCATAATATTGGAAAAATAAAATTTAAATTTCTTTGACAAACTTTTATTATAATAACACAATGCATTGATTATCAAAAAGCTGAAAGAAAATAATAGAAAAATAGGAGATGCAATAGCTTGGGACAGATGGTGACAGAATTAGACAACTTTTTATTTGTTAAATATTTGAAAGCCGTAGCAGGTGTAAGTTGTTTGTCCTTGCTTTGATTCTCTTTATACATTATAAGGGCTCAATCTACTTCACTTTTTCACTTAATTAATATACTGTGATAAGAATGCCCCCTGCCTTAAAATCAAGAAATATTATATTTAAATTTTAGAAACAAACCTCTTCATTCATTTTCTTGCTTAATTAATATCAAATAACCAAAATTGAAATTAAGAGGGACAAGATAAATAATAATAATATAATTTAAAATATTTTGAAGAAAATGTAATAAATCTTGTTCATGTTTTGTACAAGACTAAAAACCTCCAAATTAGATGATAAAAAATAAAGAGGAAGCCATGCCAATTTCCTTTTAATTCTTAAGCATGGAAAAGATGATACGCTTTAGAAAAGTTCATCTTCGCCAGGGATAAATTAAATTAAACCTGAATTTGAAGCAGCAGTAAGCATATATTTGATTGTTCTACAATCACCACAATAGAAACAACAGTGAATTAATTGGGGATAAGTAACCAAACACCAATGATTTTTTAATGAATATTTAACTATTTTAAATCTTAAAGACTGCGACTTTGTAATTTTTAAACATTTATCTAATATCTTTGACAAGACCATACGTTGAGACGAAGATAGAGACACTACTCTTTCCTCCAAAACAAAAGAGGTCAAAACAGTGGTTGCACTAAGAATTCAACAAAAATGATAAAGCTCCTAAAATTTATTTACAAATTGATGTATGATATCCACATACCACAGCCTAATATTATATTATAGTAAGCCACATGTTCCCACCCAAGGTTTCACAAAATGGCAAGTTCCCACCCTTAGTTTCATAAATTTCATATTCTCACCCTCAAATTAACAAAAAATTGTTTAATGTAATGTTTAAAAAGTAAAGTAGTCATTTGTACAACATTAAATCTGAAATGAAAATAAAAAGTTCAAAATAACTCTCCACATGTCAAATTTCTCTTACAACCATATCCACCCAATTCTCTCAACTCACCACCATTGTTGGCGCCATCGCTGGCCGTTTTCCATGGATCCCTACTGGATTTCTCACCCAAATCGACAAGATTCATCACCTTGACCCCAAATGGACAAGATTCATCACCCTGACCCCAAATCAAACACTTTCCTACCCTACGATTTCGATGTCCTTGGCCTCCCCCGACACTATTGATAAGAGCTTGAAAATAAGTGTTTAGTTAGTGATTCAATTAGATTATTTGTGGGAAAATTAGTTTAAATTGTAAAATTTGAGTTAATTATTTCATAAATACCTTTTATGCAATCACGGGTGTATTTTGAGTATTTTCAGGATATAAATGACATTTGAATGAAGAAGGATGATGTCAATGGAATTTGTGACAAGTATGAACAAACGGTATAAGAATCAGAGTAAAAAGCAAGAAAGTTGTGATGCCTTGAAGATGAGACTTAAAACCTGAAAATTCTTCAAGATGAGCATACTTCAATGTTTTAATTATAACTTGAGCTGTACAAATCAGAATTTAATGATTCTTATGGCGTTGGAAAGCTTATTCAGAGGGCTATAAATTTTATGCTGATGACTTTGCCAAATTCTGAACATATCAGACTCGTGGGACAGAAATAACTATTATCGTAGCGACCATTTCTATCACTGCAACGATGTAGTGCGAGTTTGGATGGTTGTTTTAAAGCCTAGTCGGAATTTGACTTGTTTGAGATATTTAATTCTTTCCTGATTAACCTCCAAACCCTAGCACTATAAATAAGGGTCTTTAATTAGTTTTTAAGAGANTTGTTCATGTTTTGTACAAGACTAAAAACCTCCAAATTAGATGATAAAAAATAAAGAAGAAGCCATGTCAATTTCCTTTTAATTCTTAAGCATGGAAAAGATGATACGCTTTGGAAATGTTCATCATCGCCAGGGATAAATTAAATTAAACCTGAATTTGAAGCAGCAGTAAGCATATATTTGATTGTTCTACAATCACCATAATACAAACAACAGTGAATTAATTGGGGATAACCAAACACCAATGATTTTTGAATGAATATTTAACTATTTTAAATCTTAAAGACTGCGACTTTGTAATTTTTAAACATTTATCTAATATCTTTGACAAGACCATACCTTGAGACGAAGATAGAGACACTACTCTTTCCTCCAAAGCAAAAGAGGTCAAAACAGTGGTTGCACTGAGAATTCAACAAAAATGATAAAGCCCCTAAAATTTATTTGCAAATTGATGTATAATATCCGCAGACCACAGCCTAATATTATATTATAGTAAACCACATGTTCCCACCCAAGGTTTCACGAAATGGCAAGTTCCCATCCTTAATTTCATAAATTTCATATTCTCATCCTCAAATTAACAAAAAATTGTTTAATGTAATGTTTAAAAAGTAAAGTGGTCATTTGCACAACATTAAATTTGAAATGAAAATAAAAAGTTCAAAATAACTCTCCATTCTCAAATTTCTCTTCCAACCTTACCCACCCAATTCTCTCAACTTACCACCATTGTCGACGTCGTCGCTGTCCGTTTTCCAAGGATCCCTACTGGAATATTTCTCACCCAAATCAACAAGATTCATCACCCTGACCCCAAATCAAACACTTTCCTACCGTAAGATTTCGATGTCCTTGGCCTCCCCCGACACTATTGATAAGAGCTTGAAAATAAGTGTGTTTCGTTAGTGATTCAATTATATTATTTGTGGGAAAATTAGTTTAAATTGTAAAATTTGAGTTAATTATTTCAAAAATACCTTTTATGGGATCACGGGTATATTTTGAGTATTTTCAAGATATAAATGACATTTGAATGAAGAATGATGATGTCGATGGAATTTGTGACAAGTATGAACAAACAGTGTAAGAATCGGAGTTGAACCAAGGAAGTTGTGATGCTTTGAAGATGAGACTTAAAACCTGAAAATTCTTCAAGATGAGCATGTTTCAATGTTTTGATTATAACTTGAGCTGTACAAATTAGAATTAGATGATTCTTATGGCATTGGAAAGCTTATTCAGAGGACTACAAATTTTATGTTGATCACTTCACCAAATTCTGAATATATCAGACTCGTGGGATAGAAATAACTATCATCATAGCGACCATTTCTGTCATTGCAGTGATGTAGTGCGAGTTTGGATGGTTGTTTTAAAGCCTAGTCCCAATTTGACTTGTTTGAGGTATTTAATTCTTTCCTGATTAACCTCCAAACCCTAGCACTATAAATAAGGGTCTTTAATTAGTTTTTAAGGGCTGAAGAAAGAGAGAAGAGCAACCACTCTTTGGAGATCAAAATTCTCAAAGTCTTAGGTTCACCAATTAGCAAAGTTTTTCTATTTTCTTTCTTATACTCATGTTATTCAATACAATGGTTGTTTTTAGTACTTAAAGTATGAACTAAATTCTTTTCTAGGGGACAGATTTCACACCAATTTTATCCTATGCATTGACAATTATTGCTAACCTAATTAAGCTTATTTTAAAGGCCAAGTTCCCTAATATTCTGAAAATTTTCTCTCAAACAATTACCAAATAAACCCTTAATCAACAACCTAAAATATCTCTAAAGTGAATTTAGAAGCTAAGAGATCATTAAGTTTTATAGAATTTACTAGAGCCTCCCAGATTGCGGTAACATATCTCTAGTGTTCGCTCGATCTGTGGTTTTATTACCTTAGACTAATTAGGTTTTATCTCTCGATATCAACTAGGGGCGGATCTAGCCACTTTTTGGCCCACCCTAACAAAAATATTAATGGACAAAAGTATTAATGTATAATTAATTTTTACTTTGGCCCATCCTAACAGAAATTTCTAGATCCGCCACTGATATCAACCTAACCTGTAAAATCATTTAGCTCTTAGGCCCTTAAAAATTGAAAGCATTAAGTGTAATAATAAAGCTTAGAACAAAACTTAATAAAAATTAGCAACAAATAATTCAATGCATATTAATAAAATTGGGCTACATCTTAGCCCTCCCTACACCTAAACCCCCATGATTTCCTCCTAATTGCTCCCACCAATCGCCGTCCGCCGTCAGGTTTAGGGTTTTGCCTTTTGAAGTCGAACTGCAGCCAATTTCGACAGCTAAAATCCCACCTGAATGGTGGTTGCTCACCTCTACACCTTACCACCTCCACCGAAAAACCTCGCCCTGCTCACCAGTTGGAGTTGAGTTTGTTTGGAGTGGTGTTTTGAATTGGGGTTTGCTTGAAGATTGAAGTTTGGTGAACTTGGTGACTGCCTTTTTTTTTTTTTTTTTTTTTTTTTTTTTGGATTGGATTTTTGTATGTGTAGTGGATTGATGTGGTTGATTTTATGTGTTGATGTCGAAAGCGGTTTATTGGCTGACGACAGTGGATTTTGTTGATTTTTGTTTTTTTATTTATTTTATTTTTTTATAAATAAAAGGGTAGATTTAAAAAAAAAGGTTGGATGGTGATAGTGGTTGGGTGGCGGTGGCGGTGGCGATAATGTCTAGGTAGTAGCAATGGCTAGGTAGCGGTGGCATCTAGGTAGTGGTGGTAGTGATTGAAGAAGATGGTGTTATTGGAATAAATTTGAAAATAAGATGGTCATTTTTCAAATTTTACTAATTTGGGGATAAAAAATAATTTATTCATTTATTCATTTGTGATAATAATACCCTCTACATGTTATCTAAACCTAAAAATCATTAATGATATTATTTTAAATGTAGGAATATAGAATTTATAAAACTAGATGAGAACTTGCCATTTTGTGAAACTTTAGAGGAATCTCTATTATATTATTAACTCTTGTATCGGTTTAGTTAGTTTAGTACATGATTTGAGACATTTAATATTGTTTTATGCATATTCTTTATTGTCTAAACAGAGTTTTCATCAACTGAACTCCATTTTTGATATAGTAAATTAAATAAGGATGTAAAAAGTCAACCGACAAGAACCCATATAGGTGATGAAATAATGAGCAATCCATTAAGGTGGCACCCACACCTAGCCATAGGCCACCTTAATCGTCGGTTGCTGGGTACCTACTAACTTATGAATAAAAGTAAATTAATAACACGGATTAGGATTACGACATGTCGTTGCTAAGAAGGATGCCAATACTCTTATTATTAGTCGGAGTCTTTGTTGGTCAAATTTCAGACAAGTAGAAAACTAAAACAACTATTGCAATACACGTAAAATACTAGTCGCCTGCAGATTCAAAATCCAGCTGGACTAATAAAAGAAAAAGTCAAAGTATATTTCTCGTATATCCGGAGAATATAAAAATTAGGCATGGCAATGGGACGGGGTGAGACAGGGCGGGGATCTCATTCACCGTATCCAACATTGACTTCGAAATCACTCCCCATCCCTGTTCTATCCTTGTTACTAGGATGACAAGAATTCTCTTTCATCGTGTTTGAAGCCCGTCCTCGCCCTATTCATTTTACATAAACATAAATTAATTTGAACATTACTAAACATAATAATTAATTCTTGTTCACATGATAAACACTTAAATTAATCGTTTAAACATAATTAATTATACATAAATATGGATTAGGGTTTGTTCTTGTTTAATTTTTAGGATGAAGAAAATTGGGAAAATATTGGTTTATATAAGTAGAATAATTGTGTAATTAAGTAAAATATATGAGTATTAGTGAAAAACATATATATATATATTATATACGAGACGAGACGGGCAGGGGAAAGGCATCACGCACCCCCACCCCAATCCCATCCTTGAGGACGGGATTAAAATGACCCCACTCCCGCCCCTATCTCTAAAAAATTCAAGGCTTTCCCACCCCATATGGGTTGGATCGTATGGGGTGGATGAAGACGGGTCCCTGAAAATCAGAGAAACATTGCCATACCTATTAGAAACCGTTGTCGTATACTTGAAATATTCTTATCTCAGCTTAACCTCACCTCTACAAGTGTTTCTTCCCATTGCATGCAAACATTCTCTAGAACTGGCGTATTTATTTAATATTATTAAATGTTAGGATTTTGCAATCATTAATTTTATATACGGGGCCCTTTCAAGAATCAAGAGCAGAATATTAGGATTTTGTAATCATGAATTTATTACTGAAATAAAACATCTTTATCTGAAAGAGTAATTTATATTTCAATTAATTTAAGAATTAAACAATATATGATATCATAAATTTGGCAATTCCACCACATCAACATGTCAATATATGAAAAAGTTAGGAGAGATTACAGAGGTAATTAATCTCCTAAAATTAATTAATAGAGAATGAAACTCCATCGAACAATAAACAATTCAAAACATCTCATGGGTTTGCTTCAACTTAGAACCTGACTATTGACTACAGGCAAAATGATTTAAAAATGAAATTAATCATCTCCAGCACAAAACACAATCTATGTCGGTGAGAATATTTAAGTGTAACTCAGCCAAAAACACGCTTGTCTCGTAGACTGACAAGAGAATACAATGTTACGCGTTGTTTGCATGTGAGCCTCCAGTGCAAAACCAGCAAAGATTGATATCCATTTACACTTGAAACAAAATAGATTGTCAAACAAAGTGAGCTGCAGAAATTAATGAAACTCAGCATTAAGCAAGTGTTGAATGGGAATGGAGCAAAACAGTTTAATTACTATCATTTCAAATGGAATATGGGTCGGATCTTTCCTTTACATTTGCAGACATATAAGCTTTTACCACAAGGGCAAGTCATGATATTGTTAGAGAAATTGGACTCAAGACGGCAGGGGTAATAATGATCAACTAAAAGGAGATGCAAGTTAATTCCCGAAATAAAGAAAAAAATTTCTAAAAGCAAAGAGGAAAAGTAGTATAACTTATTCTACATGAAATCTAATGAAAGCAAGACTAAACACAAAAGGGTTATTGTTCACCTCTTGGGATGCCAAAAGCACAACTTATAAATAAAACAACTAAAAGTAAAATGAGATACCAATATTATTAATTCACCTACAATATATAAATTTAATTTATTGGACATGTATCACTTTTGAACAGCTAACATTTCTCTAAAACTTTTACCACCTCGCTCCAAACATGAAGATCGATGAAAAACTATATACATAATTTCAAATTATACTGTCACCGCATATATTAATTGTATATATCCACCCCAAAATCTTCAAAGGCTATGAAGTAAAGTCAAGCAGATCTTAAAATTATTATAGAAACATGCTATAGGAACAACATAAAAAAAATTAAGAAGAAGAAGAAGAAGAAAGCAACAAACCATGAGGCTCACACATAACGTTCAAATGTTGGAAAAAAGAAAGTTATACATATTATACGTACCAAGCTACTTATATATATACAAAAAATTACATTTTTAAGTTGAGGTTTTAAGGAACATACATAATAAATATCTTAATACAAAAAATCCTATTATGTAGATGTTTGCATGTATTTTCCTAAGTCTTTTGATAGGAATTAATAGCAAGTTCATGAAGATTAATTTCTTTTTTAGCATATTGGTAAACACTAAAGATAACAGGAGAATAATTATCAACTATTGTCTTCGAGAGAGTTGACATGTGAATTTGAAAAAAAAAAAAAAAAGGATTGTATTTTTTTTTTTGAAACATAATGTTTGAGCCAGTTTGTGCACACCTTGACAAATCTCTGTAAGATAAATGCAAGCTAGTCCGAACATTCTGTTTCAAAAAATATATATTAGAACACTGTATTTCGCAAAACTCACTTCTTACACAAGAAAACTCTGAGCTTCATGTATATATTGATAAGAATTTGTAAAATTTAATTATTTTTAATTAATTAAATTACTTTAGTAAAAAAATATTAAATTTCACAAACATCCTTATAATTCTTGACTTGGAAAGTTAATAAACTCATGGTTGTAAGTATGTTTGCACCTAATTCTTAAACGTTTCCTGTTTATTTATGGTTAGAAGTGAAGTTTAATAATAAAAACAGGCAGCAGTCTTTCTCTTCTACTCCTTATTATCTACCTAAACCAATATCATTTTACATGCAGCTATACATAAAAATTATTGGAACGAACGAAAATGTTTGTTCACATCAATAATGATATTCCAACACTTAGATTAATCTGTTTCTTGCAACACAAGATAACTGCTAGTTGAAAAATTTTCGTGCACATGTTTTGACATCTCGGATCTGCTAGTAGAAAATTCCTATTTAACTAGAACGAGATAAAAATGTTAATGCAGTGCTGCAAAGTCAAAACCAATAACATGTTTCATATAATGTCATAATATACAGTATATAAGATATTTCTTAGGTGTGGACTCTAAATTATAAGAGAATGCGAACATTGTATTTCCTCTGAGGTAATACAGGTCCACCACCCATCCATTGATAAAATTTGACAACTAAGAGTAAGTTATGCAATTTGATGACCTAATTAACTGGATTTTTCAGTAACGTTATAGACTTATATGAGGCCTATTAGCCTTGTCACAACTGGCTACATAAACAATGGACACATTATAATAGGTGAGACGTACATTTGTGAGAGAGAATGATTATGCCGGTGTAAGTGAAAGTTAAAACAAGTTGAAGACCATTAGCAACAAGCTTGCAAGAATGGAGCATTAACTTGGCAACTGTTCTACCACCCCTGGATTCTTGCAAAAGATATATTTATGATATATGATCTACTTTCATGAGCATTATCTCAAACACTAAAGTTTGTGGATTCTCTATAGTTGGATATGCAGATTGCCTTCTTTATTCCCACTATGATATATAGATCTTAAACCTTTTTAACAAGTATGCTTTTTGCTATTCTTCCAATGATAACATGATTAATTAAATCACAAGGTATATAAAATGAACAAATTTAAGCTTTTTTCACTAGCTAAAGGAAACCCAAAAGGGGATAGCGAAATTGATGATAATAGTATATAGAAGAGAATCCACGGAACAAAAACATATCTCATGAATGAGAGTTCCAGGACAAACCTCTCAAAACAAGTAAAAGGCTACATGTCTTCTCTTCTAAACTTGTTTAGAAGTGTTGTGATAAGAGCATCTCTCTTCTCAGCCCTAGCCTCTTCTCTCATTTTTCTTTGTTCTTCTCTTTCTCTCCACCTCCTATCCATCATTATCCTCTCATTCTCCAAGGCTTCCATTGTTTGTCTCCACTCCATCTCCCTTAACCTCCTCTCGTTCTCTCTTGCTTCGAATGCTTCTCGCCATTGCATTTCCATTTGCATCTGTTGCTTCATGAAATCCTCCAATATCTCTCTCAAATTATTGTTGCTTCCACTACCACTAGTATTCCCACCGGTCTTGCTTGTCTTTTTTATTTTCTTCTTAGCGTTACCCTTCTCTCCTTCACTGTCTTCGTTATCATCTTCTTCATCTGAAGATAACTGCACCCCTTTCTTTTTCGACCCGCTGGCTGCTCCTTCGGCTTCAGCCCATAACATTCTTTGCATTCTAGCAGATAAAATCGCCTGCAGCTCATTGTAAAATGGGAATTGCTGCCTCAAAGATTCAGGTTCCACCGTTTCACAGCCCTAAACATAAAAAAAAAAATAGGGTTTTCAATAAGAATGGTTCACTTAAATAAAAAATATTGATAGTATTTAAATATTAATCGAATAGTGAGGTTCATATTATTGTTATTATTAGTCTGTTACCTACCTTGTATCGAGTAAAGAGGTTTTTCCACTTGCACTTGCACTGTTCAGCGCTCCGATTATAACCCTTTTCTTTCATCTTTGTGGCGATAACTTCCCATAAAAGCTTGTTTCTCTTTGTCTCCATAAAGGTTCGATCTAACTCTGCTCTGATCATCAAGAACTCCTTCGTTTCTTGAACACTCCATTGAGGAAACCTATCACTTGTATCCACGTTAACACTGATATGAGGATGAGGATGTTGTTGATGTTGATGATGAGGATGATGGTGTCCCTCCATAATTAAGTAGCCACCAAAACACGCAACCGAAACCAGATTAATTTTGCACCAAGAAAAGATAGATCGAAAGACAGAAAAGATAGAAAGAGAAAGAGGAAGAAAGATTTATATGAAGGTGGTGTGAATAGCCGGTGTGAAATGGTTTGCTTTAGCCTAGGTGTCAACCTCAAAGCCAGCGTTGTATTATTCGTTCAGATTTTTGAAAACGAAAACCGAAGAGAGGAAAAGCTCTCTCTCTCTCTTTTCTCCTTCGACATAGTCACCTTCTCAGTCTCATCTCATCTGTCTACGCGGAAACTCAATTTCTTTCTCCTTCTCTCTCTCTCTTTCTTTATTTTATTTTTATTTATTTTTAATTATTTAATTGTATCCCCATTTGTTCCCATTGCGTTTACGTGTCGTCAGGCTTACGAATAAGTCTACAGGTGGTGGGGGCTTTATTCTCTGCAACCAGGCTTAGGAAACTTGCACTGCAAGCTATTTTATTTTCTTTCTAATTTTGTTTCATTTTAATTAGTCAACTTTCTGGTCCATTCTCTTTGATCCATGTGACGGTGACAGGAGAAAGGCTTCGAGACTGTACGTGGAGGCCGTAACGCTAGGACTAACTTTACTTTGCATGGTTTTTGAAATTCAAAGGCAGATGATTAAGATAAGTTTGCATCTTTTTGGAGGCTTGTGGGCCGTTCATCACTAAATATCATACGCGCTTATGTTGTGATCATTAATCATTTCATTTTATTTAAAGCACTTTGTTGTGTGGACGCTTTACTATCCTTATCCACGTGTCATGCATGACGAGATCATTAGATGTGATTAGTGGACCCGCAACCCTAGGGTTCACACCTACGACCTATTCTAGTCGTATCCGATCTTTGGACATTTGACCCCATAGTGGTTATGCTGATGATCCAAAAGGACCAATGGAAGAAGGACACGTAATAAGTTGGTGGGGTAGTATAAGGATTATGGGATATCTTCAGGTGTGGCTGGTTTTTGAAGAACACACGTGGATCAACGTTATGATTTGTCGCCGGATGAAACGGAAGGTGCGAATCGGATGGGAGAGTGAGATCCTGAAGTCCTTGACCAATTTATGTGAACTCGGCTGCAGACAGAAAGTTGTAAAATTTGTTTCTTACGTTGACCGTCTTTGTGGAATTCATTGATGAGATTGAGACACAGGAATGAATTAAGCTGAAAGGAAGCCAATTGTTTTCACTGAGATGACATTTATTCTCGGGTTGGTAACTGGGTTAACCGCATGCACCGTCAATCACCCACTGTTTGATTTTACCCATTCTAGAACCATTAAATATACAATCTACATAGAATTAATTCAAGGCAAATGTTTGAACGGTAAGTGGTAACATTTCAATTCAATCATATATTTATATTCATATAAAATAATTAACACATCATACAATTTCAGTTAAATTTCGGCCAAATTCAATTTTACATTATTCATCTTTCTAAGTTCAAATTAATATTGTTATAACTTTTTGAATTGTCTGAATATGTGTTAGTATACCTAAGAAATTGTGGAAAAACTTGTAAAAAAAGGGAGGAGGAAGACTGGAAGAGGTCAAGAGGATAGTGATTTTGTGACTGTTAATGCCAATATCAAAGATATGATCATTAATAATTAATGGCAATAGGAGGTTTCTTTTGATTCTTCCTAGGATTATAATTAATATGTCAATCAATTTAATGATTCCTAATTATGACATAAAAGTCTTTGTATGGAAAACGTTTTATCAGGATGCAGAAAATTTAATATGCTTTTGGGTTGGGCACGTATATATATAAAATTTATGTTAAATTAATTTAGCTACTATACTAATGCCCGCAGGATTGGAATATTTGTATTGAAATTGTTTTATATATATCATATTCTTTTTACCATGCAATCCCTCGTGGTCGTCGTCCTTCTAGATGATTGTACGATAATCCACAAAAAAGTCTTGGTCTGACTCCTTAACCTAATTCAGCTCTTATTGTAGCAAAATTAGATACTCAAGGTATGAAAAAAATATATATAATAATTTTATATTATTAGAGTGTAAATACAATTCAACATTTCTATAGTTATAATGGCGGAAACAAATTAATTTTATTATTATAAAGATATTATAACTTAATAAAGTTGTAGTTATAAAAATTATTGTTCTAACTTAGTTATGTTTAATGTCAGTAGTATAGTGATAAAGTATGACCTAACCGAATCGATATTAATATCTTCCTCAATCATCCAAATGAACAACAAGTCATGTAGTTTATTTTTATGAGTTAACGACATGTTCCCACCAAAAAGATGGCCATTAACAAATTACCCACCTACTTTTTAAATACTCTTTTTTAGTACCCAAATCACAATTTTATTAGTAATTTTTGCTATGGAGAAGGGTAAAATGGTCAAAAGTTTGTTATTAGTGAGGACAGAATGGTCAACAAACATTTCGCTGCCTGAGAAGAGAAAAGAAAAGGGAAGGTGCACATTAGCAAGAGATGTCGCACGTTAGCAACTTTGGAGCTAACAGTTTTCGTCGTTTTCTAGCAGATCCCAGCATCCAAAATCACTTTTGAGACCATCCACAGAATCCCTATCACCTCCTCTACAAAGCCCAAGCCTCCATTTGCCGTTATCACTCACCATTTCCCACACCACCACCTCCATTCACATGGCCAACTCTTCAAGCTAGGTTTTCAGTCATTTATGGTGTCGAAAATCCACCCTGAAACTCACCACCTCCTCCATCCTCTTCCTTGAGCAACTCTCCACCCTTAATCTGTTCACCCAAGCCCGGTGCACATGGCAATCGTCGAAAATCGCTGCCTAAGTTTTTACGCGATTCCCCATCTTTCCAGTCGATTGATTCAGTCACCCAAAATGCTCCAGGCCACCATCGTTTGAATCCCAACCCTTTGCTCTTTAAAACCCACCCCTCCCTAACCCTCCGTGCTCGCCATTTGCTGTCCTTGTCCAGCTCTTTCCACCATGAGACAATCACGATTTGCAGCGGTTTCCTCGGCAAATCGTTGGATTTTTGGTGCTGGATCAATGGGTTTTGATTGGTTGTGTTGGTGTTATGTTTTTTTCAGCCATCGTTCTCTCCCAGATTACTCCAACCTCGTTGCCTCAAAGTCGCTTACTAACTGTTCGATTAATTGTCGCACCCAGCTCCTAGTCGACAATGGGAGAGGCCAGAGATATTTTCGTAAATTACTGTGTTTCCCACCCAAAACATAATATCTGGGTACTGAAAGGGTATTTGAAAAGTGGTTGGGTATGAATTTGTCAATGGGCCATTTTTTGGGTGGGAACATGTCGTTAACTCTATTCTTATTTATAAATGGTCCAATTTGGGACCAAAATTCTTTATGACTATATGGAATTTAATCTTCCAATTCCAATTTGTATATAAATATATAGGGACATAGCCAAGATTTTTATTTAGTGGGATCAAAACATCTAAGTTAATAAACTGAAACCCCAAATCTTATAACTTAGATTTTTTAAATAATTTCTACTAACCTAATAAAATTCAATTCATAAACCCATGAAAACTCATCAATCTAACTCTAAATATCAAGCAATTAACCAATATATCAAAATTAAACCAAATATTCAAATCTCTACAACTTAGGGTTTCATCAATTCTTTAAATTATTCAAAATTAACTCAATAACTAACCGAAATTTATCAAACACAACCTAGGTAGCGTTTGGTTCGGGGTGATATAAGATTAATCCTCTAATCTTTGTTTAATTTTCAAGATTCTCTCATTTGGTTGTCAAGTAATAAAAGATTATGTAATATTTTATTGTAAATAGTGTTTACTGTTGGTAGTATTGGGGGTAATCAGATTACCTTCCCAAGGGGTGTTAATATAAGATTACCGAGGTAATCTTAATTTTGACCCTATTTTGCCCTTAATCTTTTATCATTTTTGACACATTTGCCCTCATATGTCTACCAAATAAAAATTACCCAAACCCTCTACATTTGAGAATTTAGCTAAAACACCCCGCCACAAAAAAGTTTAAAAGTTAACAAAAGACACCCAACCACCCAAGACAATCACCAGCCGCTAGCCACCACCACTGGCCGTTGACAAAAGTCGTCATATCGGCACAAGATCGGCAAGATCTTGCCGTTCGTGTGCTGATAAGGACATTTTTGGCCATAGATTTGTGATGCATGGTCGGAAACGACCAGATCTAGCCGTGAAAAGGCCAGATCTGTGGCCGTTTCACGACCATATCTTTGGCCGTGAAACGACCATATTCACGGCCAAATCTAGCCGGATTAGGCCTTATCGATGCACACTAGCCAAATTTGGCTGGTCGTGCGCCATTATGGCGGCTGCCAGCAGTGGCTTGGGGTGAGTGGGGGTGATTTTGCTGCAAATTAAAGTTGTATATGGTTGGGGTGTTTTAAGAAAATTTCAAATATATGGGGGTTAAAAGAAATAATTTAAAAAATAATAATAAAAATAATATTATATTATTATTTAAAAAGGAGGGTTATTTAGTAATTTACATAACATACCCACTCATTTATCCTCTCAACCAAACATATTATTATAACACACCTACTAATTTATTTCAATCGACCAAACCCATTTATTTAAAGATTCCCTAGTAATCTATCTTTCCAGTAATACAACATTCCTTAGTATTATAACACTCTCTGAACCAAACGCATCCTTAAAATAATAACTAATTAACTCATACCTCATCATAAACAAGATTAAATCAAAACCCACATTCAAATCTAGGAATTTTATCTTCCAATTTCAAACTGATTTATTAAACTCAACAAAAACCCATAGCTCATGATCTTTCATCAATTAAAAAAGCTAAAAGAAAATAATTTTAAGTAAAAAATAAAAATAAAAAGTTAGCATCATCTTACCTTGTATCCAAGGGAGTAGCCTTTCTTGAGTATTTAATCAAAAGAAAAAGATAATATGAGAGAAAAAGAGAGGAAATGAATAAGAGGGAAAAGTTAAAAAAAAATTAATTAATAATTCATTTTTGTACGGTTAATATGAACTATGAAGTTAAATGGGTCAAAATTATAAAACCCATCAAACATTAAGACTTTTTTGAATTTTTTTAAAAATTGAGTGGGTTCAATTAAACCCACAACTATCTTGTGATTACGTTCATGTTATATATATATATATATATGCACATACCTCAATTAACTTCTAAACCAATATCACTGTATAGATATTTTACTGTATTATGTTTTTTTGGAATAAGCTTTTACTTAAATGTTCAGATTTTTTTTTCATATATATACATGTAAGGAAAAGGTTGGTGCTTTTTTTTTTTTTTTTTGACCTTGTGTCTTGCCGGCATTGTGCATTAAACAAAAGTAGTTGACGAGAAATTGGTAATTGCTTAGAAAATATCGGATGATGCCTTGGATTGTTTTAATTAATCGAATCGTCAGCAATGACTCGCCATGTTTGCATATGTTGAATTAGGAAGGATGACGCGATGGCCATTGCATCACTGCACCGTAATTCACGAGTCTGCATAGTAATGTTGAAATAGGAAGGATGACGAGATGGCCATTGTAAGAATATTCTTTTATTATATTAAAGCGTTTTTCTTCTACATAGGATGATAGGAATATAATCAAAATTTATATGTTAATTAAGTGTAAACATAGCACAGAATAGTAGAAATTAACAAGGAAACACTTAAGTGCGCAGTACTAGTCCTTTTCTCTTACCTTTCAGCTTGTCTTTGTCCTCAGCCTCTACAAGAATTTATGCATTGGGTCCATGTCCATCGTCTTCCTTCAACTCTAACTAAAACCCATTCACGTTAAAGTTAAATGGACCAATAAGTTAAGCACCTCAATCTTCCACAATCATGATATTTGTCTTCAATTTATTATTTAATTTGTTGGCAGTAGATTATATTAACGGTACATGGAAGCTTAATTGAGAAAGATGTTATGACAATGGTACGTGGTGTAGCAGCATTAATTGATGGAGTTATAGAAACCACAATTGATGAGAAAGAAAGATGGGTTTAACTTATACGTAAATTCAAAGAAATAAGTGTTGGGCATCATATGGATCTGCTACTAAAAGTTGTATTATTTATGAGAAATGGGCCATCCACAACGCTAAGAAGTTGCCAATATTAAGTGGGGTTGTCTGTTGTCGATCATCTTCTCTGTTGTATTGTATTTATTACTTGGAGGTGAAAAACAAAAAATAGTGTTCTTCATAAATGTTCCTTCGATTTTAACCAATACTTTTTTAAATCTCATCATCTTGTTACTACCACCAAAGCCATATCTTTTCTGTACGTGAAGCCAACGCTCAAAGTATATAATTACTTCCCTTGTATTAGAGTTAGTTTATAATATTAGTTCTATGGCGATGGAGCAAGAGGGTCAAATATTTTGGCTGATGAGGCACGCTGTCTGCACAAGACAACAAGTAAGAGCATCAAATGCCAACTCATAAATTTTTTTTTATAATATTCTCGTTTGACAATAGGAGTCTTGCATGTGAAGTCAAAATGAATAGAATGACACTCAAAATGCAAAGAAAGGAGAAAGCCGGTTGTTTGTTTGAGTGTCATATGAGACCCACACTAGGCTAATGCACAACAACTCTCCCCTAAATTCAAATCTTTGCAAATTAAAGACACAACAAATGGCATCTTCTTTTCCTTCTTAATTCTCTCCATATTCTTTTTTTATTATTACCATTTCTGTTTTTGTGCGACAATCTGCCAATATTCTCTTTAATATATCCATCACACAATTACTAATCAATCTAATGGACTACAAACCTTCCATTCTATCTTTTGGCTACACCTTAGAAACAAAAATAAGCATTTCTTCCAACCGGAAACACTAAATAAGGATGATAGGTAATAGTATTTTTAAAGTGTTAATCTCATTTGTTCTCTAAAAGAGGAAAAAGTCATGATAAAACAAAGGTAGCAACAAAAGCTCAAGGACCTGAAAATTAAAACAATTATTTTAATGAAAATGTTTATCATTCTGTCTCTTCTCTAGGTGTTCGTTAAAATACCCAGAAGAAGGCCATATAAATATTAGAAAAATAAAAAAAATCCAACCAATAAACCGTCAGACCCCCCATCTTCTCCGCTTGCTTGTTTGTTCCCGTCCCGTTCCGACCGTTCAACCCTCTCGATTAGCCGACAAAATTCTCAGACCTAAACAAGACGATAAAATATTCCAAACTAAAGTAATTAAATTAATTATCATTTATTTAAAAAAAAAAAAAGAAAAAAAAAAAACTTACATGATATCAAAAGACTCACTCACTCACTCTCTTCAAAAGCATATCACTCTCTCTCTCTCTCTCTCTCTCTCTCTCTCTGTCTCTCTCTCAGTCACTTTAAATCGTCTTCTACTCATTTCTCACTATAATGTGAAACCCTAACTAGCTATATTTAGTTAGGGTTTGTACTTACTAGATCCGTACATAAAGCAGCTATTCAATGGGAAATTGCTGCAGATCTCCGGCGGCCGTTGCCAGAGAAGACGTTAAATCTAACTTTTCCGGTCACGATCACAGCCGCAAAGACTCACACGCTAACAAGAAGCAACCGATCACTGTGTTACACGGAGTCCCAAAAGAGAACATCGAAGAGAGGTACTTAGTGGACCGTGAGCTCGGCCGTGGGGAGTTCGGCGTGACGTACCTCTGTATCGAGCGTGAAACGCGTGAATTGCTGGCCTGTAAATCGATATCCAAGCGGAAATTGCGAACGGCCGTTGATATCGAAGATGTGAGACGTGAAGTGGCGATAATGAAACATTTGCCGAAGAATTCGAGTATTGTGAGCTTGAAGGAGGCGTGTGAGGACGACAATGCGGTGCACCTAGTAATGGAGTTGTGTGAGGGTGGAGAGCTTTTTGATCGGATTGTTGCGAGAGGCCATTATACGGAAAGAGCGGCCGCGGCGGTTACGAGAACGATTGTGGAGGTTGTGCAGTTATGTCACAAGCATGGTGTGATTCATAGAGACTTGAAGCCTGAGAATTTTTTGTTCGCGAATAAGAAGGAGAATTCGCCCTTGAAGGCTATTGATTTCGGACTCTCCATATTCTTCAAGCCTGGTGAGCTTTTTACAATTGGATAAATTTTTGGTTTTTTAATTATGTAATTACTACATGACATGTTCTTGGTTTTGAATTCAATGCTTTTATTATTATCTGCGATGGAATTGGCTTGTGTTTAAGTTCTCTGGACACACTTGAACTCTAGGATGTTACTTTAATTGTTTGTTTGAAAAGATGGTAAATGTTGTAGTCTGGGGACTTGAAATTCTGTTAGCTTTGCAGCTAGTTAAATTAAGCGAGAGAGTGATGTAGGATGAAAATTGAAATGTATGATTATTGTTGCAAGTTACTAATAAAATTGAACAGGACGCTGTGACACTAGTGAAGAACAGAGAAATGAAAGATATAATGGAAACATATTGTTTGATGTTTATGACATCATCTTGTTGATCATAGCGGTTTCACGTGTTCACCAATGGCTGTTTGGTGTGTTCTAGGAAGGATGCTTGAAGATCTTTGTAACAAAGAGTTAGGGATTAAGTTTTCATGCATAATTAGATTTGGTTAAACCCTCAAGTGAGTTTTAATCAGCTGCAATAAACTCGGTTCCTTGGATTGGCTGTCTTATGCTATGATAAGCAGTTAAACCAGCTTGGCAGAGCAATTTGAGTGAAACTGGATGGTTCTCCCTTTGTATAATGGTATATCCACCCATAGGAATTTGAGGTTTGTGGACGAAGTCATAATTCATTTTGCCAATATACTGTTACATGCAAATAGTAGCATGGTAGATCTGATTAGATTGTGGTTACATTGATCTTTTTCAGTCACATTCTGTACCAGAGTTTACCACATCATTTGTGGAGCCATAAGTTTGGATCTTTGGTTTGGAGTTTCTCTTTCTTGTTCTTTTGATGATCTCTAGGTTGAAAGTACTTCATATTTGGTGGGCTGTGTGAAGGAAGAGGAGAAAGTGGCCTGTTTGGGGAGGATGAAATTGTGACGCAAAGGCTTATTTTATCTAGTGTGATGTTCGTGTGCCTACAATTTTTACACCCTTGATTTCGTTCTTCTTGGGTATGTGTATTTTTTTCTGTGAGAGTGCTGATGATTGCTATTGCAATTTCCAGGTGAGAGGTTTTCTGAAATTGTTGGGAGTCCATATTACATGGCTCCTGAGGTGCTCAAGCGAAATTATGGACAGGAAATTGATATATGGAGTGCAGGAGTTATCCTTTATATTTTGCTGTGTGGGGTTCCTCCATTTTGGGCTGGTGAGTATGTTCTTTATTCTCTTATCTTTTTTTGTGCCTCTTTATGGAGGGTTGGGCAGTAATTTTTATTACTATTCTTTAATATGTTGTTTTCCATTGACCTAAAGTACACTTTCATGCAGAATCTGAACAAGGGGTCGCACAGGCTATTCTTCGGGGGCTAATAGACTTTAAAAGGGATCCATGGCCAAACATTTCAGAAAGTGCCAAGAGTCTAGTCAGGCAAATGCTGGAGCCTGACCCAAAGCTTCGACTAACTGCGAAGCAAGTGCTTGGTAGTTTGCATATCTTTTGCACTGTATTTGGTTGTTAGCTATTTTGTGTACATCAATGCATGCCATTTCTTCTTGTGTTTCTTGGGTGGAGTTTGGTGTAGGTTGCATTAGCTTCTGGTAATTTACATTCTACCTTGTGCCCTTGGGCTCTGAATTTGGTTATAAGAGAATGGCACAGTGTTGGGAGTTATCCGAGGTTCATGTCTGACCTGTCAGAAAAATTCTGTGCTCAAATTTGTAATAATATCGCATCACACCTACCTTATATCAGCATTGAACATTATAGTATCACATAGCAAATGAGCTTCAGAAGCTTACATCAGTATTTGTAATATGGTTTAATGTTCCAATACTTTTTTCGATCTCAATGTAGTGAGATGGTTTCCTTTAGAAGCAGTAAATGATGCGTTATACTAGGGATAGGTAATTGTATCCTGGTCACTGTAAAACTTAAAGAATGGGTTTAAGTTAATAAATACCTAGGATTTTGCTGCCTGTTAAATTTAAACATGCATTGTAAGTGTTGATTTTGCTGCCTGTTAAATTTAAACATGCATTGTAAGTGTTGATTTTGTGTTGCCTAATGTGTCTATCCTCTCCTTTTACAGAGCATCCTTGGCTCCAAAATGCTAAAAAAGCTCCAAATATTCCTCTTGGAGATGTTGTCAAGTCAAGGCTCAAGCAGTTTTCAATGATGAACAGATTTAAAAGAAAAGCTCTCAGGGTTGGTTGACTTCTAAGTTTTTATCCTTTGGCCTTTTTTTCTTTTCTTTTCTTTTCAATATAATTATTTAAAATTGTTCTGTCAATTAGGTTATTGCCGATTTCTTGTCCATTGAGGAAGTTGAAGACATCAGAGAGATGTTCAAGAAGATGGACAGTGATAATGATGGAATTGTTTCAATTGAGGAGTTGAAATCTGGCCTTAGAAACTTTGGCTCCCAGCTTGCAGAATCTGAAGTTCAGATGCTCATTGAAGCTGTGAGTGTGCTTTTGCTTTACATATTCCATTCCATCTACAGGCACCACACTGACATCAACAAAATATACTCTAAATCTAGTTTGTTTTATTTAAACATTATATGTCGTATTGAAGAGGACCAACATATTTTCTCATGTACGTATCTAGTGAGACATTTGATACTTTTAATTGATAAAATAGGGCAACATTTGACCACAAGGGCCAGGATAAGTTGACTAAGACGACTAGCCTTCATCATGTTGTTAAATCGTACTTGTTCGGTGCTTCTATGGATCCGACGCATGTGTTGTCTTTGACTTATGCAAAACCGTTTACCAGATCTGTTACATTATACAATTAGACTATGATCTGGTCTGTGGTCCTGAAAGCATTTTTATTGCTGTTGTCTTCTTTTAGGAAAACATCATTGATAAATTGTTGATGCATATGTCTATTCCAGTGACAATTTTATAACGTGAATAGACTTGAAAATACTATTTAGATATTCCATTTATAGTAGTATTACACTTATATGCAAAACTTTGATCCCAACTGATTTGATTGTTGAGGTGGCAACACCACATTCATTATAGGATGATGTGATAAATGATATTACGTTTCAACAATTAATTGTTACTACTATATTATAGTCATATTAGTTGAGATACAAAGTTGGGATCTCAACTTTCTTAAGTATAGTAGTATTATTGTTCCGTTTAGGGGACAAAAATTTAATTTCCAAAGGGCCATGTGGTGGTTGATGGAGAATATGTGTCGTTGCAATTTGGGAAATCACTATGCTCTTGGATAGAGGGACATCTGCTATGTTAAATGAAGAATTACCAAGTTACTCGAATTATTATTCTGTGCATTTAGTGGGTATAATGGAGAGATAAGCTCAATCATTGCCCTCAGTTTTGTCTTCGAACTATAGAGTTACTGTTGCTGTTGTTTGTGTGTTGCTTCCTAGTACTTTTCCCTGCAATATCAATCTTTAAAGGCTCCCCATGCTTTTATATTGAGTGGGATGTGTTTGCTAACAGGTAGATACTAATGGGAAAGGAACACTCGACTATGGTGAATTTGTTGCTATTTCTGTCCATCTACAGAGAATAGCCAATGATGAGCATCTTCACAAGGCCTTTTCCTACTTTGACAAGGATGGTAATGGCTTCATTGAGCCAGATGAGCTCTGTGATGCCTTGATGGAAGATGGAGCTGATGATTGTACTAATGTTGCAAATGACATCTTCCAAGAAGTAGACACGGACAAGGTGAACATCCAATTTTTTTCTTGCATTTGTATATGGTTTTGATTTGTAGATCTCTGTCTGATATGGTTATATTTTTCAAATGCAGGATGGGCGAATTAGCTATGATGAATTCGTGGCCATGATGAAAACAGGAACTGACTGGAGAAAGGCTTCTCGTCACTACTCAAGAGGAAGATTCAACAGTCTGAGCATTAAGTTGATGAAAGATGGTTCTCTAAATTTGGGCAGTGAGTAGGATGTATGTATTCGTAGGCTTTGTTCAGTTCATTTAATCGACTCAAGTACCGACGCTTCCCATACATTGTGGACCTACTACTTCCTTTTGTGATTATTTGTGGGGTCCCTGATTATATGGGATCCTTTTGCTTGGTGGTTTACAAGAATGATGGAGGGCCGAGAATAACTTGTTTATCTTCTCTGCAAGTATTTAATCTGTGTAAAAACCTTGCAGCCGTGATACACCACTTGTGATTGTGCCCTTCTTTACCACGTCAACCTCTGATAATTGTTTCTTGTTCAAAGTATGGGAGTGGCGAACTGAGCTTTGTAGTTCTGTAGTATATTGTTGTCCAAGATATATGGCCACCCTAGTGTCTGCGCCTGCTTTTTCCTTCAAATTTCCCAAGTTCAAACAAATCAAAGTGTAGTAAGCAGTTGCTAAATGACTATTTGCAATTCAATAATACTAATCTCACTAAGTCCTCTCGTTAATCCCATGTGAGAGTTTGTAAGTTTGTGATTGGCTTGATTAGGTGGGATCTATTATTGGAGAGACAGGACTCATGTGAACTGATGAATTGTAAACTGACATGTGACGTTAGTAAGAGAAAGTTAGTGAGAAATATTAGTAAGTGTAGTGTTACTATGTATAATTTAACCTTTTTCTCATTGCAGTTGGCGTTGGCTGAGTCTTTAAAGCGATTGGGTTTGTTTTGTGAGGAATGGGGGTTTTATAGACATAGGCCCACCAAGGTTTTGAGGCCGATTTTCAACTAGAGCTACAAGTTGTATCCAGGGATGGCAGTGGGATGGGGCGGGGCAGTTAGGGCTTCCCCGTCTTCACACCCCAACCCCACTTTCCATTTTGATCTCCATTACTTAAGTAGCTATCCCTTTCCCATTTCAATTTGCTTTCTAAACCAATTTCATTTCCCATATCAATATCTTCATCCTCACCCCAGTGAAGTAGAATCCTTGTGGAATCTCAAACCTATAGAGTACAGACTTGTTGTCATCCTTAAACTCGATCAAACCTAAACATTCTATCCCTTACATATTAAGATTAAAAATTTGTAATAAGAATATAAACGAAGACAATTGAATGACATTAGGTGGGCGATTTCGCCATTATTTATAAAGGAACCCATTTCTTTTAAGGGAAGAGGTGTCCTTAAAGCATGTGGTGGGTTAAATGTTGGAGCTTGTATGGGCCTTGAAGCTTATTAGAAGGCCCTTGTAGGGTTACCTTATAAAGATGATTGGGGTTTGCAGTTCAGATGAGATGATAGGATAGATTGACCAATGACCCATGGTGTTCTTAACAATAATATTCTTATATAGTTTCATCTTTAATTATTAAAAGTAGGATATTGATGGTGATGATCACCAGGAGCTAAACAATGATCATACTCTTGCTCTATTGATTTGGTCATACCACATGTTCCCCTGAACTGAACTGAACTTCACCCAATTTAATTTATTAAATGAAAAATAAAAGCATTTTCATTTTTCACATGGAAGAATTCAGATCAAGCGTAATCATTGATTCATTCCTCTTGTGTTTCACACACTTCCGATGTAACAATTGTTATTATGTTTGATTCACATTCAAATAAGCAAAAAAAGCAAATATCATTGGACAATTTGTTTTTGATAACAGCTAGAGCTGGCTGTATGGTCCAACCAACAAAATTAGTAGTGTATTTGCAGGAGGGTTGAGATGGAAGGTTCTCCCAGCCGTTCCCTTTCAAATAAGCCAAACAAACACATGATCAAGAAGATTGAATTACATATATGTATTATTAAAGCACAAAGAGGCTAGCGAACCGGCCATGGCCATAGATTATTGAGAATTTCTCAGGCTCCAATGTCTTGTTAGGCGCTGCCAAGGTTAATGTCAATCACTGTCATGGAGACTCAGCAATTGGGACCAAATAAATCATTTGTCGACAAATACTGCATACCACAATAACAAAATCCCAACGTGCAGCAGTAACCTATTAATTTTCATGTATAAATTTACGCCAAAGATAATGTGTCATTTTGGTTGGCAGCATGCTGTCCGCCCATATCCACCTAATCTCCATCATTATCATCAATATATACCACCCTTTACATTTCTAAATCACAACAACTCTACACTGTAATCCATCTTGTTTCCTGTGGGTTTGGTAGCAAGGCAGAAACTTCAAAATTCAGCCACATTTTTCAAGCTTTAATTGATTGAAAAGTATTAATTTGCATGCGTATGCGTCTACTAGATTAATAGTAGTGCGACTATCAATCTATGAAAAGAATGTAGGTAATTAAGATTAATAGTAGTGCGACTATCAATCTATGAAAAGAATGTAGGTAATTAAGGAAAATGGTAGAGTTATCAAAAAGTTTACACCGAATTTGTGCACCGAATGACGTGGCAAAATCCTGATTGTTGATTAATATTAACTGATAATAAATAAACGGTCAGGATTGTGCCACGTCATTCAGTGCACACCCGTCGGTAACTGTAGCATTACTCGGTAATTAATTACATGAATTTCATACCAATTTTGCTGTGCTATCTTCTCTTGGGCCATAGCTTTCAATTGGTCAAAAGATAGGACCAGTAATTGGAGTAGTGCAAGACGTATAATTAAATTAGAAGTGCAAAGTGCACTAGTGATGTAGAGGTTACTTGTAGAACTTGTTAACATTCTGTCTACATAGACTTTTGCACTGAGAAAAGTTTTCACTTGTTAGAATAATTGTTGTCACAAATCACACGAGGCAATGCCTTTTTGAGAGTGTCATGTCGAAGAATATAACTAAACGTTAGTACGCAAACACAACACATGATTTATCTACGAAATATTTGGTGCAAAGTGATCCAATTACATCTTTGTTTGATGCTCTCAGCTGTGACTGTGCTGCATGGTCCCCTAGCTACAGAAACATTAGATATTTTCTTTGGATATTGAGCCTTCACAATCACATGTATGCTGCTTCATCTTCAAAGGAAAGCGTAAATTTATGTCTGGCCTACGCTATTTCTGCTGATTTTACCTCAATCATTCTTGTCATGTGCTTTCACATGGATTGAACATCAATATCGCAGTGATGTGATAATGATCGACAACTCTGCTACTTTTTTACACTCCTAAATGTCCCCACAAAGTACAACTTTGGTTTCACAGTTCACACTAATGCCATTCAACATTTTAATCATTGAATTTGATTACTACACCAGGCTAAGCCAAAACTACGGTGAATTTGAAAATGCTGTGCCTTTTAGTATTTTACAAGTTTTGCATGGAAAGCAGGAGTGGGCACAAAAACATTCAAGAAATTTAGCTTTATTTCTACTACTTCTACTCACCACCTGCACCTGCCTTCATGTAATTTCCTCAAAGTGAATAAAACATACAGAGAATAACAAACAGCAAAAAAAGAAGCAATATTTCTACTACTTGTACATAGACATTATAAATTTCAAAGATCTTATTGTACTGTACGTGTAATTGCCTCTAAAAATGATGCCATAGAAATGAAGAGTATTATTTCACTAATCCGAAGCTAATTAAAGTAGGTCACAGTAATAATCCACTAGCTGAGAGGAGACTCAGAAATAATGCCAAATACCAAATCCCACTATCATTAAATATTCAGTACTGTTTCTTAGCACTGTTGTAAAAATAAATGTGCTCTAAGATCAAATAAAAAAATCATAAGTTGATGTGGAAATCATGTATGTATCAGAAATAAATAAGTGATCAATAAAATGCAAAAAGAATCGAGTCAAAAAATGTAAAAATTTGAAACAAAAGCATTAAATATCTGAAAAATGTGTGGATTTATTACTAAAAGGATTTGTGGTTTTGGTTTTGAATGGAGAATTGAACTGGGGACAGAGCGTGAAGCACGAGGGCCTTCTAGTTACCGACTCCATTCTACCACGTGGTATCCTTTTCCAGCTTACAAGATGTTTCATGCGCAGCCTGAGCCTGCATCTTAATTTAATTCCAGTTTATCAAAATATAAAAATTACATAATCAACCAACTAACCTTTCAGTAACTTCTGTTATCACTCATTCTATTGTTACAGTTTATTCGAATTCCCTTTTAATGGTTGAACTTATATCTTCTTTACATTTCACGCCTCGTGGGTTTACCCTTTTTTTAAATGAAATAATAATAGTTATTCAATTACTTATAACGTTAAATGCATATCAAAAACCATTTAATTGAGGGATTTACTAACTTACAAGGTTTTTTATTCTCTTTCTTAACCTTAATGGTTTAAGAGTGGCCAATTATGATTGATATAACTTGCATTGAATTTTATATATACACAGTAATTCTTTAGTTAGTACCGTCTTGATACAACTATATAGGATTATGCTTAATTACAGTTGAATGTTTATATGTAAAATATCCTTGAGTGAATCCAACAACACTCAAGCATGATTTTGATATAATTATATCAGAATGGTCCTGACTAGAGAATTTTTGTGTATATCAATGTTTTAAAACCCAACCTAGGGTCAAAGCCGGCAAAGTGGCTGGGTCTCAGGAGGTTTAAAATCTAGCAAACACACCCCTAAAAATTACACATCAGTTTTTATAAGTTTAAAATCCAACAAATACACCCCAAGTGCAAATCGGTGGTCGACCGGTTGGTAGCGACGACATGCCAAATGCAAATCCCACTCATCCTTTGAGCCATTTCCTGACAATATGCCCAAAATCTAGTCGAAATCAAACCATTTTGCAACCATTGTCGGCGTCGACAACACTCTCTATCACCATGAAAACACTTTCCTCAGTCTCCTAACTAAACAACAACCACCCCCCCTCCTCGGTTCTTTCTCTTTCACCACGCCAATCACTGATAACAACCTGCTGTTGTGGCTGCAAGACTTTTGTCTTTTCCAATCGTTTCACTCACTAGAAATAACCCTCGTTGTCACCTTTCAACTCACCAGAACTTTCTCTCCAAAACCCTCGATAGCCCCGCCACTTGTTGCTTGTTGATCACCGCCTTCCTCTCCAGGGTTTGTTTAAACAATGGAAATGGGTGACCTAGACTGACGAAGGCCTTGGGTCCCAGTTAAACTGGCTACCGGGTTTTAAAACACTAGTGTGTGTATATGTATATATTGAAAAAAAGATAAATAAATAGTATATCAATTAGCATACCAAAATAGCTTTACAAAGTCCAATAGAACAATATTATGTTACACCCGAATTTATAAATGGTTTGTTAATAACATGAAATAGGTGGTTAATGTTTTTATTTATATAAAAGTAATTAATTAATTCATTATAATTAAGCAAGCATTACAGTTGAAGCAAATGTAGCGATCATATTTGGCACCCCACATCATTTGTGCGATTGAAAATATATATGTGATTGATAAAGCTTAATTTGTGACAAATATTTCTTAATCTAAGTTGACGACTATTGTATTATATAGGAAGTGATAAGGCTAAGATATAGATTTGAATTACATCAAATTGAGTACACATGAATTTTTGTTACGAGCATCTTCATAACTTGAATGCAATTCAGAAGACGAATTCAAGAGTTTAAGTTGATGTGAAATTGATACGATTTACGTGTAAAATTATATCATATTAGTTGGAAAATAACATACTTGAATGAGAAACAAAATAAAAGCAAGCGATGGAGATATGATCACGTGTTTTAAATAAAGATGGTGAAAAATAGGCACGTGATGAAAAATCTAAAATCTGAAAGAACCGTAATCTGATGTCGGCCTGGAAAGACGACTCCAACTCCACTTCCACTTCCCATCTATTCACGTGTCTTTAAACACAATAACCAGAATCTGCCCTCACCACTTCCCACGGAATCTTTTTCCTTTTCCAGTTATTTCTTCTCCAATCAACTAACATTATATTAATAATAATTTCACAATAATTAATATAAAAATTCCATGATATTTACTTAGATTCATTAGGTTAGAATTATTTCCCATTTTTGGGTATTATTCATGCATCAATTCTCATTTACCAAAGGTTTCGGATTGAATAGAAAGTTTAAATACAAATAGAAAAAATACCCAAAAATGAATATCTTTTTTATGAAAAAAGAAAAAGAAAGAACAGATGGTTCCTCCAATCCAATAAAGGGTTATGTCGGCCAGTTATAGGGCAAGTTAGAGAGAGTTGCATTTAATTTGATCCTCTTAATAATGGTACATGTTCATTGCTATACATGTCGGCATATCTACTGTTCTTTCTTTTTAAGGAAATTTGTCTAGTCTCTAGAATTCTCATTCAATTATTGGCGAAATTATAGCTTACACATTGACTTGTTAACCACCATCATTTAGCTCATGTTAACTGCACGCACCATCTTAATTAAGTCCCCATGTTATTATTCATTGTGCCCGCATGTAGAATGTGAATTCATTTAAGACTGAGCAATTGCATTTTTTTTTTTAAATTGTTTGAGAAAATGATTTATGTTTTAGAGTTGTTACTACATCGTTTAACTTGCGAATACATTACTCGCTAGTATGGACATGTTCTTATTGAAGCCAAAATATTTATAGCTTCTCAAGCGTGTTTGGAGCTTCTTGACACGAAATTTTTTATATTTCCGTACTAATGATTATTTCTTTTCTTTTCTTGTGTAATTGTAGTAATGATTTATTCTTCTGTTAAAGTATACACGCATTCGATTAGTATAGTGAAATTATCAAATCTGATAACTCAATTCTACAATGACTCTTTGATTCTTCCCATCTACTTTATTTATAACTTGCAATTCATCGACATTAGGGTTCATAACTTTGTAATGCTTAAAACAATTAGCAATTGCTTGTGGCTTCACATTAGTTTAACCATATAATAACTGTATTTACAATTCCATCAAGGACATTTATCTTTATTGGTTTTAAGATACGATCTTTTATTTGTTTAAAAAGTAGATAATTGAAGCGCTGAATTGAAATCATAATACTATTAAAACTTGAATTCAAATCTTAATACTGTACTACTAAAACATGAATTATAAAATAAGAAATTTTTGTAATTATACCTCTATTAAATTATAACCTCTTTATAGTAATAAAATTAATTAGTTTCATCGTTATGACTATAAAAATGTTTTATATTATAAAATTGATTGATGAAGTGATTATGAGTGAATGATAATCAAAATAAGGTAATTATACTATATTTAAAAAAAATTTGATTGATGGGGTGATTTTAGGTAATTAGTGTCTCATAATGATAAGTCAGAATCATAACATTTATATTTGATCAATAATTACATACCTACCGCTTCGCTGTAACATGTGAGAATTCATATCTCTCATTCCATTATGGGTATTATCACAATACACTTCCTTTAAGGCTGAAAGCAAATCTCTTCTCTCATGGAAACAAAATAAATACGGGAAAAAGTAAGTTCAGAGAGATACACTGTATGTTGCGAGAGAGATAAGACAGAAACTCTCTTTCATGGTAATCAGGGAGATATTAAATTTAAAGCCAATCCAATTTTTAATTATTTTATTTTATATAAGTTGTCCCTCAAAAGGCACGTGGACAAAATCCACCCCCTTTTGGACTGGCCAAGTGTAGTCAACTAAAGCTTTACCCAGTAAAATGCCACTCACTTGTGTCACTCAAGTAGCCAAGTAGGCAAGTAGGCATCCAGGTTGGGGTATGGAGTGCTCGGTGAGCCTCTGCCTACTTAACCCTTTGAGGTAGGGAGACAAAAAATCATCCAAATCAAGTTTTCTTTTTATTAATTAAATGTGTGATAAATATAAGCAAATCAATTTCTGCACGGCGCCCAAATTATCCTTATATAAACGTCTCAATCCCACTTCAACATACCCACACAACATCCTCTCCCTTCTCTCTATCTCTCACTCTCTCAAAACTTTTATTTTTCACGTTATTTTTTCATACCATTATCACCCACAAAATGAACTGTCTTCAGAGTTGGCCTGAACCTGTTGTTAGAGTCCAATCTTTATCTGAAAGTGGCCTAACTTCAATTCCAGAGAGATACATCAAGCCGACCGTTCACAGGCCTTCAGTGAACACAGAGTTTCATCCTCATGTCAACATTCCTGTTATTGATCTCCAAAACATTTTCAGTAACGACCAAACCCTCCGTGACGACACTCTAAGTCGCATCTCAAGAGCATGTCGTGAGTGGGGTTTCCTTCAGATTGTTAACCATGGAGTTAGCCATGAACTTATGAAAAACATGCGAGAGGTGTGGCGTGAATTCTTCAAACTCCCGCTTGAGACGAAGCAAGAGTACGCCAACTCGCCTGATACTTATGAAGGGTACGGGAGTCGTTTGGGAGTTGAGAAAGGGGCTAAACTTGATTGGAGTGATTATTTCTTTCTTAATTATATGCCTCTGACCCTCAGAAACCCCAGCAAGTGGCCTGCTCTGCCAACTTCCTGCAGGTTTGTATCCTGTCTTACTTTCACTGCATGATATAAAACTGCTTGTCATCAGTCTCCCTTCTTTCTCCTTCAATCTTCGTTTAAAATTTTACAGAATTATTTTTAACACACTTCACAATAATACTATAATTATACAAGAAAAATATATATGAAGATTGTTTTCTCTATATTCAAAAGTGGTCGGCTCATCTTTCTGTGGTAAAACATAATTATGATCGATCAAATTAACATACCATTAACACAAGAACCGTGGCACACTCTTCTCGACCTGAAAAACACAATTTCCATATTGTCAAAGACGCAAAAGAAAAGGTTGAGATATTTAAGTATATATACTTTATTTGAAACTGTTTTTCAAATTTTCTTAAATAATTTATCATTTTCTAGAGTGCTAGAAGAGACAAGAGAGGGTAATCACTCACGATACATAAGTCAAACTTTAAAAATTAAAATTTTAGACATATGGGACAAATTATCTTTTGTCACATTAATTGAATCTTTCCCTAACTATAGTTAATTAACTTTATTTAAACAAAGGAATCGAAAGTATGTAATTAAGGCACCATCTCATATTGCTTGGTTAAGACTTGAGACGCACTACCTAATTGTAAAAAGTTTTCAAAACACTTCCTTTTTGTCTCAGTCCAAAACATGAACTACACGAAATGGATTTTTATTTATCGCATGTTTATTGTGCATATTAACTGTACACAGCTAGCAAGCTAGCTTCTACTGTTTATACAATATAATTAATTAATTAATGCAGGGAATTGGTAGCTGAATATGGAAATGAAGTGGTGAAATTATGTGGAATACTAATGAAGGTTCTATCTGTAAATCTTGGACTGGGAGAAGATCAACTTCAAAATGCATTTGGTGGAGAGGAAATTGGTGCATGCTTAAGGGTTAATTTTTACCCAAAATGTCCACAACCAGACCTTACTCTTGGTCTCTCTCCACACTCAGACCCTGGTGGCATGACCCTTCTCTTGCCTGATGAAAATGTTGCTGGACTTCAAGTCCGAAAAGGCGATAATTGGATCACAGTAAAGCCTGCTCCAAATGCTTTCATTGTGAACATTGGAGATCAAATTCAGGTATTGATTAAGTTCAACACAATGATAGATATGTATATATATAATTTCAGTAACAGTATTATAATGCTAAGTGTTGTTAATATATGTGTATATAGGTGCTTAGCAATGCAATATACAAGAGTGTGGAGCACCGAGTGATTGTGAATTCAGGACAAGAACGTGTGTCATTGGCATTCTTCTATAATCCAAAGAGTGATAAATTGATTCAACCAATGAAGGAGCTGGTGACAAAGAACCGACCAGCCCTTTACGAAGCCATGACATATGATGAATATAGACTTTACATACGGAGGAAAGGTCCATGTGGGAAGGCACAAGTTGATTCCTTAAAATCAAGCAGATGATCATAAACATCATCAATTTATATTTATGTCTCAGAAAAGTTAGTAGTAAAGATGAAGTATCCGTATCATGATTTCCCTTTTGCTTATGATTTACATGTAGTCACAATCGAGGAAATGAAATAAAGATGGAATTGATTGATAATGTTGTGTGGAATGGAGCTTGTTTTCTTTCACACTTAAATGAGCAGTGGATGAATAAATTTTTTATTGATGTTTTAGTAAGGCTAAGGCTAAGGCCATGAATCATGTGATTCATTATAATATGTATAAGACAGTCAAAAATGGTGGTCATTCAATGTTCTACTTTTACCTGATATAGTAGCGCTCCTGGTGTCACGTGGAAGATAATATTATATATTATAATACAGTACAATGGTTTTTTCAAGTTTAATGCATGCATGTCAAATCTGTGGTTAGTGGTTACGTTATTCGTCTATGAATTTGTTTTCAAAACGTACAAAGTTTGGTTTGAGTTGGATAACGCAATCTGAACTAAATTTTCTTTTATAGAAACTAATTAATCATATTCATAGACTTTTATAAGATAATCCTCCAATTAAAATTAACCGGAATAAAAATAAAACAAATTGAAACACGTTTATTTAAAGTTTAATGAAGAATGGTATTGTGGTTGGCAAGTAACAATGTTAGAGTTGAATTAGTCAAAAAACACTCAAAACGTGCAACCCCAGGCCCAGTAGCAGTACTTTTTCTTTCACTTATCCAACCATTTAAATGTTTTATCCAACTATCCCTTTCCTTTGAAACTATATACCACCACATGTTATTTATGTTTATTTCATTCCTCAATAATCAATATGTTGACTGTTTCATATAATTACAAACTCATCTCCAGCACTTTAAATTAACAACTTCTAGATTCATTAATTAACATAAATCAATAAAATTCATACTAAAGTCTAAATAAAAATAACATATTCTTCAAGAGTTTTGCCGACAATAATCTCTACTAACACATGCTTTTATCATAAAGTTTTTGAATAATCAACAATTCAACTTATTGATTTGTTGAACACAATAGCTATTGCTAATTGCTATATTGTAGGCAACCCTAAATTTTAATTTATTCATTTTTCACACGGGTACTCTAAATAATCAACGGCTGATGTCATTCCAGTTGCTGAGATGAGATCATAGTAGTATGATAATAATAATACAGTAAAACCTCTTTATAGTCATAATAGTGAGATCAACTAATTTTATTATTATGCGGATGTTATAACTTAATAGAGGTGTAGTTACAAAAACTATTGTTTTGATTTCTTATGTTATAAGTCATGTTTTAGTAATACAGTATTAGGATTTCAATTCATATTTTAGTAGTATTAGAATTTCAATTCAACTCTTCAATTGCCTACTTTTAAATGGATAGAAGATCGTGTCTTGGAACCAGTAAAGATAAGTGTTATTGATGGAATTGTAAATATAGTTGATGCATAGTTAATTAATGTGAAGCCACAGACAATTGTCAATGGTTTTAAGCATTACAAAATTAAGACCCTCAAACCCGATGTCAATGAATTGCAAGTTATAAATAAAGTGGATGAGGAGAATAAAAGAGTCATTGCAGAATTCGGTGATTAGATTCGATAACTTTACTACACTAATCGAATGGATATTAATTTCTTCCTCGATCATCCAAATGAGCAACAAATCGTGTATATTTTAACTGAAGAATTAACTATTGTTGTAATTAGACAAGAAGAGAAAGGAAATAATCCTGTTAAAAATATTTTGGCTTCAACAAAAAGGTGTTCATGCTAGCGAATTATTACGTACTCGCAAGTTAAAATATGTGGTAACAACTCTAAAACATAAATCATTGTCCCAAAAAATTTTAGATAAATATTTTATTTTATCTTAAACCTTTAATGTAGCATAAACTATATTTTTTGTAGTATATATATAATTATTACTATGTAGAGACAACTTTCTTCAAAATGAGAATTAGAAAAATTATAACTTATTACAATATGAAGTTTATTCTTATTTATAATTATTCTAAATTTGGACTATAATTTTTTATAACTATGTAGAGTTTATTTTTATATAGAGTGTGAGATTTTATTGTAATAATGAATAATAAAAAGACAAAATCAGAAGCTACAGTTAAATTATTTTACAGATTTTCTTATTGACGTTTCAGTTCTGGCCCATTTACTTATCTAACAACTAGAGCCCAGTTTAATGGATTGCCCATTTGTCTGACCTGTCCAATTGGAAATTTCTTCACAATGACACAGCCTCTTACATCTTTTCTTAAAAATGAAATTACAATTTGTCACACAAACATCAAATCTTATAGTATTTATTAACAATAAGCAGAGTAATACATACTACTTTCATCTTATTTATATATGATACATAATCATCCCTAGAGATGATTTGATATTTAGCTTCCATTATCTTAAAAGCATACATGTCCACACAAAACTACATATGATAATGGAGCAACTGAATATATCTCTATCCATTCTGAAACTTATTATTTAGAAAAGAAAAGGTATTATTCTATAAAAAGCTGGGCACTAAAGGTGGGGAGCAAGCTGCAATATTCCAGGGAGGATATGAAGTTTCTGGTTTCATGTCTTTGTTTAGTGTGAACATTTGTGGGAAAAAATGATCATCATTAACATCAACCCTAGCCCTTTTCATAGCTCGAATTGCGTCTGCAGATTCTATTTCATTTATGTCAGCTTCAGAATCAGAATCGAAATCCTTTGCATTTGAATCAGAGTAGTCCTCACAGAGGGATGGCAATGATATCGATGTGGGAGAATAATTAGGCTTTGCAGGTCGGTTTCTATGTTCATCTGCAATTCTATCAAGGAACCTTACTTGAGCTTCGATTTTAAGCTTCAAACTCCTTTGAACCTTCATTGTAAAACCCAAATCAGCATAAATATATTATTTTCCAATTCACGTTTGCATGGCAGCTGAAATTAAAAAATACCTCAAGTTGATCATTCAGTCGCCTTTGTACTTCCATTTGCATTAGTAAGGCTTCATTAAGCTGAGCTGCACTGCATTGTTCACACCAATATTAATGTTCATTTGGAGTTAAACAAGTTGAAGAGTGATACGTTCAAAGTCCAGGTGAGACTTACGATGTTGTACCAAAATTAGGCAGTATCTCTGAAATATTCCTCCTCTCAAACTTCCCTCCTGCGAGTTTTAAATGCAAAATACATATTATATTTAACATTAAACAATTTAAATAAATTTGATTTTAATATGCTTATACAAAAACAGATTGTTATTTATTCATACTAAATTAAGGGACACAAAATACACTTTTAAAAATCTGAAGCATTTTCCTTTAACGAAGTTTTGAATCCTTTTCTTTATTTTTTTTTTATCAAATAACTTAATTTAGAATATACAAGTACTAAGATATCTTTAAGTGAGATAAAGTGCAATAAGGGATAATTTAAGTAAAATTTTAAAGAAATTAATTTATTTAAAAAAATATATATAAAAGAGGATGTATGTAAGATAAAAGAGAAATCTATACAAGTATTTGATCATAAAAGAAATTGGTGTGAACAATGATAATTTATAGTAGTGGGAGAGGTAATTACCCGAAAAAGGAAATTAAACTAATATGATTATTTACAGATGAATGAAGCAAGTAAAACAGCATATCATTTAAAATTGAATTGAATATTTAAATGAAGTTTTCCAAAGTTGTAACTTACTAGTAGTTGATTCTGGTATAAATTTTGAGATCCTGTACTTCTGAAAGAAGAGAATTCAATCAATAAATAATAAATTTTATATTTATAGGAATATTTAAGAAAGAAAGAGCACCTGCAAGTGACTTTTGACATGGTAGATAGTCAGTCCAGCAACGCCCATAGCCTTCAAGATCCCCTTGGGTGTAGCCCCTGAAGTTAAAACCACCCCAATCAAAATAATTTCACAAGCATTTAATTTTATTATATTAGAGGTGGGGATGATTAGATTAGACTCACTATCAGGGCCACCAAGCTGATTAACAGCTTCCTCGAATCTATAATGAAGCTCTTGAGTCCAGCGCAAGCGTTCTTTACCAGAGCCATCTGAGCGACTGGAACCCATTTCAGAATTGAATTAGGGGATAGAGAGGCTCAAGCACTGCATGAGCAATATGGCTTGCTTGCTCAGAGGATTATAAGACAACCCAATAACCAAGACAAATACAGTTGTAAACACAACATGGGCGATGAGCACTAAGAAGTTTTTATAGGATTAGATGCCAAATTATGTCGCTAATTGTCGGAATTAACCAAGTTTTCCCAGACTCCAAATCATGTCAAAGTCAAACACCTAGTTTTTACTTCTCGCTTTCCAGGAAATCAAATGTCAGGCCTGATGTGTCCAAAATGAGCATCTAGCCATTGTCAACTGTCCCCCTAATCAATTCTAATTTGTCGATAAAAACTGTGTTTTAGAGAGTACAGACATTGCTAGCCTAGGCCAACCAGCTACTCAGTCAGGCCATGACCCTCTAACTATGAGGCATTTTATTTTGATATAGTAAACTATAGTATAATGATTGACCGTCAAGAGCAGAGTGATTGAACATGACAAGTAAAAATGTTCTGTATATCGCTGCTCTGTCATGCAATGAGGTCCTGATTTAGGTAACTGTTGATAACATCAAATGACTTAAAGCTCTCCCAGAGTTTCACATAGCGCAAAAGTCACCCTTACAACAAAATCTTTATGGAAGAAAGTAGAAACCAACCATGCAAATATTATTCAAGCATTGTCATAAAACAACAACTTCTACTATATATAAGTTAACATTTAAGCAAGGATTCAGCAGGGAAGCCCTAACAAAGCATCTGCTATAAACAAACATCACAACAAATTCATTACATAACTTTTTAACTTTTGAAAGAGACCTTTCTATACTATGTCAGCCACTGAAAGAACGCTGTTCAAACCCCTTCCTCCACTTGTAACTTGAGTTTAGTGATACTACTGCCTGCCCCTCTTCATGCTGCAACTTGGACATTTGTACTGCTTTATATTCTCAGCCTTAGCAGGTGTTATCTTCACACACTTTCCGTGGAACCACCTCTCACAGATGTCACAGCCAATCCAAAACTCATCTGCATTGTAATTTCCACCACAGCTCCCACATAGGGTTTCACTGTGTTCATCTTCCTCATCCTCATAACTCTCATCTGCAAGCTTAGGGACGGTTTTAACTTGGCCATCACTTGATCTCTGCATGGATGATGAACCAAACGAATGGACACAAAAATAAGGATGCATAAAATGGTTGAAAACATTTACCACAGCCAGAATAAGGGGGTAAGAATTCTAACTTTGTTACAGAAAGCCAATATATGGAACTCCGTGGCCAACTGGTTTAGAATTATAAATACAATTCTTCATTTTTAAAAACAAAGGAAACAAGAAATTTTAAGAACAAACGTTTAATTAATGTTTTAACAATTTTCAGTTAGAAAGATGCTCCTAACTTTCTTTTTTCTCCATAGTTATAAAATCTGAGATGCAATTTTTTGAATGTTATATTAAAGACATTTTTAGATAAAACTACTGCAATACAATACAGATTTTTGGATCTTAGGTTTGAAAATTATTATTTAATCATAAATCACACAAGCTCTTAGGTTCCCTTTCAAATCAACAATCATCTCCAATGAGTAATTGCTTATAGAACATCAGAACAGCACAACTATGTTGTGTGCCTCAGAAAAAGGTAAACAAAGAATGCAAATTACTAGATTGAATCTGAAAAACTTGCAGAGATATAAAAATTAAGTTCTAAACTAAGTTCAATCCCTCAAACCTTTGTGCTGCCCCGAGACTTGCTACCACTATCCACACTGGGTTTATCTTTTATAGGCTTTCTTTCTGTAACAACTTCAAAGACAGTGGGCAGATCATTGATCATGCTAAATAGACGTTTCCTGTCAAGTAGAACTGACATGAGTACTAAACAATACCATTCTCTAAAATTAATAGAAAATAAAATAAGAATTCCACTAATCAATTCAATATACTCGCAAAATGCAAACAGATGTATCAGAGTACATGCATAACACACAGCCAACTACACCAGAAACCAATAAAGTTGAACAGGCAATTCTTCCTCTCCGATGGTCTAGTGTGGACTTATCACTCAACAGAAAGAGGCACATCTAAAGCACAACCAGTCATCACAGATGATATGCATATAACCATAAACTGTCATGTAGTGAACTCAGGCTCACTCTTTGGTATGACTTACTGTGAAGCCTTTTTCTTTTCCCTCTTTTGTAGCCCAAACGTGATATTCTAGTCAGATCACAAATGTCACAGCCAAAGGGAAGAAGTGCAGGAAGGTACGACTTATTACAGAATCAAATTGCATTTTGTAAACGGTGGTAACCCATTAATAAAAAATTTCTTTGTTAAAGGCCTTAACGTGTGTTCTAAGATGACTCCAATAGTGGGAAAAAAAAAAACGAACGACAAAAGAAGATTGGCATAATTAATATAAGTAATCTCCCCAACTTCCGGCAACAGGCTTCATAAACAAATCACAATATTTCCTTCCCTCGAAAACTTCCCTCTGCGAGTTTAAATGCAAAAACATATTAATTTAACATTAAACAATTTAATAAATTTGATTATATGCTTATACAAAAACAGAGTGTATTTATTCATACTAAATTAAGGGACACAAAATACACTTTTAAAAATCTGAAGCATTTCCTTTAACGAAGTTTTGAATCCTTTTTTTTTTTTTTAATCAAAAAACTTAATTTAAATATCAAGTATTAAGATATCTTTAAGGTGAGAAAGTGCAATAAGTGATAATTTAAGTAAAATTTAAAGAATTAATTTATAAAAAAATATATAAACGAGGATGTATGTAAGATAAAAGAGAATCTATACAAGTATTTGATCATAAAGAAATGGTGTGAACAATGATAATTTATAGTAGTGGGAGAGGTAATTACCCGAAAAAGGAAATTAAACTAATATGATTATTTACAGATGAATGAAGCAAGTAAAACATCATATCATTTAAAATTGAATTGAATATTTAAATGAAGTTTCCAAAGTTGTAACTTACTAGTAGTTGATTCTGGTATAAATTTTGAGATCCTGTACTTCTGAAAGAAGAGAATTCAATCAATAAATAATAAATTTATATTTATATTTTAGGAATATTTAAGAAAGAAAGAGCACCTGCAAGTGACTTTTGACATGGTAGATAGTCAGTCCAGCAACGCCCATAGCCTTCAAGATTCTGGGTGTAGCCCCTGAAGTTAAAACCACCCCAATCAAAATAATTTCACAAGATTTATTTATAGATTAGAGGGGGATGATTAGACTCACTTCAGGGCCACCAAGCTGATTAACAGCTCTCGAATCTATAATGAAGCTCTGAGTCCGCAGCAATGCTTCGACTTTAAATTAACAACTTCTAGATTCATTAATTAACATAAATCAATAAAATTCATATAAAAGTCTAAATAAAAATAACATATTCTTCAAGAGTTTTGCCGACAATAATCTCTACTAACACATGCTTTTATCATAAAGTTTTTGAATAATCAACAATTCAACTTATTGATTTGTTGAACACAATAGCTATTGCTAATTGCTATATTGTAGGCAACCCTAAATTTTAATTTATTCATTTTTCACACGGGTACTCTAAATAATCAATGGTTGATGTCATTCTAGTTGCTGAGATGAGATCATAGTAGTATGATAATAATAATACAGTAAACCTCTTTATAGTTATAATAGTGAGATCAACTAATTTTATTACTATGAGGATGTTATAACTTAATAGATGTGTAATTACAAAAACTATTGTTTTGATTTCTTATGTTATAAGTCATGTTTTAGTAATACAGTATCAGGATTTCAATTCATATTTTAGTAGTATTAGAATTTAAATTCAGCGCTTCAATTGCTTACTTTGAAATGGATAGAAGATCGTGTCTTGGAACCAGTAAAGATAAGTGTCATTGATGGAACTGTAAATACCATTGATACATAGTCAATTGATGTGAAGCCAGAGACAATTGCCAATGGTTTTAAGTACTGCAAAATTAAGACCCTCGAACTTGATGTCAATGAATTGTAAATTACAAATGAAGTGAATGGGGAGAATAAAAGAGTCATTGCAGAATTGAATGATCAAATTCGACAACATTACTTCACTAATCGAATTAATATTAATTTCTTTCTCGATCATCTAAATGAGCAACAAATTGTGTATGTTTTAACTGAAGAAGAAACTATTGCTACAATTAGACAAGAAGAGAAAGAAAATAATCTTGCTAAAAATATTTTGGCTTCAACAAGAAGGTGTCTATGCTAATGAATTATTACGTACTTGCAAGTTAAAATATGTGGTAACAACTCTAAAATATAAATAATTGTCCCAAACAACTTTAGATAAATATTTTATTGTATCTTAAACCTTTAATATAACATAAAATTTTTTTTTTTGTAATATACATATAATTATTACTATGTAGAGACAGATTTCCTTAAGGCGAGAATTAGAAAAATTATAACTTATTACAATATGGAGTTTATTCTTATTTATAATTATCCTAAATTGAGACTATAATTTTTTATAATTATGTAAAGTTTATTCCTATATAGAGTATCATTATAGAAATGTTTTACTGTAAGAGTAATACTAGCATTACAAAGAGTCAAATCCAGCCCTTGAAATTCATGATTGCCTCTTTCTCTCTCTTTTTTTTCCTTCTTTCAAGAACTGGATTTAACTTTTTATATAACTCTTTATATGTCTTTTTATAAGACTAGTGTTACGCTTACTGTAATAATGAATAAGAAAAAGACAAAATCATAAGCTACAGCTAAATTATTTTACAGAAATCTCTTGCTATAGGTCCAATAACCCAAATTTTCTTATTGACGTTTCAGTTCTGGCCCATTTACTTGTCTAAGAACTAGAGCCCAGTTTAATGGATTGCCCATTTGTCTGACCTGTCCAATTGGAAATTTCTTCACAATGACACAGCTTCTTACATCTTTTCTTAAAAATGAAATTACAATTTGTCACACAAACATCAAATCTTATAGTATTTATTAACAATAAGCAGAGTAATACATACTACTTTCATCTTATTTATATATGATACATAATCATCCCTAGAGATGATTTGATATTTAGCTTCCATTATCTTAAAAGCATACATGTCCACACAAAACTACATATGATAATGGAGCAACTGAATATATCTCTATCCATTCTGAAACTTATTATTTAGAAAAGAAAAGGTATTATTCTATAAAAAGCTGGGCACTAAAGGTGGGGAGCAAGCTGCAATATTCCAGGGAGGATATGAAGTTTCTGGTTTCATGTCTTTGTTTAGTGTGAACATTTGTGGGAAAAAATGATCATCATTAACATCAACCCTAGCCCTTTTCATAGCTCGAATTGCGTCTGCAGATTCTATTTCATTTATGTCAGCTTCAGAATCAGAATCGAAATCCTTTGCATTTGAATCAGAGTAGTCCTCACAGAGGGATGGCAATGATATCGATGTGGGAGAATAATTAGGCTTTGCAGGTCGGTTTCTATGTTCATCTGCAATTCTATCAAGGAACCTTACTTGAGCTTCGATTTTAAGCTTCAAACTCCTTTGAACCTTCATTGTAAAACCCAAATCAGCATAAATATATTATTTTCCAATTCACGTTTGCATGGCAGCTGAAATTAAAAAATACCTCAAGTTGATCATTCAGTCGCCTTTGTACTTCCATTTGCATTAGTAAGGCTTCATTAAGCTGAGCTGCACTGCATTGTTCACACCAATATTAATGTTCATTTGGAGTTAAACAAGTTGAAGAGTGATACGTTCAAAGTCCAGGTGAGACTTACGATGTTGTACCAAAATTAGGCAGTATCTCTGAAATATTCCTCCTCTCAAACTTCCCTCCTGCGAGTTTTAAATGCAAAATACATATTATATTTAACATTAAACAATTTAAATAAATTTGATTTTAATATGCTTATACAAAAACAGATTGTTATTTATTCATACTAAATTAAGGGACACAAAATACACTTTTAAAAATCTGAAGCATTTTCCTTTAACGAAGTTTTGAATCCTTTTCTTTATTTTTTTTTTATCAAATAACTTAATTTAGAATATACAAGTACTAAGATATCTTTAAGTGAGATAAAGTGCAATAAGGGATAATTTAAGTAAAATTTTAAAGAAATTAATTTATTTAAAAAAATATATATAAAAGAGGATGTATGTAAGATAAAAGAGAAATCTATACAAGTATTTGATCATAAAAGAAATTGGTGTGAACAATGATAATTTATAGTAGTGGGAGAGGTAATTACCCGAAAAAGGAAATTAAACTAATATGATTATTTACAGATGAATGAAGCAAGTAAAACAGCATATCATTTAAAATTGAATTGAATATTTAAATGAAGTTTTCCAAAGTTGTAACTTACTAGTAGTTGATTCTGGTATAAATTTTGAGATCCTGTACTTCTGAAAGAAGAGAATTCAATCAATAAATAATAAATTTTATATTTATAGGAATATTTAAGAAAGAAAGAGCACCTGCAAGTGACTTTTGACATGGTAGATAGTCAGTCCAGCAACGCCCATAGCCTTCAAGATTCCCTTGGGTGTAGCCCCTGAAGTTAAAACCACCCCAATCAAAATAATTTCACAAGCATTTAATTTTATTAGATTAGAGGTGGGGATGATTAGATTAGACTCACTATCAGGGCCACCAAGCTGATTAACAGCCTCCTCGAATCTATAATGAAGCTCTTGAGTCCAGCGCAAGCGTTCTTTACCAGAGCCATCTGAGCGACTGGAACCCATTTCAGAATTGAATTAGGGGATAGAGAGGCTCAAGCACTGCATGAGCAATATGGCTTGCTTGCTCAGAGGATTATAAGACAACCCAATAACCAAGACAAATACAGTTGTA